CTTGTCTTTTCATTTTACATAACTTTGCATTTTTCTACATTTCTATATATATTATATGCTATATAGGAACAATTTAAATTTGATTTTTGTGGTTCACGATGATACTTGAGTTGAACACATTAACATGATTCATGGAATTTTGTCATGTGTTGGCTTCTATGGAAACCATAGAAGAGCTCGTCCTGTTCAAGCGGAGAAAGAGAGGATAAAATCTAGAGTGCAAAGCAAATGAAGCTATTCTATATGTGCATGCAATATAATGGGTGGGATCAAATGGTTTATTTTCTTATCGACCCAAATGCAACCCACAAGTTGTGAAAGCAATCAGAAAGAAAATATCTATGTGCATGCAATATAATAATGGGTGGCTCCATGTAATTAATTACTTGAGTACTAAACAAATGCATGTGAAACTATAATGCCTTGCTTGCTGTGCCTCTGAATCTTTAAAGTTGCCTTCTTTCTAAAGATTGAGGCAGCAAAGTTGGCAGAAGAACAAGGTACAAACTCTTTATTTTAAAGCTGAAGATTGAAGAGAATGATTGCCTTTCGTTGGCCCAATTGTCTAGAAAACAAATATATGCTTCTTGCTTTTGATAATTATGTTAAGTGGAGTATCAATCCTATCTAAAACTACAGTAGGTTGGACAACGCCAATTGGCAAGGCCCAAGGTTTCTTGGTATAGGTCCCGAAAAGTTAAATTTAGAATTCAACCATATTAATCCGTTTACAAATATAAATTATAATTATAATTAAATATTATATTTGTATAAAAAAATTATTGAATAATCAAGCAAATCAATCTTGTACATTTCGATAAATTATGATAGCCTATGCTGTTGTTAAAATAAAAATAGCCTAATCCTAAAGATATTAATTTTATCCAAATTAAATTAGGAATTCAAAGAAATTGTTTTCTGACTTCATGCAAATCTCAGGTGTATAGCTAATTGACTTCATGCAAATCTTGTTAGTGGGCCATTAAACGGGGGAATCAGCCGAATCTTCAGAAAGTTCACCATAGTATTAATTAGCAGAGTGTTATATATATATATATATATATATATATATATATTGACTGCTTGAGAAATTTGTAGTGAAGCTTAAGCTTACTAGTCGGAGGCATTCATCAGATAGTCTGAGACAATTGATATATTGAACACAGGATTAAAGATTTGAAAAGTCCATTCGCAGAAGTTATATTATTATTCGATCAGGGCCATTGATGCTTGGATTACGTATTATTCCACACTTCAAACGCAAGAACAAACTTTAGGTAGCTAAAATACGTACGTTATTAAACTAGACGACATAAAGATTGTGCAAATATAGTGGCATGAACAACCACTCTACGCCATGTTATTCCTTGCCCTTTTCCTTCACCACTTGAGTTTCTCGGGAAAGTACCGCAAGGTAAATGAAGAAATAAAAGAGTAAGAAAACATTGCGATAACAACTAGTATTTTTTAATGGACATGAATAATACATTTGAAGTCAGCAATGTGGCTGCGTAGAATATGGTGTATTTATCTATATATATATATGTATACATATACCTTCTGGATGAGGGAGAGATAGTATGGCTCCACTTCCTCCACGTTGATCCTGACCTTGCTTTTGCTATACAGATCATATTTGCTGCACAGGGAAAACAAACTAATGGATGATCACCCCTATCTATGAACTGAATTGAATGAGATTCCAGGTTAATTAGTTTTGAGTTGTAAGTTAATGCTGATGTACTTGAACACTTTGAGCCACTTCAACATCTCCTTGTCCTCATCATTCATCAGGTAAGTATAGGATCCAGATCGGTGCAGTGCTGTCCTTATCAAAGAGCAAAAAATTTTCAATAAAAATCATCTCAGCCATTTAACATTATTTGCTCCAATCCTAGTTGTTCTCTGATTTGAATTACAGGACTCACCATAGAAGGAATGGAACCTGATGATAAAGAGACTAGCTGGTGGAAGGGTGGTGTTGTTTACCCTTGGCAACCTGTCAATTTATAAAAAGTTCCCATGTCATTGTTTCACCGGGAAGAAAATATAGAAAAACTTGATAAGACAAAAAAGAAGTTAAGAGTTGATGTAAGTTCAGATGAAGTCACTATCACCAGATACATGTATTCATCATGGCCCCATGACTTAGTAACTTTATCAAGTCCACAGTTCTCTGTATAGACTCCCAACTTTGTCTTGAGAGCTGGCTTCTGATCGTCCGGATTTTCCTTGAAAAACTGAAGGGAAAAAGAAATTAGTTGAAGTTTGGTTTTCAATCTGAAAGAGAACATTTATGTATAAATTGTAAGGAGATAAATTTACATGGTAGTGTACAATAGACTCATCAAAAGCGCATCCGAGAGGAAACGTGTCACCTAGCAATAAAAGACACACACCACCAAGTTACATGTACAGGCTTTGGAAAGTCTATCTCCCATTGCTAAGCTGTTGATGAAAGATCAAACGTACCAACCACCACACAGTGGCTGAGCACCGAATTAGGGATGCAGCAGAACTTTCCCCAAGTCTGCAACGTGTGCACATTGTAATTAAACATCAGTATTTTGCTCGTGCTATCATACATGTGTAATTCTGTTGTCAGATATGCATGCGGTTTAATATAAACTTGCAAGGAAATAAAGCCAGCGCTGGGTGCCGATTGTAAACCGTGGATGAGGGCAGTGAGATGGAGCCAGTCTTCATCAGGGTAATCCTGGCGAATGGCTTCAGCACTCTGAACTAGGTGCTCGATTTGTGGCTCCTCGAGATCAGGGTCACTCTCGTCCACGTATTCGTTGAGTAGCTCGCAGCATTCCCAGATGCTCATCACTGCCTTATCAAGTTTCTCGTACTGTTCTTTCTTCTTCTTAGCCCGTGTGACAATATTTATCGTACCAATCATCTGCAATTGGTCTCTCTCTTAGCCTTAGGGGTAATTACTGTGTAGATAGTAGTAATTATTGATTTAGTTGTTAATTGCTAAAACAGGACAAATGAATCAGATTTTTGGTGCATTAATAGCGAATAAAATGTGGTTAAACACCCAGATAACCAAAGAAAATTATCCGAAAAAAGAACTAAACAATTAAACACCCAGATAGGAAGAAAACTTCACAAATTCATAGGTTTGATTGATGTGATTCTTTCTGTAGAATTCCTCCACGATCGCTTTTCTCAGGCTTTCCTTCTCATAGTCCCTACCAACCAATGAGACACACATTTCTCCGTTAGCATATAGTACAAAAAAGATCAGTGATTTTTTGGATAATAGCTGTAAAATTATTAAGCAATTAGTCCAGGACTCCAGGTCTTTAAAACTGAGTAACTGAGCATATAATTAAACCCGAAGTTATGGCCAAAGACATTGCCCCCGGGGACAACAAAGCCACCATCAAGCTGCAGTTCTCTCATCACTTCTTGCTCCTTCTCCTTCACATTATCAATTTCAACTACGGCGGCAGTGGCGGCGGTGTTGGCATTGTCAGTAACGGGCTGATCTGCTCAGAACAAAAACAAAACTTTTAACGTCATAAAAATCTGACAAACGTGATCATGAGAACTGAACTGAAAATTAATACATACAAAAAAAGCGTAAAAGGTTTTAACATAAGAAGATATAAGGGCTTAGGCAAATCGAAAGGGACAATGTACCAAGAATAATAACCGTCATGTTGGCAGAAGGATCGATATGAAAGGGTATGAAATAAATATTGCAAGGGAGAGGCAAAGCAAAGGAACTGTAGTGAGCTCAACGTATGAAGAGCTCCCCTTTTATAGGGCCAGATTCTTGGCATTGCTAAGTCAGATTGCTTGCGAGAACTAGCAAAGGGGCATGTTTTTTCAGATGAAGTTACGAGTTAGGCCACTTCTGTTTGTCATTGGTTAGGAATCTTCATTTTTCCTACGATGTTCTAAAAACAATTCACTGTTGGAAATCATGCTGGATTTTGGTAAGTTTGAGGTTTTAAATATTATATACTTGATTCATAATATGCCTGTAAATTGCCAAAATAAATGATCGATCTGTTTAGCTAAAACCAGAGACGGTTTTAAACCCGAGTTCGGCGTGTTCAACTCCGAGGCAGTGCTCAGTAGCAAAGAAACTAGTGGCATTGTGGTAGTTGTGAATAGCGGCAAGGCTAGGAGATAACGACAATATAACGGAAAAAACAGCAAATAATAACGGAGATAACGACAATATAACGTTGTCTTATCCACAATCAATAAATTAACAGGTGAAAATTACACATCAGACGTTTGACGGTTCGCGTCAACCTAAGAATCTTCACTGAGCTGACGTGTCCATTTGATAGGCCCTCAACCTGTTAATTCTACACCTCACGTTGCTCTTCACCGTCCATACCCCGTTACGCCTGGCAGCACCCCTGCTAATTCTACTCTCCTGCAGTCTCTTGTGACAATATTGGAATATTGGAATCAATCCCAGGCTTATAGAAATTGACGCACAACGTCATTCTCTCCCAAATTTATTGATTTATCTAAATTTTGTTACTTGGAAAATAATGGGGGCAAAGGTTAAGACTTTAGAGTCAGGAGGGAAGGGGGCGGGGGCTGACTTGGGCCGTTGGGAGTCCCTAGGACCTTATATTTTGAGAGAAATTGTGGTCGAGTCAAAAATTTGCAGGTTAAAAAAAACACGAGACAAGAGTACTTCAACATGAACATAACATATATGGCAGAAATGGGCTTATGCGAATGGTGTGAGCTTCTCAATGCCATTGTTGATGATAGTGATCTTGACTTTTTCATACACTTTTAAATGTTGACTAATGGAATGATTAAAAGATAAATTGTTTAAGATTAGTTAAGTCATTTATTAAAAAAGATATTTTTGAAAAAAAAAAAAAAGAAAGTGAAGAGTAAATTTTTGGATACGATCGGGAACTTCCATAAAAAAACAGCCTGACTGTGTCATAAAAGAAACCCCCAAAACAAAGAAAAGTTAGTATTAGTGGAACTTGAATTGGGCCTCGAGTCTGGGCTGTATTCCAAGAAAAAGGCGTAAGTATACAAAGAACTGACAGTTGCCACGCGCGTGGGAGATGTCAGTGTTTACTAGTTCCCCTTCCCTACCCGTCTCTCTCTCTCTGATTTTTTTCTTCTATTTCCCTCGCTCCATCACCATTGTCTTTTTCTATTCTATGAACCTGGAATTAACCCCCATCCCAGAACACCAGAAATAGCCTTACAACTTCTACATATTTTCAGTTCTACCGCCATTTCATTTCAGTTCAATTAAACCCCAACTGATAAATTGATAATTCATACTACCCATTTACACAATCAGTTTTTTGGCCCAATTTGTCTTTTCATCTTGGGTTGTTTTCTGTAAATGAGTCTCGGCTGTTTTGAATGGCTCAATTTTCTTATTTTCTTTCTCTTTTTCTTTATTTTCGCTATAAACCCTTGTGTCTCCGTTGATCAAATTGATGAATTCTCGATCATCGCATTCGACCTCGACTCTTTTCACGGGGACTACACTCCGCCTTCGCCCCCTCCGCCTTCACTGCCACCGCTTCCTCCGTCTCTCTCGTGCGAAGAAGATTTAAACGGAATTGGGTCTCTCGATACTGTCTGCGAGATTAATTCCAGCTTGGATTTTCACGGCGACGTGTATATAGCAGGAAACGGCAGCTTCCACGTGCTTCCTAATGTCGTTTTGAGTTGTCCTATAAGGGGCTGCTCGATTACGATCAATGTGAGTCGTGGGGAATTCATTTTGGGTCAAAACTCCGGCATGTTTGCCGGGACAGTGTTCGTTTCAGCTTCGAATGCGAGTTTCTTAAAAAGTTCAGTGGTAAACGTAAGTGGCTTAGCCGGTCAACCCCCGGCTCAGACCAGTGGAACCCCTTCAGGGATTCAGGGCGCAGGCGGGGGTCACGGAGGGAGAGGCGCAAGTTGCGTTTCGGATAACACGAAACTTCCGGACGATGTGTGGGGAGGAGATGCTTACTCTTGGTCATCTTTGGATAAGCCATGGAGTTATGGTAGTCAAGGAGGGACGACTAGTAAAGAGGAGGATTATGGAGGGGGAGGAGGTGGGAGGATAAAGTTTGAGGTGGAGAAGACGGTTGAAGTTGGAGGGAATTTGTTGGCCAATGGAGGTGATGGTGGTGTAAAAGGTGGTGGAGGCTCTGGTGGAAGCATTTTTATCAAGGCTCATAGAATGTAATTTAATTTGTTCCCCCCTGCTCATCAGTTTTATAGGATTCACGAGAGTTTTAATTGCTATAGTGATATAATTGTTTTGTGTAGTTTATGATTGATTTATGATGCTTTGAGTTCGTGTTGGGATTTGCATCTATCGTTTTCAGTAAATAACTTTGCCAAATGGTCCCATTTTCTTATGCATAGACATAACTTTCTAAGCATGATCAAAGATGGTGCATTTATAAATTTATTGCAAATATGACATTGTATTTGTTTTTGTCATTGAGGATGTTGTGGTTATAAATTACGAGGCCATGGTGCATCATGTGAGAATAAGGGTGAGGATGAAAATAAAAAATTAGAGAAAGTCAAAGTAAAGTTGAAGTTTGAAGAGAAGAGCTGCATTATCTTCTGGAGGAACTTGTGGCATTTTTAGAACAGAGAGTTGAGTTAATGTATAACATATTAAGGACATTCAGAATTAGGCTAAAAAGTAGAATGATGATTAAAATTGGTGTTGGAATATTATTACTGGGATTACCAGATGTGCTTTTCCTGATATTTTTCCTTTCTTAGCTTACACTCTACTGCAAAATAGATGAAATTTATGTGGACCAACATCTTGAGAAATCCTATACTTTTTCTCTCATACTTATGATGTTGAATTTATTATATGCTCCTTATGCTTGAAATTTATGGCAGAGTGAGTTTCTTCAAAATGCCACTTCTGCTGTAGTTTGGCTTCCTTCAGACTGTTTTTTTATTATTGAAATATGTTATCCATGTATACGTTAATAATTTTAGCACTTGGACTTGGTGAGAGAATTAGCAGCTTGTGTTTCTCTGTTACTGTATGATGTGCACATGGAATGGATTTTCTCACAAAGTTAAAGGTCATTCACTCATTCGATCTACTATTAAAGTCATGCTGAACTTTCTGTGATTTTGAACTTGTGGTGCCTCTTTTATTCTTTAATGTAATTTCTTCTCTGTTTAAGAGGAAAAAGTTGGGTTGTATGTTTGATGTTGCTCCATCTCCTTATATTTAGTACTCGTATTTTCCTGCAGAATACTCCTTTGTCGTCTATTTTTAGCTTATAGCTAAATAGTTCACTATAATTTTTTATTAATAAATGGATTATAAATTTTGTAATAATAATCTTCTTATTGGAAGACAGGACTGGAAGTGGCAGGATAAGTGCTTCTGGGGGGGATGGATTTGCTGGAGGTGGTGGTGGAAGAATTTCAATTGATGTTTTTAGTAGGCATGATGATACAGAATTCTTTATTCATGGTATGTTTTGGGCTTCAATGTAAATTTCGTATCCTTAAATAAAAGTCAGTAAACTGCCTGTTCAATGATTCTAATGAGAAGTTAATTTGTGAATTTTGCTAAAGCACTATTGGAATTGGGAACCTATTATATTCTTATTGTTTAAAATACAACAACGTAAGCTTAAGTTGTTTATAGTAACTTTATTTATAAAATTTTACATGTCAACTTACAGAAACAATTAAATGTTAAATATTGAAGAGAGAAAGAAAGTAGGGAAGAGAGGTTAAAGTTGCTTGGAGCCAAAACTTCATCCTGTTTGTAATATTTTTTCTTACTGAAAGGTGTAGTCTAATATCTTGTTACCTCCATTGTGTCGTCTTTTTTGCAGGAGGAAAAAGTTTTGGCTGTCCTGATAACTCAGGTGCTGCAGGTACATATTATGACGCTGTGCCTCGGAGTTTAATAGTTAGCAATCACAACATGTCCACAAGTACTGACACACTTCTAATGGAGTTCCCTAAACAATCACTTTGGACAAATGTATACATCCGAGATCATGCCAAGGCTTCTGTTCCTTTGCTTTGGAGCCGCGTTCAGGTCATTGAATAACTAAATCTTATGTTCTTATTTGAATACACTCTATATTTATTGCCTTTTTTAGTTAAGTGATTTAGTTTTAGGGGCACCCTGTTTCATGTATTTATGCGGTTATTCGTTGTAGGGAGGCACTATGTATTTTGCAATTGCTTGATTTTTTGTCTCATTTCTAAAAGTTTGAATTAGAATTAGAATTTAAATAAATTAGATGATTTGTCCCAACAAAAGTTTGAATCAGATGGTAGCTTGAGTCATTTGTTGAAAATTAAGTGATTAAAACGGTATTTAGGAATCAGGATACTTCAACTTCTGATGAATGGTATAATAGACTTTTACTCTGATCCTGATGTAACAATGTTGGAAACAAGTTGAAAATCTCAATTTTTAAGGGAATGACATTTAGATCCCCAAAAATTAATGGTTATAGTTGTCAAATAATGGAGTGGACGCTAAACCTGTATTTGACGCTGGATTCCAAGTTAATGTAACAAAAGTTGAGGGTTAGACACAAACAGTCCAGTACGTATGTATGTGGAAAAAATTTTATGGATGATTCTTTGTAAGTTTATCACATTGTTCAATGCATTTATAGTCTCGAAAATCTTGTTTGTCCAATTTAAGTGTGTGTTTGGTTTTAAAAACAATTTTGTTTTTCTTTTCTAAAAATAGTTTTTATTTTCTATTTTCTAATTTATTGAAAAAAGTGTTTGATAAATGAAAATGAAAAATTATTGTTAAAAATGAAAATATGAAAATGTGTTTGGTGCTGTGTTTATAAAATGTAAAAAGAAAATGAGTTTACAAATACCACAATTGGGTCCACCCATTATATCACAAAAATATTTTGTCCAATTATATTAGAGCACCTGGAAGTTTGAAGGAATGAAAACATGCTGCTGAGCAGAAAGCCTTTTTTTTTTTTTTGCTGTTGAGTGGTGTCAATCTCAGGTTGCTGATGGGATTTGTTTTCGGAATTAACCTTATCCGTGTTTTCATCATTTTCCCTCTTTTGTCTTAGTTCACTTGAATATGGTGAAAACAACTTTTTTTTTTTTTCAAAAACATATGTATTTTCATTCTCATTTTTTAGAAAATGTTTTCAAAATTTAATTACCAAACATGTTTTCACTTTCATAATGGAAAAGGGCTTTATTTTCTGAAACCAATCATAGCCTAATCTTTGTGTTTCTTAATTTTGACATTGTAATATCTTATATAGGTTAGGGGACAAATTCACTTATCATGCGCTGCGGTGCTAAGCTTTGGACTTGCGCATTATGGTTCGTCTGAGTTTGAATTGATGGCAGAAGAACTTTTAATGAGTGATTCAGTTGTCAAGGCAAGTAATTGTTGCTTTTCTGCTTAACTTGAGCATTCCTAAAGGATATAACAGTTTTACACAATTTTATTTCTGTTAAGTTTATATGCTACTGGGCTCTGCCTCATCTTTGGCCATGTAAAATAGCTACAGTCTAGATTGTCATTGTCCACCACGTTGTTATAATGTTGATGATAGTCTTCACTGTTACTTCTGTCATTTGAAAATAATAGATATTTGGGGCTCTTCGAATGTCTGTCAAAATGCACTTGATGTGGAATTCCAAAATGCTTATAGATTGTGGGGCGGATGCTATTGCAGCGACATCCTTGCTTGAGGCCAGCAATTTGGTAGTTCTCAGGGTAATTAACCTCTCTTATTTTTACATTTAATAAAATAAGCATGATTTATATTGCTTCTAGGTAAGATATGATGTTTTCTGGTTTTTCAGGAATCTTCTATGATACAGTCTAATGCAAATTTGGGAGTTAATGGACAAGGTTTTTTGAATTTGTCTGGACCTGGGGATATGATTGAAGCACAACGTCTGATCCTCTCACTATTTTTCAGTATCAATGTAAGCTGAATGCTCTCCTTGGTTTGATAAATGCATGTAGCTTTTTAGAACAGGAGTTTCCCAGTTCAGAGTTGAAAGGGTCTGGCTAGTCATCTTGGTTATGTATAGGTGTATGAATAGTGCATACAGGAGTATATTCTACATAATTGACAGCTATGGGATCAAAATTTGGGTATAATTTGCTTCACTTCGTTTATTGGTAAACTAGCTATGGCTAATTTTTTGAGGGTTTTTTTTTCCCTCTTTTGAATTGAATGAAATTTGAAAATTGAAAATATGCTATTTAATTGATGTTCTATTTAGTTTTTGCATTGGCATTACTTGTTGGTGTGCTAATTCTTAGGAATTTCTTCCTAATATGAAGGTTGGACCTGGATCTGTTCTGCGAGGTCCCTTGGAAAATGCCAGTAACAATGATATGTAAGTTAGTAATGTAAAATAATTTGATGCTTCTGCCATTATCTTGTTAAGTATTTAATTTTGGTAACTGGCAGGGTGCCACGGCTGTACTGTGAACTTCAGGATTGCCCTATGGAGCTGGTTCATCCACCTGAGGATTGCAATGTGAACTCCTCCTTATCCTTCACTCTTCAGGTGTTCGGTTAGCTAGCTTGAAATCTAAGTCATATCTTTGTCAGATTAGATTAGAGTTTGCTGCTGTGAGGGTTTTGTGTGTGTAGTGTGCTAATGAATTGTTGGATTGGAATGGCATTGCAGATATGTCGTGTTGAAGATATTATTATTGAGGGCCTTGTAACAGGATCTGTTGTTCATTTTCACTGGGTTAGAACTGTCATTGTCTATTCTTCCGGAGCAATTACCACATCAGCTTTGGGTATGGCTTTTACCTAATTTCCATTTGAACTTTCAATGTGAGTAGCTAATTACTTTTAATATGGAATAATGTTAGACCATTCTAGGATTCAATTATTTGCCCAAGTGTTCTGATTTGGACTGCTCTAGGTTGCACTGGTGGGGTGGGTAGGGGAAAAGTACTCAATAATGGTCTTGCTGGAGGTGGAGGGCATGGTGGCAAAGGTGGGGAGGGATATTATGATGGCAGTTTTATTGAAGGTGGTGTTTCATACGGAGATGCTGATTTGCCTTGTGAACTTGGTAGTGGTAGTGGAAATGATAGTCTTGCCGGTGCAACTGCTGGTGGTGGAATAATAGGTGAGATTCTGAATCTGATGAGATTCTACTCTTTTTATTAATTATTTTATGTTGTTCGCTGTTGTTTTTATGTTGTATTTGAGATGAGACTAAAAAATTTTGACACATCCATCAAAATTGGAGAGTTGTCCTAATACATAATTGTCATTTATTCATGGTGTAGCCTTAGGGTTTGATGCCAGAGGCTTAAGGTTTTAAGTGCTTCTGATGGTACATTTATCTTCTGTTGTGAGGCTATTGTATATTTTGCTTCTCCTTGGAACAATATGCATCTAAATTTATTTAATCAACATTTTAGACACACTTATTCCCAATTATTTAACAACTGTAAACCTTTGTTTTGGAAAAATTTTGCATTACTCCTAATGTCATCAACTTAATGCTTAAATAATAATATGGTAATATCTATTGTAGTTTTATATTTTTGTTCTCTGTAAATATGCAACCCTTTTCATTTTGACTTTTATAAAGTGGCCAAATGCAGAAATTTAGATTAACTTTGATTCATTTTGAGAAATTGCATTGGATTTTTTTTTCAATTCTATATCAGACTCTGAAGTGTTGTTTTCAATTATTATGAGCAGTAGCCTTAATTCAATACAGTTCTTTGCTCTGTCCAACTCATATTCTGAGTGGTGGATATGTCAAAGGATAAGTTGAATTTCAGATATCCTATTATTTGTAAGTAATTTTTCAGATAATGGTTGTGACTTTTTTTTTTCTTTTCTTGTCCTGATATTGATACAAAGAAGAAAAAGTGAGGTATTTCTGTTAGGTTTTCATACATAATTGAAGTTGGGTGATTGTTTGCTGCTATACTGTGGTGACTGTTACTGATGTAATTTGGTTTTTGGCAATGCTTTCTTCTATTAATATTTGGCATATTGTTTGCCTGCACAGTGATGGGTTCACTGGAGCACTCACTATCAAGTTTGTCTGTCTATGGTTCCCTTAGAGCTGATGGAGAAAGCTTTGAAGAAGCTATGAGGAAGCATGACCATAGGACTGTTTCAAACATTGGCCCTGGTGGTGGATCTGGTGGAACCATCCTTTTATTTGTTCATACAATCATGCTTGGTGATTCTTCAGTTATCTCAACTGCTGGAGGACATGGCAGCCCAAGTGGTGGTGGTGGTGGAGGGGGTGGACGCGTTCACGTTCATTGGTCAGATATACCAACTGGGGATGAGTACCTACCCATAGCAAGTGTGAAAGGAAGCATTAACACTAGGTTTGCATTTAATGAGACATGTAACTTGCTTCTTACATTTTGCATCTAATTAAAGATTAAGTTGCCAGCTCCCCTACCCGACACCACCCACCCTGAAGGTCTTCTTCTTGTCACTTAAGCCACATAATAATCATGTACTATTGATGAAATGAATTTGGTAATAGAGGGAGGAAATTTAAATGCATAATCTAATATGCCTTGATAACAAATTATTTTACACTGATATTCTTTGATAGTCTAGAAGCTAATAAATAGTGATTATTCCCAATTTAACATGCTTCTGCAATTTCATCTTGGAAATCAGAAAGGCTACTTAATCTTTGTTCGGTTCTCAGTTAAGCTAAGCACTGAGCAAAGAGGGATGGATTACTAGCTCATTTTGTCCTTTAGATGGCCTCAAGTCTACATTTAGTGCAGAAAATACAGTCCATGTTGAAAAGTCAGTCTGGACATGTGGGCTCTTGTGTTATGACGTATATCATTGAATGCTGGAGGAACAAGAGAGCAAGGAAGAATCAACAGACAATTACATATTGCTGTCAACTTTGAAATTTTTGGGTCATTTATGTTGAGTACTAGCCATCAAGGATCTTCTGAACCTTTGATAATTAAGAGACCTCTTAGTTGTTATGTTCTTAGAAAAGGAATAAAGAAATTCTCTTCCTGGGCTGATTAGGTTCATAAAACTGGAAAGGAGGCATTTCTTGCTTATCAGTGACAGAATCCTCCATTTATCCTTTGAAACTGTACTAAACTTGCAATGCTTTCAATACCTTGCCTGTTGATTGGTGGTTAATTATGCTAGGTTGCGGATTCTTCTTGAAATTATTCAGATTATTAGTGCTGTTTTTTTCCTAATTGCAGGGGAGGCTTTGGCAGAGGTCAGGGTCACAATGGCGAAAATGGAACTATCACCGGAAAGGCCTGTCCTAAAGGGCTTTATGGTATCTTTTGTGAGGTAGATTTGCAAATTCATATCACTTTAGTTTGGACTTGTTTTAATTCTAACAAAGTTAAGCATACCTTTCATTTTGGAAGTGTTTAAAGAGGTAGTTCGCTTAAGATAACTTTCAGTTGATATAAACTGTGGTTGACTGCTCTAAAATTTATTTATGAAATGAATATTGATGCTTTTTCTGAAAAATTGACTTGTTCTCTGCACTGTAGCTATTTCTAAATGTTACCTGGTTGCCTGGATAGTGCTAAATTTTTTCTTACTTACGTATCTTCCCATGACAATGGCATAATCAGAGGCACAATTGGTTATTTGTTGTAACTGTTCATCCTATTTTCTTCACAATTTGAGCATTTCCACTGCAGGATTTTACCTGGTTGCCTGGATAGTGTTAAATTTTTTCTAACTTACGTATCTTCCCATAATAATGGCGTAATCAGAGGCACAATTGGTTATTTGTTGTAACGGTTCATCGTATTTTCTTCACAATTTGAGCATTTCCACTGCAGGAATGCCCTATTGGGACTTTTAAGAATGTCAGTGGATCTAATAGAGTCCTTTGTTATAATTGCCCATCCGATGAGCTTCCAAGTCGAGCCATATATGTTAATGTTCGAGGTACATCTTAAATTTAACTCTAGCTGCTTCTATATGTGGAAGGATGGCTATCTCTCGTTGCATGCATTACTGCAGGCTTCCTCTGCATATTAATTTCTGAAGATTTAAAAGAGTTTGGCTGGTTCTGATTTTTTCTTTTATCATTGCTGTCAACGATACATGGCATTTTAAGGCTTGCTAAGTTGGAGATTGTGGTTTTTTGTGGATAATAACTTTTGTTATTGGTCTCAACCTGCTGTTTGCAACAGGTGGTGTTACTGAAAGCCCCTGCCCTTACATGTGCATTTCTGAAAGATATCATTTGCCACACTGTTACACAGCATTTGAAGAGTTGGTATATACTTTTGGTGGGCCATGGCTGTTTGGGCTTATTCTTTTAGGTCTCCTCGTCCTTTTAGCTCTAGTTCTTAGTGTTGCAAGGATGAAATATGTTGGTGGGGATGAATTACCAGCTCTCATGCCTGCTTGTCGTGGCTCACGAATAGATCACTCATTCCCTTTCCTGGAGTCATTGAATGAGGTTTTTTTTTTCTAGTTTCTTCCACGTACATTTGGTGTTTTGTCCATCATACTGATCAAAATACACACCCGACCGCTTTCTACGTGGTATTCTCAAGGATCTGACTGTTTTATCCATCAGGTTTTGGAGACAAATAGAACTGAGGAATCCCAGAGTCATGTGCACAGAATGTATTTTATGGGACCAAATTCATTTACTGAACCTTGGCATCTACCTCATTCTCCACCAGAGCAAGTAATTGAAATTGTGTAAGTTCTTATTTTTGCCTCCTTGTGATGTGTGATAGTTTGGTGGTGAATTTTCACTTTAATGCTCATCCTTAATTATGGGTTCTGTTCTTCTGCATGGGCAGCTGGGTGGTAAACTATTTTTTTTTTTGAAAGTATAATAGGAAAAAATTATTTTAAATTATATAAAAGAATTTTTGAATGTCGTTTGCATGGCAGATATGAGGATGCCTTCAATAGATTTGTTGATGAGATTAATGGTTTAGCTGCATATCTGTGGTGGGAAGGATCAATCTACAGCATTCTTTCTATTCTTGCATATCCACTTGCATGGTCCTGGCTACAACAACGTCGAAAAAAGAAATTGCAACAGCTCCGTGAATTTGTTCGATCTGAATATGATCATTCTTGCCTGCGTTCTTGCCGTTCACGCGCTTTATATGAAGGGCTTAAGGTACCTTCTTCCAAAATTTGTTCTCAAATTTATTCTATAATTTTGCAGGTGGCTTTTCTTTGGACTTGTTATATGTTAGGGTATCAATAGCCTACTTTTGGAGTTTTAACAGAAAAATATATGCTTTTGCTTTTGTATGTATATCGATGTGGCTATTGGATGGAAGCTGATTGAAACTTAAAAAGAATTTTCAATGATTATGAGTTAGAAGTTCTCTTCTCGTGAAAAAATAGTGATTTATCTTTACAAGGTTTTATCCTGTTGCATGTGCTTGTTCAAATGAAGTGAAATGGTCATGTCTTAAAAAGCAAGTGAATATTTGTGGCAATGAAATCATGGAGGATGTATCTTGTCCTGTCTCTGAAATCTAAATTCCTTGATATATTGCATGATTGTTGCTGTTGGACATGACTTGTTAATGAATGTTGTGGAAGAAATTGAAGAGTGCTTGATTAGTTGTTTGCTATTGATTGGCACATTTATTCTGAAATCTCATTTCTCTAGTATATCATAGAACAACTTATTTGTTAATTGGTCTTTATGGTTTTAACTGTCCTCTGAGATTGAAACAGGCAAATATATTTCACTGACCATGCTCGTAGGCATAAGGTCTCTTCAATTGATTGAGATTGATCTTTCTTGTTGATATTGAACGTTCGCTTGCTTTAACAGGTTGTGTGTCCTTTTGTTTCATGCCAATGGAATTGAAAATTTTAACCCTGATCCTTACTGTGTTACTCTGCAGGTTGCTGCTACCCCTGATACAATGCTTGCATATGTGGACTTTTTCCTTGGTGGAGATGAAAAGAGGGGTGACCTTCCTCCTCGTCTTCATCAAAGATTTCCAATGTCTTTGGTTTTTGGAGGAGATGGAAGTTACATGGCTCCTTTTTCTCTTCAAAGTGATAACATTCTTACTAGCTTAATGAGTCAGGTTTGTTGTTAAATGGTTGTTTTGTGAAAATTTCATCGATGGCTTCTTTTAATGGCTGAGTGCTGTTGTTAAGGCCTATTTTTTGCCTCTTTCTGTTTTGCAGTCTGTTCCACCTACCATATGGTATCGACTAGTGGCTGGTCTAAATTCTCAATTGCGCTTAGTTCGCTATGGACACTTGAAACTTACTTTTGGTCATGTTATTAGCTGGCTTGAAACACATGCAAACCCTACCTTAATTACATATGGTGTACATGTTGATCTTGCATGGTTTCAGCCAACATCGTCTGGTTATTATCAGTTTGGACTTGTGGTATGTGCTACCAGCAATGAAAGTGTTCTGCACTGGACTGAAGGTCAAGATAGATACTTGATGCATATGGAGCAGTCACGGTATCAATTGTTTGATAGTGATTCTCTGGCAGTTAGTTCAAGTATAAAATTTTGCTAAACTCTCGTTATTTATTATTTTGTGATTTGCAGTTGGCGTGGTGCTGCTAGTAGGAGAGACTCAACCGGTTGCTTGGATGCCAGTGAACATATAAGGATATGTCAAAGGATATTTGGAGGAATATTGCATGCTAAAAGCTTACGAACACTTAAAATGAAGAGGGCTATTTGCTATCCCTTTTCCTTTATAGTTTACAATACCAAGCCTGTTGGTCATCAGGTTGCTCATTTTCTTCCCTTTTACGCACATTTGGTTAAAATTTTAGGATGAAATTCTAACTCTGTTCTTCCTTATTATTTGCAGGATCTTGTCGGTTTGCTTGTCTCTATGTTACTTCTAGGAGATTTTAGCTTAGTTTTGCTTACTTTGCTACAGCTGTATTCTATATCACTGCTAGACTCCTTTTTAGTTTTGTTCATTCTTCCTCTTGCAATAGTCTTTCCATTCCCGGCTGGTATCAGTGCCTTGTTCAGTCATGGACCAAGACGATCAGCTGGTCTTGCACGTGTGTATGCTCTATGGAATATTACATCCTTGATCAATGTTGTAAGTTGTTTTGAGGTTATTTTTAGGCTATTCCTAATGTTCAGTAAATAATGCATAGTTTAGAAAATGATATTCATGAAAATGCATAAATATACTAGCTGCACAAATATTGTATTTGCATCTACTAATGCAAGAATGAAAATTTTAATATTTTTTCCATTAATTGCAAAATGATAATGAGTTTCTAAAGCAACTAGATATTTTTTTACATGTTACTGTGCTAGTGGTGTGATTAGTGGAAAAGATGTCATCATCTCTTGGTTCTTTCGAGGCAAAGTCAGTAAAGTTTAATGTGCGACTAGTATTCTTCTGCTTGTTCACGTTGCTGTAGTTATTGCTTAAATAGATGTATGTGACGAAATAAAGGGTTTATAGGTAGTCTATATTGCTCAAACTTGCATGTTGCACTTGCTAGAACAAAGTGAAGCAATGAGTTACGTTCCAACCCTGTCATATCCCATCTCTTCTAGTACCATGGCAAAGAGATTTCAAGCGTTTTTTATCCTGATTATTGCTCTTTTATGATAGGTAACTGCCTTTGTGTGTGGATTTCTACATTACTGGAGCCACTCGAGTAAAAAACATACGAACTTTCAGTCATGGAATTTTAGCATGTAAGCATGTTTTCTTTGTTATCATGACCATGGTTAACTCTAAAAGTTATACTTGTCTAACTAGTAATGAAACGTCTACATTACTGAAGTTTTTATGCCGGCATACGGCATTTTCCCTGGTGCAGGGATGAAAGCGAATGGTGGATGCTTCCTTCCGGATTAGTTGTTGGTAAAATCATCCTAGCACGACTTATTGATTGCCATGTGGCTAACCAAGAAATACAAGACCACTCGTTATACAGCAGTGATCCCGATGTTTTCTGGCAATCATGAAGGCTATTTCTGAATAGTTAGAAAAATGGCCAGCCTTAAGGAAACCTACCCCATTCTTATCTTTTATTCTCTCTTCCCTCTAATATTCCTTTTTTTTCATGGTTAAAAGATTAGGATACATTAGTTTTTTGTATAGTCATTTTGACTCTCCCCTTTGCTTGTGGGTGTGATGAATTGCTGAACGTAATTTGTAAATGATTGATGATATATGGCATTGATAGAGATCACATAAACACACAAGGAAATGAATCATTGTCTGACACTCAAGTTTGATGTCTATACTTTTCACTAGCTTTTTCAGGTGCATGCATGCATGGGTATTTTCTCTACTTTTTTACCAAACACATTGTGGCTATCTGAATCATAAACTGTAGAATCATTTTTTATTGCTTTGAGTTCCTTTTATAGTGATTTCTCAAATAAGGTGAAAATTTGACATAAAAGGAGTCTAATTTTTACCCCCATTTTGTCTTTCTTTTATCTTTCTCATTACTTCAAGTTTTACTGACCATGAAACGTCAGTATTCTACTTTAGGTGAAGTTCATATCCCTTATAAAAGTTCTTTTAATTCACCTTCTGTTCATGATTGAACTCCATTCGGTTATCACTTGTCTTTTGTAATAATTTCTACCCCAATCTCAAGTTGTTGGTTGGGAGTTATTTTCAGAGTCAATTTGGGTTTTTTTTTTTTTTTTTTTAATATTTCTAGTAGTTGGATGAGATTCATTGAACAGGGAGAACCTCATAGGATATACTGACTGCTACTTCAGTATAACAAATATGTAACCAAAGAATGACTGGTTTAGCTGATGAAAAGATTGTGTTTTTCATTTCGTTAACTGGGTTTGAGTTTGTTAAAAAATTAGGAAAAGATAACTTTTTATTATTTTATTATATTTGACATAAATAAATCTGTTTGAATTAATTCTGGTGTACAATATTCAAAATCTCCTTTTATCACTTTAAAAAATATATAAAATAGCAGATACTAAACTGGACAGTCTAAACGTAGTAGTTGCAGTATTGAGAGAAGAAAGAAAAAAGGGCAAAAACAGGATTCAGGTGAAAGTTGAATTTCCATTAGATATGAAATGCCTTTCCTAAATTATTCAACGTATAAATTTGGCTCTATTTACAAAATAGGTGTCTGAATCTGATTCATATTCACCTTTTTCCACTAGTATTTGTTATGGGTGTTGATGCTATTTCCATCAACTGCTGACAAATTTGGGCAGATACATTAACCATGGTGGGCTCCACAAAATTCTATGTCATTTAAAGAGGAAAGGGTCTCCATTTCCATCGATGAAAGGTCGACGGCCACCGATGTGATAGAATTGCTACCGCAATTACACACGCATATTGATTTTGTGATGGGATAGAAATTAAAATTTTAATATTTTACAAATAAATTAATGATTATTTTATTATTTTTAAAGAGTAATGCTTATTCATTCAAATTATACATTCAAAAGCAAATTGTGATAATTTTATTTATCAAAACATTGATCACCTGCTCATTTTGTATTCCTCGTGTGGTCGAATCACGACGTTAATTTCAAAAAAATTTTGGCCCTTTGTTTCACAATAAATCAAGGAAATAGTGAAAAAACAAAGCATATTGTAACGTGGCAATATTTAATTGGTTGAAGTACAGACAGGGGAAGCTTGTCCAGTTCATTGTCTGAATTTTTTTTGCATCTTGTTTGCTGAAGCAAATTGGCAACAGCCTTACATTCATATTTATGTAAGTTTCATTTAGAATCCCTGACCTGAAGATGGTGATGGTATATCTACCAGTTCACCTGTACACCTAACTTCTGTGAAACTCTTTCTGTTTTCTCTGGAAAGATAAAAAGGCACCCAAAAAAGACAAGCACATGGGGCGACAAAACATGGAAACTCCGCTTTTGGACACTCATCTTTTGGCAAATGAGGAGAGGAGAAACAAGAATTGGGGCAGAGCTCTTCGGTTCTTCCTTGTTTTCTTAACCTTCTCTAGTCAGTTTCTTCCTCTCTTCACTCTGCTTTTAGTCTTTTTCTGTTTTTCTGGTATCTTGATTTTAAAATTCCCATAAAGACTCTTTCTGTTTTGCTGGGTTTCCAGGATTAATTTCCCTGGTTTTATCTATTTCATGAAAGTCAACGATTCTCTGTTAATTCCCTGCCATGAGAATTCCGTAACCAAAAGAATACATATACTAAAAATGACCCATTTTAGAAGTCAAATGCGCTTAGAATGAATATTTAGCCGCATTTTGATTGATTTCTGTTTATAAAAGGGTGGTAATGAAATATAATTTTGATCTTGGGATCATTAGTTTTCGAAAAATATGTTAGTTTTTTTCACATTCTCCAAGTTTACATCTGAATTTTTCTCTCTCATTCAGTTTAAGTTCATAAGCGTTCTAAAAATCTACCACCATGTGAAAAGAAAAAAAAAATCTAAATTCTAAGTAGAGGATTATTTCGGGTTTTATATGGCAAGAAGCCTTGATATTTTACAATAGAAGGATTGCCAGATTATTCATCATTTCTGTGCCAATGTTTTTAAATAATATCCTAAGTTTCCTTATTGATCCTTTAATTATAATCATGAAATTGGAGGAACATTTTGCTGGCGATATTTTGTGAACATATGTCAGAAGAAGTTACCTTTTATGGCTTTAAATTTTTCAACAAATTAAAACCTTTTTGTTTGTTAAAAAAATGTCCCCTTTTTTCCTAGTCCTATGAAATTCCTATTAATGAAGATAGATTCTCGTTGTTTCAGTTGTAGGCCTAATATTTAGAGACGACAGGAGTTACTTGTTTGTCAAAGGAGGAAACAAGTACAATGAAAGGATTGAAGTTCATGGCACTGACAGCGTCCAGTCAGAACAAGGTGTTGTTGCTGCCGATGATGGTCGTTGTTCTGAAATTGGTATACTTATGCTCAAGAAAGGTGGACATGCGGTGGATGCTGCAGTGGCAACAGCACTATGCGTTGGAGTTGTCAATCCAATGTCTAGTGGAATTGGAGGTGGAGCATTCATGATTGTCAGGTCTTCGTCAACTTCACAAACCCAAGCTTTTGATTCGAGAGAAACAGCTCCCTTAGCTGCGTCACAGGTTTATAATTCTCTCTTTCAGCAATATTCTAAGACAAAGTTGATCTATTATGGTTGTACCCGATGGCATTATTGGTTCAATCTTTTATTCTAAGTAATCAAGTATTTCTTCACAAATGCCATGATGATCAACAAGTCATTATTGGAGTAAGTTGGTATGGGTCCAGTAGAGTTTAAGGTTGAACCCCATAAAAGCATAATGAAATTAGTTTTTGTTTTGATTGTGCCTGTTAATATTGTAGTAATTGTTAACATGCAGAATATGTATGATGACAATATCAAAGCCAAGTACAAAGGTGTGTTGTCAATGGGAGTTCCTGGTGAGATTGCCGGCCTTCATGAAGCTTGGTTGAGGTATGGTCGATTAGCTTGGAAGACATTATTTGAGCCTGCAATAAAACTTGCTAAAGAGGGATTTGTGGTTGCTCCATATCTTGGATTAAACATTGCTGCGAATGCACGTGCGATCATGAATGACCCTGGCTTAAGGCAGGTGTTTGCACCAAATGGTAAGTTGTTACAAGCAGGTGAGAAGTGCTATAATGTAGAGCTGGTCCATAGCCTTGAGGAAGTGGCAGAACAAGGACCAGGAGCCTTTTATAATGGAACTATTGGAGAGAAATTGGTAAAAGATGTGAAACAGGTTGGTGGGATTTTGACAATGGAGGATTTAAGGAATTACAAGGTAGAAGTTATAGATGCAATGGCTGCAAATGTAATGGATTACACTATATACGGAATGCCACCTCCTTCAAGTGGAACACTTGGGCTGTCTCTGGTGCGTAACTATACTTTCTTCTCACTTCATTTAGTCTATTTAGTTATCTGGTACAGCATATCACGAAATGACTTAGAGCTTGTGGTAGACTATTGTATGTTTAAGAATGCCAACAGCTGCGTGGGTTGTTGGTAAAGTGCTTGACTCTTAATTTCAGTGATTAGGGTTCAAATTCTGGTACCCTTATGTATAAGTTATTTGGAATAATGCATGCTTAGTTTGACTAAATTCAAAATTCCAGGCTTTAGATCATATTAGCATTGGGACTGGGTGTTCTAAACATTGATGAAATGAAACAGGTTATGAACATCTTTGACAGCTATGGAAGTGCTGATGCTGCAAAGGGAGATCTTGGTCTGCATCGCCTGATAGAAGCATTGAAACACATGTTTGCTGAACGAATGAACGTGGGTGATCCTGATTTTGTAGACATAACCGAATATATATCAGAAATGCTTTCCATTTCTTTTGCAAAGCAAATTCAGGAAAAGATATTTGACAACACCACTTTCCCTACAGAGTACTATATGTACAGGTATAAATTATGCACTTGTCTATACAAACAAACTCAGATGCTTATCACAACGTGGTGATTTCTGAGCTTTCTAATCTTTCATTATCAGATGGAGTCAACTGAGGGACCAGGGAACTAGCCATTTCTGTGTTGTAGATGCAGAGCGCAATGCTGTATCAATGACAACCACCGTAAATTATCCTTTTGGAGCTGGAGTGCTCTCTCCTTCTACAGGTATCGTGGTTAACAATGAGATGGGTGATTTCTCAGCACCGACAGAGATATCTCCTGACATGCTCCCTCCTGCTCCAGCAAATTTGATTAGACCAAACAAGAGGCCTCTATCTTCCATGACACCCCTTATTATTACCAAGGTTTAGAAAATTCGACCGCAGCTCTTACTTTTTCTTCCAAGTATAATAAAATTGTTTGTCCTCAACTGAACTAGTCTTTCATTTTAAGCGTCATCAAAAGTTCAGATTATCTTATAACTTCCATTGTTTTTTCTCTTTCACTAACCTTACTTGATACCTCTTTTGGGCAGGATAACCAGCTGGCCGGGGTTATTGGTGGCAGCGGTGGGATGAACATAATACCAGCAGTAACCCAGGTTTTCCTAAATCATTTTATCTTGGGGATGGAACCTTTAGCTGCAGTTCATCGTCCAAGGATCTATCACAGGGTACGACTTGTTTGAATTCATAGACATAATAGGTGAAATTGGTATTCTTGTATTTGAAAAAGTATCCAATGAACTTCATCTTGGTTTCCTGCAGCTAATACCAAATGTAGTTTCATATGAAAACTTGACTGTGATTGATGGTGATCACATCGAGCTTGCGGAGGAGACAAAGATTTTCCTGAAAGAAAAGGGTCATCAGCTGGTGGCCAAGTCAGGTGGGGCTGTCGTCCAGTTTGTTGTTCAAACCCTCCAAAACCCCATCAAAATGGGCCGAAAAAATGGAAATGATTCCAACATATATCATGGAACATTAACTGCTGTTAGTGACCCTAGAAAAGATGGGAAGCCTGCAGCACTTTAATCCATTTGTTTGAGGGGTTAGAAGCCTTAAGAAAACAGAGCGATCCTTGAATCATTTCCAGGATAAATCTGTAATTATGAGGAAGTATGACTGTAATCATTTCCAGGACTTCTGTATCACATCAAGTTAAAATTTGTAAATTTTAGATGCAACTTCAGGTAGTCATTCTTGGTCGGAAACAATGTCTTATCATCGCATGAAACTTCTTTTCAGTGTGATCGAATACTGTATCTCCGATCAAGACGCAAGCTCCCAATAAATGCTCAAGTGTCTTGGGATGTTTGAATAAGTTGCCAAGTATCAGTTTTCAAAGTAATATCCCAGTTCATGTCTTACCCTTTTGGGAACAGAAATATCACTGTGAATTTAGAATCCTGAAGACTATCATAACGCCCGACTTGAACACATATGCCACTAGGCCATCTCAATGCAATATGACTGGAGCAAATGTTGTATTGTGAGAGAAAAGACATGACTGACAGTCGTTGGATCCATGGTAGTTGGTACAAGAGTGAGCATGTATTAGGCTAGGTGTAAATTGATTGAAGTAGAGAGAACAAACAAACCAAGAGCTAGTTGTAAATTTATTCTTTGGCCAGTTTTTGTGCCAAATTCAAGGGACTATACAATGCCAAGACACTAAGAAAAATCAGATGTCACTAAGCCACTTCTATGATGCAAGCAATCACTACATATAATTCAGTATGAAGAAAACTGTTGAAGGTTTGTGTTCTATTATTTAGCTTATTGCACAACAGGCAAAATTTCAAAAGTCGAAATTGAAAAGAAAAAGAGGAACACAGATAGAAAGTAACAGGGCGAAAGCAACAAACAATTTGCCAGAATTCTCAAAGAAAATCACCATACCCAATCTAGAAAATCAACCCCCCCCCCCCTTTTTTTTTTCCTCATGATGATTTGTCCATCAGTTGAATAGGAGTCAGAATGTTAGCCTTGCTCGTCTCAACAATGGAACCATTCATAACCATTTCCTCCAGCATGAAATGCGCTTTCTCTAAATGGAACATGATATCTAGCTCACACTGCAAAAAAGATTTATAAACAAGAGAAAACAATAATCAGGTATCTCAAATCATAATGATATGAATGTCGAGGAGACACAAATACACAAGTCCGGTAACTTTGAAAGGGTTAGAAATTAATTCATCTTCTCGGGGAAGAACTTACCACGTTGCCAAAATGACGGTCCATGGTTTCAACTAAGAGATGTATAAATTCCAAAATCGCAAGCTCATTCTGCCACATCAAAGACAAGGGAGCATAATGATGAATATAATTTGGCAAGCAATAAGCAAAACTGCAATCATAAGCTTGAATTAAGTCTTGGCTCATATTAAAACCCAGAAAAGTTCATCCAATATTCTTTTTCTCTCACATTTTCAGATTATGTCAGGAATATACTTAGATGATTAATCAGTTAGATTTAGAACTTTTATTACCAAAATAATATTAGAAATTAGGGACAAATATGGAACTTACTTCATCATTGTCAACTCCAACTAAGAAAAACAGCGAAGCGTATCGCCTATATACAATTTTGTAATTTCGATGCTCAACAAATGAACACTGTCACAATTTAAGCCAAACAAAATGAAATTAATGATATGAAAAACTCTGACTTCTATTATTGATTTAAATTCATTGCATAAAGCAAAATGATAAATTACAAAATTCAAATCCCTAGCAAATCGGGAACAGAAAAAAATTCTTCTGATTCAAGTAGAAAACATAAAAGGTCGGAGGAAAAAGCAAAATAGAAAGCAAATTAATCAAATTAATTTATAGAATGGAGCCATGAGAGGGGGGGAATATTAAGAACCTGTTGCTCGTTGCGGGCTAAGCATTTGCGGACGATCTCCCCTTCGAGGGCACGGCGTTCTTCGAGGGTGAGCCATTCGTAGTATTGAGCAAGACGAGTCTGACCTTGCTTGTTCACCATCAATATGAATCTGATCCCCATCTTTTTCTTCCTTTGTTTCAACCCGGTTGTCTATCTCTACCCTCTAACAGCAAATTGAATCGCGCTTCTTCATTGGTTTTTTTTTTTTTTTTTGTTTCCCTTGATTGTCGTGTTGTTGAGCTTAATGGGAAAATTCAGATTCGGACTAACAAGTTTTACTTTTCACGTTTTTATGCAGTAATATTAATTCTTTATAGATCGTCGTATGTACCAAAATTTTCATAGGTTGCGCCATGATTAGGTGGGCCTGGGCCGAACACCTCTTGCTCAAAAATGGCTGATTTCAAACGCATTTTCTTCTTGCAAAGCTCGGGATATTTCACCGAATAATTTTAAGAGCACATTCTCTCACAATGGCTGCTATGTTCAAGATTTATTTTATAAGTAATCCTCACAATAATTTAATTCAAGTCAACAAGGAAAAAAAAAAAATCCTCCGCTGCCAACTGAATTAACTCTAATGCGTATATGAGTTTTTTTGGACAATTAACATGCTCATAAAAAATAAATAAAATTTTAAAAAATAAAAAAACATCTCATGGAATTTCTTTTGTTGGCTTTTAAGAATGAAATCAGAATAACAATGCAAAGTAGTACAAAAGTAACTTGTTTTCACTGCCTGCAGAATTGCGAGCATCAGGCATTCACCAGGATAGGATCAGAACAGACTTGTGACAAGCAAATTAGAGATTGTTGCTTCCATCGAACATTGTCATCACAAATGGAAACCATTGCAGCACATGATGAGGAATATACCGATAATAATCTGTTTTACCCCTAGGCTTCACCAAGTGAAAGAAATCAAACTGCAATATTACACAAAGGAATCATTCAGGGCTTGTGGACGAAGACTAGACAGTAACTCTGCGCTAAGCATTAGCAGTGGTGAAGAAAGAAACTCAGTTGGTTATCTCATTGGCAACCAAACTTTCTTGGCTACAATTTCCACTATCCAACAATTGGTTTGACGGTTCTTCATCAACCTTGTCTTCAATGACATCTTTATTCCTTAAAAAGCTTGGTTGATTTGTTGAAGAAAGAAGCCTTGCCCACATCCTATCTGTAATCACAACCTTGTTTTGTTTCTCGATAATTCGCTGCACAGATATCATCCAAAAATTATCTCCATCTCAAAGAAAAAATTTTAAGGTATTGTATCCATAAACATTAGTGCTAAAGAAAAGTATAAAATTTAGTCTGACCATCTCAACAAAATTCATATTGTCACTCTTGTGAGTACCTTCGCCATCAGTTTAGCCGTGAAGGCAAAGGGGAAAGTTACTCATAAAAAACGATTTGAAGGTTTCAAATTTCAATCTCACACGTCTTAAATGTGGAAGCCGGGACAAGAATTATTGCAGAATATGAAGCAAGTGCTGTTTGTGAGCAACTCTACATATACTCAGACAGCAGTCAAAAGAAAATTACTACTGAACAGTGATAGATTCATCTACCACCCTCTAGAGGAATAATAAACATCAAGGCATTTCTTTGGGGAATAGTGGTTACTAAGTGGCATATATCTAATCCGGCCATTTTGGAAAGATAAATAAACATCAAGGCAAATTCCTTGGGAGACTCGATTATCATAGGTCATACATGAAACACGGAAATGTTGGATAAAGGTGCTTCAAGGAATAATAAAAGCTTAAGGAATGCTAAAAAGAGTGTGAACATCAGCAAAAACACAAAAGACGAACTATTGACCATCAGAAGTTATACATGCAAAGAACCAGAAAGTGTCAATGTCACAAAAGAAGTATTAAAATCACACAATCTTTATATATTTAGATTTTATAAAGCATTCAATAGAAAACAACGATTTTCTAAAACAAATTTCTAAATTAAAACTCGTTTAGTCATTTCAGGATGAACTCACATTGAATGGTATGTATGTCTGCCTGCCGTTGACAAGACCGCTTGTGAAGCCAGTGTACCCTGCCATCGCCCCATGCACAGCACTTTGGGCAAGAAGTGTGCAGTAAACATTATCAGATGCATTGCTTGGAATAGCACGAATCATATAAGTAGGATCTGCCAGAAGACAAAGTACAATGCTCAATAACTTCTGCTACTTCAACTCAAAAACACCTATGATTTTTTGTGGCAAAAAGAAATCATCAAAAACATCTTAAGTATTTATTCTACTAACCAATATATTTGAGGTTTATGGGCATCTTCCTTTGTTTTGAAAAGTAGTCCTGAAAATGACAGGCCAAAACCAATGAATGTCACATCAAAAAGTTCCATATTATGCATCATCACACGTCTGCTCAGATTGGAATGTTGCCGATATGCACATCCTAGTGCTTTTAACCATATTGCTACCTCAGAAGATGTGAATTGTTCCTAAATTGAATCTACATGGCATACCTTGATCCCCTGTGATATCCATAGTCCAACATCCTGGAGAAGCTTGTTTCCAGAAGCATCTTTTTGTGTCATTGATTGCATGCTCTCGGAAAGCAGTTCCTGTCCTGCACCCTCTGCTATCACAATAACCATATGCCCATTTTCTTTAAGTCGTCTCTCAATGTATTCAAAAAGTCCTCCAGCTCCTTCAAGATAAAAGGGTGACTCTGGGATCAAGCAACAATCAACATCTCGGCTTGCAAGAGTAGCATACATTGCAATAAAACCTGCCCATAAGTTGGGTTTAGATTGCATTAACAAAAAAAAATCTGACACAGTTTCTGGAAACAGAGAATCATAATTAAGGGGAATGTAAACTGGTCTGCAAAACAAAAACAAAAATTAAAGGAACAAAACTAAGAATAATTTTAAATGACACTCATCTTAAAATAGAAAAAATTTATGTTAAAAAGTTGTAAGTCTTTCACTTCTTGCAATGCAGGATTAACACTTCAAAGAGAGACCAAAAGAGAAACTTACCACTGTAGCGACCCATCAACTTCACAAGACCAATACCATTCTCAATACTTTCAGCTTCAACATGAAGCAGCATTAATGGCACGTTGAGCCTCCTCAACAGCAGTGTCAAAGCCAAAGGACTTGTCAATAACCTATCATGTGCAAAAAAGAAACCAAGTTTCAATACTTTGTAGTAATCAAATAAAATAGGTTGCAATCCTAACAGGCTTGTGGTATAACAACATTCTATCAATGCCAAAGAGGATTACCGGGATGTCATTGTCAATGGTTTTGGGGATTCCAGCAACTGAAACTTTGAGACCACGCCTTCTAATTTCCTGTAAAGTGTGGAATAATTTTTTTTTAATATGCACAAACTCGCATAGCAAATCAATATGTGTATTATTAAAGAAATCACCTCAAATATAACAGCTGCGCCTCTCTGAGTTCCATCTCCTCCAATAATGTAAACCTGTGTTACCACAAATGACCAAATATCAGTTAGATTGGCATGTGTTGATCATATTAACTACTTGTACTTCAACTTAGCGGCAACAATCACAAATATCATAGTATTTTTTACCAGACCTGATTAATTCCACGATCCTGAATGCTGTCAACAATCTTTGAGGTAACATGCCCACCTCGTGATGTCCCAAGGATTGTTCCACCACGTTTATGGATATCATTGACAACCTTGGGATCCAAATACATGGTATTTTTAGCATAAAATCCCCTGTATCCTCCCTACAAATGCATTGCACTCATTAATTGCTAATGCACCAGCTTATTAAATGATGGATATATATTTTACAGCATCTTCTAATCAAGGGAAAGGAACATATACCAGCATGAAAATGGTAGGTTAACAAATTAAATGAAGAAGTCAATGTAGTAAGAATTTATATGGTTTTTTTAGTCATCTAGATGGGGTGCTATTATTACCAACTCAGAACCAGAAAGTGTTAATGGTTCAAGAAACTTTTCGCTTGTTTCTTTATCTTTAGAAGGGGAAATGAAAACTGAAAAGGAGTGATAGGAAAGTAAACTACACAAAGAAGAACAAGCTACAGGTCAAATTATCACTTACATCTATCCCCAAAACTTTCTTCACACCATACATGTGGTACAAGCCACATACTATCTCTCGCATCACAGTATTGAGTCCAGGGCAAAGACCACCACACGTCACAATACAGGCATGAACTTCATCAGAGTCAAAATAAACCTAGGAAACCATCAAATATCCAACATTATTGTAAAACACAATTCAGAGTTTCATCATTCCAAATCCCATTCATAAGATCAATCACATTAAACGCATACCTTTTGACGTGGTCCAGCTCATCGGAAATGTATTCCTCTTGGACCATCCTTGTGAACAACAACCTATAAAGAAGAAAAGAGACATCAAAATAGAAATAAACAAAGTCTTAGAAAAATTTTAAAACAAAAAACAAACAAAAAAAATTATAAGGACGACTAACCTTTTGAGGAACGCTGTCATCCACATGAACAAAATATTGCCTGGGGAAACAAAGAAATCCATCCAATTACTACACATTTCGCAACATTAGCACAATTGACATTCGATATCAAATAAAATTTGCAATAAGAATCCGTAAAAATTGGGCTTACTTAACAACTGAGTATGCCGGATTGTCTTGCAACGGATTGGGATAAGTCTGTCGTAGGAACATAAAATCAGATTTAAAAATTTTAGAAATTAACTGATTTCTTATCCATTAAATTAAAAATATATCTATCATAAAAAATACGAAAAAAACTGAGAAGATGAATATAAAACGTAATCTAATATCGTAATTTGTTGTCGACAAAATCTAATATTCAAAAGACAGCTTCCTTTTGTTTTTCCCAAACCTTTTTTGTCGGCAACGGACAAACAATGAATAATGAGAATGAGTATAATTATACATAGAAAGAGTATCAAAGAAGAAAAAGCGTACAGGAAGATCAGCAATGTAATCGGCTAAGTGAGGAACATCTTCAAGAACATAACCACCAGGACCGGTCCCGATCTTAGGCTTTGAAATCTCCGACGAAGCAGCAGAAGCAGAGGAATCCATCACGCCACGTGTCGAACACTCGATCTTCGGACAACAGGAACTACTCCTCCTCCTCAAACGACAACCGCAACCTTAACCAAAACTAACCGTACTAAACTTTCTCAAATTAAAGATTCCGGAACTCGATGGCACCGAAGAGTGGGATTTATTATTATTATTATAATAATTCTTCGTCTTCTTCTTCTTCTTATTATTATTATTATTATTCAGTGGAGAAGAGAAAGACGACGTTGAAGGAGGGGCGAGAGCGGAATCCATTCAAAAGGACATCGAAACGAGTTTTTCGAACAAAAAGAGGAATAGGAGAAATCCATAATTATAGGAAGATGTACTGTTGACTAAAAATGAATACTGATTGAGCTTTCTTTTCTTAGAATTTGGTGTTTTTTATGGGGAGGGGGGAAATGGCTTTATAAAGCAAAAGGAAGAGTTGGAAAAACCTGGTTCCGCCGGTGATTATTGGGTGGTTTTTGACGCAGACAAAAACATCATATTGTTTGTGGTTTTTTGGATGCCCTTTCCAAGTTGTTACTATACTATTCAGTGTGTCCACGAGAAGCATCAAGAAAACCGGAAAGAGAAAGGTTTGGCCTTTTAGGAAATTTCAATTTGTGCAAACCGTTTTTTCAAGTCTCATACGTTAAGTTCGTAACCTTCTTTTGTTAAAAATGAATAAATTAAAATTAAAAATTATAATCGATAAATTAAAAAATTTCATATCATAAATCATTCGAATAAATTTTAGTTTATTTATTAAATAAATATTTTTAATATAAATATTAATATAATTTTTATTATTAAATAAATATTGATTAAATTTAAATTATAAATAATATTTTAAATTTTTTATATATTATTAATTTTTATATCAAATTTTATTAATTTAATTTTTTTATTAATATTGTATTTATTTATTTTTAATAAAAACTCTTAGGAACTTTTATTATAAAATTTTAGATAAGCTTTAGATAAAAATTTTTTGGATTAGAAATAAGTTTAAAAATGGGTTTGGGTCGGGTCCAGTTTTGGCTATGTGGGGAAGTCAAATGCCATGATTCTGTTGCACATTGGATGATAGTCCTGAAACTATGATAAAACTAATCAATAATTAATTGATTCAATTGATTAAAGTGTTATATAGATATATTTTATTGTAATATAAGATTAAATAATTTATTTAATTTTTAAATTTTTTTATCAATATATATATAGCCAATCCATTACCAACCGCATCCACGTGTTTGTCGGTCTGATTATACATGATTTCATGAAAACCAAACAATTAACCTTACTAAAATCCAAATGTCTAAAGACTTTCCTCTTTTGGGAAAGTCAAAAATCCTATGCTAATCGGAATATTATTTCACATTTTTCATGTTGGTTGGTACAGCTCATGAGACATTTGATTCCTGCTATTATTTCCCTTTTTCTTAGTATATTAAGATTCTTTCACTTTTTATTTCAAAAAATAAAAATTCGCTCACTTTAATATAGGAAATAATACGGTGATTTTCTTTTGCACTAAGGGATATGGCTTGGAGAGGAGGTGTAGACGAGAAAGGATCCTTTATCGCTTAAAATTTAATTAAAGTTTTTAATATTTTATTTAAGAATGATAAATGTATTTTTAATTAATTTTTGTTTAAATTTTTTTTTTAATTTTTAATTAATTATATATTTTATATTTAATTTAAAATGATTAAATTTTAATAAAAATTTAATAAAAAATACATTTATCACCCTTAAATAAAATAATAAAAATTTCAATAATTTTTAAGTATTGAGAATGATTTTTTCCAATAGAACAAAGCTCATTTTAGCAAATTTCCAAAATTACTCTTTTTAATTCGCTTCTATTTCTTTTTCTTTTTTTTTTCATCAAGTATGTTTAGGTTATTAATGTCTATTCCCATTTCTTAATCAATTCAGTTTTTTTTTTTTTTTTTGCAGTTGAGGCATTAAAATTTAAATTCTATTTATTAAAACTAAAAAATAAATATTCTAACAATAAATCATTGACTATTTTTCCATTTTTTGTCTTATTTCAAATAGACTATATCATTATTTTTTTTATTATAATCAATTACAATTAATAATTGTGTAAAATTTTACTATTTAAAAATGTGAATTTTACTTAATTTTTTTATAAATTTGTATAATATTAAATTATGATTAATTAATTACATTATAATAACTATAAATAAAATATTACAGTAAAATAAAACAATAGGTTGACTAGGGATATTGAATTTATTGACCAACTGCAATTAATTGCATTTATTTTGAGTAATCAGTCAACTAATTTGTGTGGCTATGTAAATGATTTAAGAATTAAAAAGAATTAAAGAACGAAAAGAGATTTTCAGATTATGATGTGCAAAACTCAATTGAAAAGAGATGAAAACTACATTTTCAAATTAAAAAAACTATACGAGAAATATTAGCTTATTAATCAAAATTTTAATAATTAAAAGAAAATTGATCATCTAACCTATAGTAATCAGATTTACTTTCTAGAGAGTTCACAAATGTCGAATTATAAAATAAAAGAAAAATACTAGTCACAAGCCACGGCCACCGGAGCTCCATGGAAGGTGACGATGTCAGGCCAGCAGCAGGGCTCAGGATTCGGAACCGGATCCATATAGAATTAGCAGTTATTGCGCCGCATGGGAGGAGTTTATCTGTTCACGGCCTTTTCAGTTTTTCCCATGCCAAACGCCAACCATTTCGATCGAGAGTTTTACTGAAGCACGTTAGCCATTTGCCCTTTTTGGATGCTGAACGATGCCACGCGTCATATAACACCTTCGACTGTTTTACAGAATTGTATTAATTGATTATTTAATTTCATTTAAATTAATTATTAAAATATTATTTAAAAGTAATTATTTATTATGATAATTAAATAATAATATTTATTTTAATAGATTTAAAATGTAACAAATGATTGATTTTTATAAATAAAAATAATATATATTAACATGAAATAATCGTTTTATATAATTTTTTTGTCTGGTTCTTAATGATTAGACATAAACAGATTTAATACCACTTCGGTTGCATCTTTTGCACGTTTCTTCCACTAATTAAGATCACGAATTTTGCATTGACCCATTGTCCTGAAGGTAAGTCAGTGATCCATGAAGCTTTCATATCAGCTATTAAACAGTAAATCCATGACGGTTAGAGATGTAATTGAGTCAAGTTGATACAGTAAAAAATTTGAGTTCGACTTATAATTTGAGATTCGATATTCGGTTTAAATTTGATCGAGTTTTATTTTTCAAATTCGAGTTCAATTTGTGATCGAATTCAAATTACTTGAGCTCATTCGATTAAGTTCGATTAATATGTAAAAATAAGTTCAATTCATATACTCGACAAGAGTTTGATTATTTATGCTCGAACTCGGACTTAAAATATTTTATTAATTAAAATAATAAAAATATATTTAAATATAAAAATTCGATTAGGCTTGCGAGCTACTTGAACCGGATATAAGAATACTCGAATTCGGTTCGATCGATAAATCGAGCTACTCGAACTCGACTCGATAATAATCGAATCGAATTCAAATTTTTTTCGAATCGAATCCGAATAACTTACGAGTATTAATATATCATTTACACTTTTAATGATAACGATCTTAATGGGCTGCCGTAAAATTTCGATCATCTTTTTCGACATGTAATTTTGTTGGCAAAATGACTGCTCCAAAGAGCATCAACTGGAAAAGAAAAAATAAAAAACAGAGCAACCATATATAAACAGCTTGAATTATGAAGATAATGAGAAATGAGAGGTGCTAAATTATGTATTAGTGAAATTGAAACTTTGATTACTTTAATGTCCTGAATTTTCTTTTCATTTACTATGATTTTTTAGTATAAAAGCTTTTAACTTGTAAACGAAGAGTAAATTTGATTTCTCAAAGTCACTTTATGAATCTCAAACAAAGTGATAAAATCATCGAATTGAATGGAAAAAATTCAAACGCAGATTACTTTACCTGAAAAGCAAACATTTTCAGGAAAATTGCAACAATATAAAATAATTGTTGATTAATTTAGGTGCCCCAAACTAAGAGGAATGCACAAAATCTAGAAACACGTCTATTGCTAATCGAAACCATTAAGTAACAGATTTTGGGCCAATTTGTGAGCTGGTCCATATATAAAAACGATTCCTTACTATTGTCCAAATCGTTCCCTTTGACTCTGTATCGCAAAGGAAAATTTATGTTACTATACTTACTATCTTCATTGAGTAATGAGGACATTAGGCTTCTAGATCTTATACTAAATACATTAGCACGTTCAATTATTTTTTCTCAAAGAAAGAAAATGAGCTTTAACTTAAAATAACTATTTTTGAATACCAGAAGTTATTTAATTATTTAATATTAAAAAATAATTCTGTTTTGAGTGTTGAGAAATTTTTTAGTAGTACGCCAATCGGACGGCAAGGGATTGATCATCAACTAGCACACTGAGACTTCCTTCGTACACCGCTCAGTTTGCATCCCATTTCTTCTCTCACGTGTCTCCAGAAAACTCCGCACTCTTCGGCCAGTCAAACCCCCTACATTTCTGAAGTAGAGCAAAACATCAAAGGCTCAAACCAGTAGCTCCCATCTCACACAAAACCCTTAGACATCCAAACAAAACGAAGCTTCACAGCGTCCGTGCAATCTAGGGCTTCTCAGAGACCACCGATCACGATGTACCGAAACGCGGCTTCTCGCCTCCGGGCTCTCAAAGTAAGTTCAGTAATTTCCGAAACCCTAATTTGTGATCGCTGATAATTCGATCTCACGGTCGCAATCGGTCTCCTATCTAGAATATAACAAAGCTACTTCGATTCGATTCTGATTTGATTTTGAATTCATCGATATGCGGTTGCTTTCCTTTTACTTGATTGATATGTTCTTTTATTCGCTACTAATGCTTAGCTTGTTACCTTGATTTCTTAATGAATACATTTATCTCTTCTTAGTTAAGAAATGGGAAATTGGATTGATTATGAATCTCAGCTTCATTCAATTCGAGATTATACGTTTCTCGAGTGATTGTCTTTTTTTATTGTTATTATTATTTAATTTTGTTAAGGATAATGTATATTTACTCTCATTAATATATTGAGTGAATTGACCAATAGAATTTTTGCTTATAAAACTGCTTCATGTTGTGGAAGAGTCGTAGTTTTATTAACTTTTTCTGTAGAGAATTCAAATTTATTTATTCTAAAGAAGTGGGTAAGTGGGAGCTTGTTAGGAGAAGTACAAACTGCAAAAAAGATTACACGTCCAGAAATGTGAATTACTGTAAGAAACAAAAGAGAGATTAGCGAGCTAGAATTTTCCCCCACAATCCCGATTCAGATAAAGCAGCTGATTAACTCACTTACTGACAATATTGGAAGATAGTTAAGTCTAAATGTGGCTATTTTATTGATGAAGCAACATATGCCTGGAGTGGGTTGTGTACTTTATCCATATGCCCTATTGTTTGTCTCCCTCCAAAAGAAGTAGATATAAGCAGTCCTAGAAAGCCTAAGCTTCAAGGATCAAAACTGGCAGCTATTTCCTTTTAGACCTTTTTTTAGCCCATTGGAACTCTGAGGATTAGTTCTGACCTGTCTATATATTGGAGAGATTTGCAATGCCTTTTGCTTGACCTGTTTAAAGAAAGAGCAGAGGAACATCTAATATCTAGTTTTATCCAACTAATTGCTCAGTTAGCCGGCAGTGCTAGGCAAAGAAATATCCCAGCAGTTTAATCTGTGTGGCAGAGGAAGCTTGTCCAAGAGGAGTCATCCGTCACCTAACTTATTCTTAACCGAAGGGTTTAGCCATGTCTTAATAACTTTCTTCAGCTCTAGCTGCAGTTATGAGGGTGGAGGCCTGCCAAAAAACTTACATTTTTCTTTTATTGAATTTCTTCTTCTGCTTGTTCCATTTATAATTGTTTTATTTGTTTGGAGGAAACTTTTAAACTTCAACAACTTAGACTTATCAACTTCAAATGGGTTATTATTGTGAAGGTAGCTGTTGAAACTGCGTATTGATGTTAAGCTGTTTCATGAGCATTGTTGTTGATTCTTCAGTTGTGATTTGTCTGGTATACTTTTTTCACATATTGGTGAAAATGCAAGTATAGGGTCGCACATGCCGTAGAGCACCTGCAAGGTTTGCAAGTTCAAGTGCTGTTACTACAACATCATCCTCTTCAGGCGGCTTTTTAAGTTGGCTGACTGGGAGTCAGTCCAAGTCCATACCATCACTGGATTTGCCCCTACCAGGTGTTGTCCTACCACCTTCATTGCCTGATTATGTTGAACCTAGTAAAACTAAGATAACATCTCTGCCAAATGGCCTCAAAATTGCTTCAGAAACTTCAGCAGTACGTATGGATATGCTTTTTGTGAAGAATATTTTCCTATTTAGAAGAGAATTAGTTTTCTAATTTGTTGAGGAATTGGCTATTTGTTTTTGTTGCTGAGCAGAGTCCTGCAGCATCAATAGGATTATATGTTGACTGTGGTTCAATCTATGAGTCACCAGCCTCATTTGGGGTCTCGCACCTACTTGAGTGTATGGCCTTCAAAACCACAACAAACCGAAGCCATTTGCGTATTGTGAGGGAAGTAGAGGCGATTGGTGGCAACGTGAATGCTGCAGTTTCTCGGGAGCAGATTGGATATACCTTTGATGCTTTAAAGACTTATGTTCCTGAAATGGTAGAGCTGCTTATTGACTGTGTGAGAAACCCTGTTTTCCTGGATTGGGAGGTCAATGAACAGGTAAATGTCTTAATCTTAATGTTTTTGTGCTAAATAGTTCTGTTTCAGATTAAATGCCCTTCTGAGATGACAATTTATTATTTCACCTTCTGCAGATTCAGAAAGTGAAAGAGGAAATTGCTGAAGCTGCAAAGAATCCTCATGGCTTGCTTTTAGAGGCCATTCACTCGGCTGGTTATTCTGGTGCATTGGCAAATCCTCTTTTAGCCCCAGAATCTGCAGTTAATATATTGAATGGTACAGTTTTGGATGATTTTGTTGTGGTGAGTCTAAGAAAACTTTATTTGGTATGCTTTCAGCGCTAATTATGTCATTGTAGTTAAGACTATACGTGATCTTTGTGTATCTTCCTCACTAGTAAGCTTCTTTTTCCTATTAAAATATTAGGAAAATTTTACGGCTTCTCGGATGGTACTGGCAGCAACTGGTGTTGAACACGAAGAACTGTTATCTGTTGCAGAACCCCTTTTGTCGGACCTTCCCAATGTTCCCCATCCTCAGGAGCCAAAATCTGTGTATACTGGAGGAGATTATCGTTGCCAGGCTGATTCAAGGGTATGTATTATAAAAGCTTAAAATGAGTTTTGCTTTATATTTCTTCCCAGTCTGAGTTGCTAATGATTTTCACTAGCAGGATCAAACTCATTTTGCTCTTGCATTTGAACTTCCTGGTGGTTGGCACAAGGAGAAGGAAGCTATAATTTTGACTGTTCTTCAGGTTTTCAACGTTGGATTTCTCTATCTGCTCAATGTTCTTGTTCCATCATGTTTTAATTTTTTACATGGTTCATAAAAAATCTTGCTAGGATTGTGCTATCTTGCTTGATTTTTTTTTATTGCATTTTTTGTTCTCCCTGCTTGCTACCATGATTTCAAGATAGCATGATTGATAAATCTAATTATCCTCTAGATTCTAATGGGTGGAGGTGGATCATTTTCAGCTGGTGGCCCTGGAAAAGGAATGTATTCAAGACTATGTAAGTTAATCTTTGCGTATAATCTTATCTTTGAGTATATGACATGTTATAGTTGTAAAGCAAGGTAGAAAAAGTTTTTTTGCTATTTTAGTGCATCACTTTATTTGCAAATTTATTCTGCAAGTAGACACTCAATTTCTTTTATTTCTTAGCCAATTTGTATAAGTCGGCGTGAAAGTGTTTTGGTTATATTATGAGCAGATCTTCGTGTCTTGAATGAGTATCCACAAGTTCAGTCATTTTCAGCATTCAACAGCATTTACAATCATACTGGCATATTTGGAATACAAGCTACAACTGTAAGTCTGCTCTTAAACGTTCCATTTCTAATTCTTGCACAGTTCTTGATTCCCATCTCTATTTTCCCCTGCCCCCTTATTTTGTGTAGCAAGAGCTCAAGTTGATATCATAGCTTTCTCTCTACTGTTGTCTTCTCTTCTCTTCTTTCTTTTTGTCTTGTTTTGTTGTTTCCTTTGGCACTAGAGATATTGAAGCCACAGGTTTGGCCAAAATTATTGGACTATATATCAGGTTTGATAGGGTTATGGGACAGTGGGTTTTGGAGTTCATATTTCCTTTGGTAGATTTGAATTAAGAAAGTTCTTGGATAGTAAAGTTCATGATTCATGACAGCCATGTGAGAGTCATGTTGGCATCTTCCATGTAAAATGATGTTAGTGACTCTCACAACCAAATCATTGCTAGGTGATTTTCATGCAAGACATGTATTTGTTAATGCTTGTACGTTGTAATTGTCTTGATTACATGGCCATGATGACCCACATTTGAAAGTTGTTTTCACGTAATCTTTTGTTGTATATTTTTACCTACCTGTTCCCTTGGCTCTTTTTCTTGGCCTTTCGCTAAATTGATACCAAATTTCTGATAGTGTAGACACTGTCTGCTGATAATGTCTGCATCATAGTGCTAATCTTGATGACGCTTATGTTTCTGGACTCAGGGTTCTGATTTTGTACCAACTGCAGTTGATGTAGCTGTCAAGGAGCTTATTGCTGTTGCAACACCTGGACAAGGTTGACTGCTCTTTATTTTGGCAATTATTTGGTCTTTGCTGCAACATTCCACTTAATGGCCTGTTATTGAAATGCTTTTCTTGTTGTTTGTTGCAGTTGAGCAGAAAGAACTAGACCGTGCTAAACAGTCAACCAAGTCTGCCATTTTGATGAATTTGGAATCCAGAGTATGTAAATTGTTTTGTAGATGAATTCAATTATGCTGGTGGAGGATTCATATTCTCCTGCCAAGTGTTGTTGTTTACTCATGAGGTGTTTTCTGCAGATGGTTGCTTCAGAAGATATTGGTAAACAAATCTTGACATATGGTGAGAGGTATGACTGTTTATAAGATTCTTAGCTTTTGTCCTTTTTTGTGATGGGCTGTGACACTGCTAATTAGTTGCTTCTCATTGACTTCTATATCTATTACTGTTTGCTTTCAATATTTCTGTTTATGAGAAAATACCATGAAATTTTTCTTCGTCCTCATAAAATTGTTTTGTATTTACCAGGAAACCTGTGGAGCATTTCTTGAAGGCTGTTGATGAAATTACACTGAAGGATATTTCTTCAGTAGCCCAAAAGCTTCTGTCTTCTCCTCTCACAATGGCATCATATGGAAATGGTAGTTCTCTGTTTAGTTAAAGCTTAGAACACTGGGTTTCATCTGTTTTATTAGAATGCATTTTAGATTAACTTGTTGGTTTTGTTCATGTTTTGCAGTCATTAATGTCCCAACATACGATTCAGTTAGCAGCAAGTGCAAGGGAAAATGAAATTGCTTTGTTCTGTCAAACTTGATGGGTATTTGACCTGTTTTCGACAGTTTTATGCATCTGCAAGGTGCTGTTGAAAATAAGAAGTTTAGTTGCTTCCATTTTTAACAATAAATTGTTTATATCCCTCCCTAGCAAGCAACGTATTAGTGAAATAGCTTCTGCAGACAATGGGACTCTTTTGTTTCTGCTGAATTCCATGACTTTGGTCAACGGTTTTGAAAAATCTGTCTTCATATTTTTTTCCACTACTGTTTTACCAATTACCCAAAGCAAATTCACCTATGTTTCTTAACCTGCGAATGTTTTGACTGGAAAATTTTTGGTGTATATGTCAGAACATGTGCTGGTTTTTGCATAATTTTCAGGTTTTACATTTTACAATTTATTTCAGGTTACTCGAATTTAAGATGGATGCTTTTGAATTCACCCTTACGCTTTCTCTGCCCATTTCTTTTTTTTTTCCCCGCTCTTTACATGTTATGGACGGTGGGGAAATTGATTTTGGCATGAAGATTATTTCAAAGCGTAAGGATTGCATGAATATGCTTATATGGTTGTCATCCGTGTCAACTGCGAACACAGATATTAAATCTTAATAATTATGTAGTGCACATGTTCGAGTAACTTGCTTGCAATAGATTTCTTCTTTACGTCATTTAGTACTGTATTGATTGATTAGTACATGTACTGATTATCATGAATGGTCGACTGGTTGTTCTGGAATGGTTTTAATTTTGGGAGTGGAAATGATGATATACATATGATCAAGTATTTTTTTTTATTATTACTATTACGTTGCAATAATTGCTGTCTGTTCCTCTTTATTGTGTGTATAAATAAGTTTTAAGTGATCAATATTTGGCATAAAGTTTGCTGTTCTTGAAGTTTATGCTTTTAATCTTAAGCCTTGCTCATTCCTAAATATGAAATATGAAAGGTGGTAAAACTGGATACTTTTGATATCCATCGGCAACTACCCGGTGGCTATACCATTCAACCAGAATATACGGGCAATAAAGACCTTGATCAACAAGTTCTTAAAAAAATTATTGCTCTTTTGACAATGGCAGAAAGCAACTGAGCAAGCCTGTTAACAATTTAATAAGCATGGTGAAAGATGTGGTCAAAACACCAAAAAGATGGAGAGGAATAAAATCAAGGGCCAAAATGCGAAATCTTTCTTGTCAAACAGTCTTTGCCAACAATATTTGTCACACCATTCTTCTCAAACAAAATTAAGTTGGTCAGCAGATAGTATCCCTGTGTCCTTTCTTTTATTTTAGAGTTCTTTTTTCTTTTACCCCCAAGTCCCACAGACAGACCTTGTGGTTTGCTCTTTCTTAACTTCACATCTGATTTTCTTCTCTTTATTCTTCACTAAAGATCAAGATTTTTACACATGAATTAGCTATATTTAGTGAAACATCGTTGCCAACCACAACCAGTCGCAGCAGCACTCATTCGATTAGTTGCAATTTTTGTTGAGAGTTGAGGGAGGCATTGGTAGGCAAATTTCTGCGCTGTGTCTGAGCTCAACATTTTGTGCTTTTCATTCTCCACTCGGGCATCTCTCTCTCATGTTGTGGCAGTGAGATGTATACTTTGTTAATGCCGAAGAAAAATTCAAAGTGGGGCAATGTAAACCTTAATTAACTTGCATTATCGTCTTACTTAATAAATTTTTATACTTAAATTTTCATTTTTATATCAACAGTACTAGTGAGTTGTTGTTATGGAATTTGTTTATTTACATTAAAGTTGGGCCGTAGGACTTTATAAACTTCAAAAAGGTCATAAGAGCCACTATCCTCATGCAATAGATATTCTCATACATCAATTATGTAAAGTCTTTCTACTACAAATATGCCTCCAAATATACCTAGAAAAATTCTTCGAATATTTCATGTTTATTATTGTAGATCATTTCAGTACTCCTTGCAGTAAATTGGTTGTACACATTTTTTTAATTAAAAATTATAGTTTGAGAATAAAATATAAAATTATATGTATCTCAATTTAAATTTTTAAAATTACATAAATTAATTAAATTAAGTTTTAAATTTCGAACATGACTTTTTAAGAAAATCATGTACTAACTATCAATGATGAAAGAATTTAACAAGTGATTATAACTTATAGGGCTAAAAATTGAAAAATAAAATGAGACCATTAATATTTATGGCAGATGAGGAGAATCAAAGAGCATAAAAACAATGTTCTTAAGATTTGTTGGTTCCTTTTGCCCAGATTAGTCAAAAGTCAACTTATTGGATAATCTGATCTGAAGAGCATTCCCTGGCCTTTGGGACAAAAAGACAAACCCTCTTGCTCACTAGTTGAATTATAATTGGCCCACTGTTTTTTTTTTTTTTCTCCCCTTATTTTTGACACATTAAAAAATTTTAAAAAAAAACCCTTCTAGGATATATTCTTCCCTGTCCAATGAAATCACATAATTCTTTCAGCTCAGAAAAAAAAAAAAAAGTCAGAAAAGAAGCAATCATAGCCATCATCTGTTTTGCAAACATATATCCAGTTGAGTAAAAATTTTTGCAAAGTGCTTCTACTTGAAGATTTCGTACAGAATTTTTTTTTCTTCTTATATATATGAATATATTTTTATATGATTTGTGTAGTTGTAATTACATTGGGTGGTGGGGGTCCATGGAGTACACTGCTCATTTGCCTTGTATATCAAGCAACCTCGCAGTTCTTCTCTCTCTCTCTCTCTCTCTCTCTCTCTCTGCAACATTCGTGGCAAAAGAATCATGATGAGCACTCCATCTCAAAACCCATGTGAGTTCTTGTCGACTTTTTTTTTTTCTTCTCTCTATTTCTATTTCTTTTTCCACAATCTCTCCATCTTTCTCTCCTTCTCAAAAGGAAAATTTTACCCTTTTTCATGACAGGGTTTGGTAACTCTAATCAGATATATATTATGGAAAAAACTAATGAAAAAAACTGTAATTTTCCCACATATCGTCTTCATTACTCAATGTTTTTCACTGCCACGTAAAACTTTCTAGGTTGAGTGTTTTCTGTCATTTTTTTAGCACCCAGCTTAAGATTTCTCAGTTCTTAACTTTATTGATTTCATTCTTTTATATATACCATCAAAATATTAGCCAATAGATTTAAATCATCTTTTTTGGTGTTATTTAACAAAAAAAAGATTATGTATTTAAGTATAATTATACAGATAGGGTTGCCATGCTTTTGAATGTGTGCCTCAAGTAACAGCTGTGAAGGCCGTTTCTTCCCTTTTGCTTTAGTAGTCAAGACCTCCAAAACGAAGGTGTGGGAGGCCTTAAGCTTTAGAGATGAAAGAACAAAGAAAAAAGCCAATTGGCCGGGTAGTTTTTTTTTTTTTACCTTTCTATCTTTGTTTCTCTTTCTCTGTCTCTCTCTTAAACCGCCTAGCTACATGTGCTACTTAAATTTGCAAAGGCTTAAAGGCTAGGAAGGGCAGCTTTTCCTTTTTTTCTCACTTGGGCTTCAGTTAAAGTAAGCTCAGAGAGGGAATTCTGGTGTTTTCTAAATGGTAAAAGCAGGTTTATAGATCAATCCCTGTGACAGTTTCCTCTTTTCCTCTCTCTCTTGATTCTTCTTCTTCTGCTGTTTTCTTTCTTATGAACCACTACTTCAATTTTTCCTTGTGGGAAAATAAAAATATCTTCTTTTGGAGCATATTTCTCATCTGGGACTTGCCTAAATTTCTTGTTTTTGGATTGGTTTAGGTAATAGTTTCATACAGAATAGCACCTTGTGTTGATAAGACACATGAGTATTTATATAGGAATATAGATATGAAAATTGAAAGCTGTCTCTTTTTTTTTTTTTTTGGGTTCTTTTTTCCCGTTTTCTGAGTTAATTTAGAGGTTTTGATATGTTCTTCTTCCTCCTCCTCTTTGATGTCTTCTTTTAGTGTGGATAAATAAGCTCTGAAGTTACAAAAATCACATATTTTCAATCATTTATTCATTTAGTAACTATGTATCTTTTTTGTCAAAACCATCAGTTTATTTCCTTTTTTTTTCTAGTTTAAGGAATATCAGATCACAAACAGGCTTATATATGGTTAATGGTTTTTGTTATATAGAGAAGCTAACTGGGATATGAGTAGTTGGCTGCTATATAAAGTTGGTTATTTCATAGAAGATTTTAAGAGTTTGAGAGAAAGAAGATAGCTTCTGCCGCACCGAAAAAAAAAGGAAAGGAAGCAATGAATCAGAGTAATCTTGGCTCCGTCAGTAGCTCTGATCTCATCGATGCAAAGCTTGAAGAGCATCAGCTGTGTGGATCCAAGCAGTGCCCTGGCTGCGGACACAAGCTTGAAGGAAAGCCGGTACGGATTAGTCTCATAATATTCTTGGCTTCAACAGCAAGATTTTGGCAAAAGAAGAATCAAGAGAAAATATGAGAATTATGCTTGCTGTTTTACATGTTGGTTCTTTAATAAGAAATTCATTCAAAATTTTGATTAAAGCTTTCTTCTTTTACTCTTTATTTAGTTTATTCTATTCTTTTGCTTTAGTTTAAACTTTGATTCTGAATAATGAAATTTTTGCAGGACTGGTTTGGTCTACCAGCTGGAGTGAAATTTGATCCGACAGACCAAGAACTGATAGAACACCTTGAAGCAAAAGTAGAAGCTAAAGACATGAAACCTCACCCTTTGATAGATGAGTTCATTCCTACAATTGAAGGAGAAGATGGGATTTGTTATACCCATCCTGAGAAACTCCCAGGTAGTCAGAACATATAAATTATATATGTATCATCCCTTTCTCTCTCTCTCTCTCTCTTCCTCTTGTGTGATTGCTTCCATCATTATTCAATGCTGTTAGGTCTTACTATATTGTCTCAAATAAAGCTGCAACCTCATGAATTCCAGGGGGTTGTTTTTTTTTTTTTGGTTATGACTTTGAAGATTATTGCCATTGTCTCATAGTTTGTTGCACCTAAGTCAACCTAACTTTGATTTTGGCAATGGTTTGCTACATTTCTTGCAGGAGTAACCAGAGATGGCTTGAGCAGGCATTTCTTCCACAGACCATCAAAAGCCTACACAACTGGGACAAGAAAAAGAAGGAAAATTCAAACCGAATGTGACTTCCAAGGTGGAGAAACAAGATGGCACAAAACCGGCAAGACAAGGCCAGTCATGGTCAATGGCAAACAAAAAGGGTGCAAGAAAATCCTAGTTCTCTACACAAATTTTGGCAAGAATCGAAAACCGGAGAAGACCAATTGGGTCATGCACCAATATCATCTTGGTCAGCATGAGGAAGAGAAAGAAGGAGAGCTTGTGGTGTCAAAGATATTTTATCAGACTCAACCGAGGCAGTGCAACTGGTCTGATCGAAGCGCAACAGTTGTTGAAGGTAGCAATGAGCCGAATAGAGGAAGAGATTGTGGCAGTGGAAGTTGTTCTTCGAAGGAAGTAATCCCTCTCAGAGATGAAGTATCTGGAGCTGGGGTTGCTACTGCTTTATCAAGTTATGCCGTTGCCATGGATATGCAACAGTTAAAATCGGATGATTTCAGTTTCACCCCATTCAGGAAAAGCTTCGACGAGGTACAATTTTGTTCATTTTATGCAATGTATTTTCTCCCTTCTACAACTTCAACTTCCAAAATTTTCCTACCACTCCAACTTTTAACATTAATCAACAACCACGAAATAAAAGCATAAATTGACATTGACGTTTGTACCTTGTAATTTTATCCACAGATATTATCTCTATCAACTAGCTACAAAAACAAAAAATGATATATGAATGAATCCAATTTTCTTGTGCTAGCTTGCATGTTAATACTCGAAAAGCAGAAATAAGCATTCAAGTTTTAAACATCAAAGTGGTCAGTATTATCTTATATTGCATAAATTAAAAGTAAAGGGAAGAGATCATAAAGTTTTAGGGTTGCTTTTTCTCTTAGTCGATTGCTTGCATATAGGGCATAAAAAAAATCTATGGATGTCACTTTGATTATCTTTGTGAGCTAACTATTTATTCCTTGTTTACCCACCAATATGACCGACGTTAAAACTGAGAGTAAAACTATTGAAACAAAAAAAGGGTGAAAAATGGAATTAAAGCGATGGAAAATGTTGTGTTTGAAAATGGACTAGCTAACAAAATGCTTCTTGGGGGTCTTCATTGCAGGTGGGGATAGGAGAAGCTTCAGCAGCAAGCGAAGCCCCAGCACAAGGCACGTGCGAAGAGTTATGCGAGCACCCGCAGCCACATCATATGGCCCATGATCATCATCATCATCAGCAGCAACAACAACAACAGCATCACACACATCATCAGATTGCCACTACGGCCTTCCACATCAACAGGCCTTCACATCCCATCTCCACCATCATCTCTCCACCTCCCCTCCACCACACCTCCATGATTCTTGATGAGGACTCCTTCCATGTCTCCAGAATAATGCTTCAAAATGAAATTTTCCAGGTAATACATCATTATTATCAATCAAATTAACCTCCATTAACTCTCCCCGTATAATAATCCACCAATAGTTAAAATGAGTCACATTGCATGTGAACAAGATATTTACGCACACAACTTTATTAGATAGTACAACTACTTTTCGTAATTCAATGTACTTAATAACTTTCTCTGGAAACCACAATTTTAAGTGGGATTTTCATTTTTTAAATACAGTTTTCTAATATAATTTCTATATTGTACCTAGCAGGAACAAAATGACACAGTGTTTTACACATGCATGCCAAATTCATATATTAAGTACGGTACTTATACTAAGCCAAAACCCTTTTTTCCCACTTTTTATTTATTTTTTTGTTTTACGGTTAACTCAATCATGCATGTTTGTAATTAAGTCAGAACTTAATTATAAATGAATTGATCATGGGATGCAGCTCAGTCATGTAACTGGGTCTGATTTTTGCGGTGTAAATGTGGCACGCTGCTTTTAGTGTCAGCTAATTTGGGAACAATGAACTGTCTTTTCACTTTTTAATCCTTGTTGAAGACTTGATGATTTAGATGGGTAATTTCGATTTATTTATATTTTGTTGAATTGAATAAATGCAGCAGCAACAGCATCAAGAGCAACAGCAGCAGCAACATCATAAACTGGGAGGAAGGTCCGCATCTGGTTTGGAGGAACTCATAATGGGTTGCACAACTGATATCAAAGAAGTGAGTATGAACTTTTTGACCCTGAACTCCATGAGCCTTGTTTGTCATAATACCAACTAAGAAAGGGAAGAAAGAAAGAAAAAGTAAGGGAAGTATATTTTTTAATAAAACAAAGGATAAAAAGAAGTGAAAAAAAAAAAAAACCAAATTCTTTAGGTAATAATTTTTTTTTTTAAATAAAGAGAGAAACCAGAATCCTTTTCTTTTTCTCTTTATCTCTTTTAGTATTTTTTTTCTTTTTCGTTTTTCATATTTCGATCAGAGTTAAGTATGGCATAATTCAGCATCCTGTAAAGAAATGCACGTAGCTATCAACCAACAATAAAAAGCTATTAAAGAGAGTGCAGTAACTTTTTCTTCATGGAAAATTAAACATAAGCTGCTATTTGACATGAACAACCTTCTCCTTTAGTTACCTGCTCTCTTCAATATGCCTGTGTGTGTGTGTGTGTGTGTATGAGGTATCAACTTAATCCAGTGTAAAAAAAAAAGTTTGACACTTTTTTAATCATTAATTTCAATAGATCAAGAAATGAGAGAGATAAGTGTAAGAGGAAAAAATAGGTTTAAATTCATAAATCCCCAAACTAAAAGTATAACTTATAGCAGAATGTGAAACCATATTAAATCAAATCTTGAATCAAAATAGAATCTTCCTTTATATTTCTCTTTTGAACAAAGATAGTGGAAAACTAATGCCTATACTACTTTTCAACAACTCCTTTGATGTTTCTTTGAATATGTTGCTAATCAGAGCTGTAAAATCTGGGAAATTAGCCCCTTTGTGACTAAAAACAAAAGGGAAAAAAAAAAGAAAAGAGAATAAATATCTAAAAAGCAAAGAAAACAGCTAGTGTTAACATTCATTTGGTTGGGTACAAAAGGAGATTTGGAAGAGGGAAGAGAAAGTGCATGATAGCAATATGAAATCTTTTATCATGTGTTGCCTCATAAGATAGATACATCAACAAACAATTTGATTGTGAAGTGGGAGAGGACAAAAAAGGCAGCTTCTTCATTTGTTGTATTAGGTGAAAATTTTGTGGTTGAAACCCTAACCCTAATTTAAAAAAAAAAAAATTTTCACATGGGTATTTTTGCAGGAGTCATCCATCACAAACCCACAAGAGGCTGAATGGTTGAAGTACTCGTCCTTCTGGCCTGACCCTGATAACCAGGATCATCATGGATAGGAGCAAAAAATTTAGACAAACAAACGAAACCTTACAGACATCATTATTATCATCATTATTATAGTTCTTGAAGTCTCCGGTGAAGATCTTTTCAAGAAGAGGCCAAGCAACCATCTACTATAGTTTGCTCTTTTTCTTTCTTTTCTAATGGGGGGTGGGAGGTGGGGGACCTGGTTTATGACTCTCAAGCTCTCTCAAGTCTCAACTGAATTAACTGTACATCTGTCCATGTCGGAAAGAAAGAGAAAGAACAAAAGGAAAAAGAAGAAAGAAAGAAAGAAAAAAACAAAGAAAAGAAAAGAGAAGAAACCAGGGAAAGGCTGCTCTCTACTGACAAATAGAAGGAGAACCAAAGACCCAAAGCAAAATCCGTCCTGCATGAAAATCATCACCGTTATGATTACAATATCATCTTTATGCCTATCCTATTCTTATTATTTTATTATTTCAAGAATCTTGTATACTTTCTTTTCAAAGAAAAATACCAAAGAATTTGTGCAAATTGCGACAATTACTTTGTTAATTGTGTTGCTTTTAGTCACCTTTTCTAGTAAAATATGGATATAAGAGGGTTCGCGATTTTCCTTTATATATAGAAATGAAATATTGGTTACAGAATTGTTTATAACATTGGTGTGCCAATTTTTCCAGTACTTGTGGTATTTGCAGACTATTTATAGTAGATTTAGGTTATCCGCTTTCTATATTATTGAATGAATGATAATTTTAAATATGGTTCTAAAAGTGTATAAGCTACCTAACCCACATTTCTAATTAATCTCAAGAGCTTAGATCAACTAGCCAGGGATCATGAACTGTCGGCAGGCCATATATATTATCTGCATGTATATACCCCAAAGGAGAAGAGTTAGTCCTTCAGTAATCAGGAATTCTAGATCATGATCATGATAACTTTTCATCATCTATATCTTTGTCACGGTCAAATCCCGTCTTTGAAGTAAAATTAGTTCCTTTTCATTGCTTTCTCCCTACATCTAAGCACCTAAGGCGACAGCAGTAGTGCTACAATTATGCTAAAAAAATCGAAGTAAAAAACAACTACTATTGCTAATGATGCATGAAGAAAGTTGGTGCGATATGTTGATTTATCAGGTCAAGTATTCTTTTTCAATTTTTATTTTGCTTGTTGAGTATCCTTTTTTATCCTTTGTTATTACCTTTAGTGACAAATGGGGAAGATGTTCTGAGGGCTTAAAATCAGGGCTCCTTTGGAGCTTGTATTGGTACTGATGTTTGCCTAATGAAAAGTAAATGTACTTTTGCTGGCTTTGGGTTTAAATTATGGGTCCTCACACCTCACTTAATTACAATTCCAATTCACTTAGCGACTTACCAAACAGTTTCTTAAAGGTCAAAAAATGAAGTAGAGGGGCTTTTGCCCTTGTTAACAATTGCCAGAACTCTCTTTGAAAGCTGCTACCACACGTCTCATTTTGAGGTGACAAATGGGACATTGCCACTTGCATGTTTTTTTTTTTATGGACTAAACTTTATATCATGCTGCATGATTTTTTTTGTAAGTGGTTGTCACTTGTCATACTCCTGATAATAAAGGAATAGTTGTTTGGTTCTTTGGATTTAGATTATATTAGGAGTGGAGAGAAGAGAATTTGGGTTTTTTTTTTTGTCTTGTTAGAATCTTGGAATCTTTCAATAGTAGCAGCAGAAATCACATTTTAAAGTATCAGTCTCTCTTTTTTTTTTTGTTACTTGGGAAACTTATTTAATGCTTTTATTTTTATATCTATTCCTCAGCTTCCAGCTTTTTTCTGCTGTTTAATACTATTATATAGAGCTGACGAGATGAGCTTATCTCCTCACAAAGACAGACAGAGAGAGAGAGAGAGAGAGAGGGAGCAACTTGCATGTGTTATCTTTTTCCTTCATGGGAAGTGCATGAAATAAAGCTAGATGCAAGATGGAGGCGAGGCAGCTTCATAGTAGTTTCTGAAAGGAATAAAGCATCGAACAAGGGAATTAATAAGCAGACAAGAAGAACCTTTAAGCTTTGAAATGACCCCTCCCATACCTTAACGGAAAAAATTCTTTTATCTTGTCATTTTATCACCTATACTTTACATTTATCTGTGTACTATATATGGCCTATATGGTATACTGATATTATTCTCAAAACATGCATGCGTCTTAGTACATTTTGACGGGGGAGATAATCAGACAAGATTCACTTGGAGCTCATAGCCTCATGGCATGGGAGCACACTAAAAGAGCTTATGCATACATTAAATCTGAAAGCTTTTAAGTTATTGAGTTTTTAGATCCTCCATGTATATATGCCTACTTTTTCATCTCATTTTTTAATGATATGAGATATCTCACTCACATATAAACCTGACGCAATTTTTATATGCTAACCCTATATATATATATGTATATATATATATATATATATATCGGTACTATCTCAATTCTCAAAGAAGTCACTGAAAATATCGATTTTGCACCAGCATATAGATATAACCCTAAAAAATGGTTTAGCTCATTGATGTAAAACGCAAAGATTATACATTTCCCCCCAAATTGTTTACCATATATACTTGCTAATTAAATACTTAAAAAAAAATGAAAAACATATGCAAAAAGAGTTTTAGGGTAATTAATTTGTAGAAGGGTTGGGAGAATCCAATACTGTGGTGTGGAGATGCTTGAGGTTAGTATATTAATATAGGTGAAATAAACAAAAAGAGGAAGATCCTAGCAGGGAAGGTGGGTTGATACGATTAATAGAGTGGGAAAGAAGAAATGTCTCTTTCCACATGCAAGGAAAATAAAAAGGAATGGCATGTCTTGTTAAACCTAAAAAGGTGAAATTCAATTCTTTCTTCGCTTTATGGAAGATTTTGGGTGCTTTTAGAAGAAAGCATTATATATATTAGCAGTTTTAGGGTTTCTGGGTTTGCAGACATTTGGTCCCATAAAGAACTTGCATGAAGAATTGTGTGGTGCAATAAGGAATATATATATATATATCACAACATGGCAATACCCACCTTTTTTGGATTCTTCAACTCGAAGGCCAAGGCCTGACCACAGCAGTTTTTTATATGGTAACCCAACCCCTCTCTCCCTTCTCACTAATGTTAGCTTAGAAGCTTATTTTTGAGACAATTTATGTACTTCTTCGGAAATGGAAAGTCATGATTCATTCCTTTCACTTACACAGTACTGAATTTTCAATTATTTATATTTTGACAATCAAAGATACTTATATCCAGTACTGAAAACGTTGTTGTCCTTGGTTTTTGGAAATTTTAGCAGTTTTTAAAACTGTCTTTATGAATACTCTTAAGTCTGTTCTTGATAGATCACTTGCCTGTAAGAGATTAAAGTTCAATAAAGTATCCTTCCTTTTTGTAGCTTTTGTTTTGTACTTTGACATGGTCCCATTTAGCTGTGAAAAAGCTACTCGATGGGAGGTGGCGGCTGTGTGGCAGATGGGACTCCTCCCTGTTAAATACTTAAGCTTGGTTGTAGTAAGGAAAGTTTGGTGAGCATTTCATGCATAGAATAACTTAATCGAAGACATGCAGGCCTGTTGCGCATAATTCCGTTATTTGGCTGTTGAAAATGTATGTAAAGATGAACAGGAATCCATTCAATCAGTATCAAAATGACTTTTGGGAGTACTTCTGTAATTAATGTGTTTTTGCACCAAACAAGTCTTTAAAAAAAAGTGCAGTACATGTAGGTAAACATCTCTCCTTTTGGAATTGGATTTTGGAAAGAGTAACAAGAAGGTAAGTTATCTAAGCTTATAATCAGCACAAATTATAAATAGGGGAAGCAGACTGAAGATGGTATCATTTTGTGGCGAATGGTTGCCAGCCAAAAATTATCAAATTTTGTCGTATACCTTGGAGTAGCTTCCTTTAATAAAGACTTGTTTGGGTTCTTTCGTCCGTATAGCGGGTGGCATATCCTTCTTGTTAGGGATGGCTGACAAACCAACATATCCTAAACATATACTCCTATCTGACCATGATGAAGTTTCCTTCTTTCCTATGTTTAAGACTCTTGGAACAGGTTCCTGATCGTATAAAACAGGAAATAGGATCTTCTTTGTAACGGTAGGCAGGGACTAATGCTTGAAGTAATGGTCTGCATCGATTTGTTTTTGTGTGTGGCCCTGCATGCCCCACAGCTATCTTATTGCTAAAGCTCCTTTCAAATCCTTTTCAAAACAATTGCTGCCTGAGACTGGTTCGTGCAAAGGATCTTGGCATTTGGAGTAAGTGTCCAAACACTTCAGCCTGGAAACTTCATCTACTATCTGTCATCGCGTCAAGATGAGATGAGGTATGGAAACTGTATAATGCAACATTGCTCACCCCTTTGGAGACCTGTTTGGGAATCCAGATGGCCTGAATGCCGAGTTGCTTTCATTGAACAGTGTCAGCTAAACAACAGAGTAACTGGGAAACACCAAAAAACAGGGAAGTATGCTACTTCCTACAAGGCTAACCAGGACACTCAACTGCCATAATCTTTTGATTCTTAGTCCATGCCCACAAATCATGCAACGCATATGCATTTTCACAAATGAGTCCAACAATGGAAAATTGTTACACGATTTACACATGAATATATAAAACAGCTAAGCTGATTGTATAATTGATACCATGTTATACATATCAATTATCATGTGAAGAACCTTTCTAGTTTTATTTGTTTTATATCTTTCCTTCCATTTCTGTCGTACACACATACTGGAACATATATTTATCAGACACCTACAATCTACACTTATTTGCTTTTTCTGTACAAGCAACAACCACAAAAAGTTTTGAAGGAGAAGTAGACTCAGCATGCACGTGCTACAGGCAGCCTCCCATTCACAGGTCCACAAACACCAGAAACTTTCAATGATGCAAAAAGGCACGACAATCTAGCTATCATGGGCCTGGCTCTCACCATTCTGGGCACAACCACAAGCTCCTTACCAGTAATATCAGTACTATGATAGCCTTCAAGATCTGCTTTTGTAATCATAACTGCATCCAATGAAGGAGAGTGTATGGTTGCTGGTTGCCGATGCCTGCTATATTCTAGAACTGCCTGCTCATAACCATTGACAAGCAATGAATAAACAAGAAGGAAGAGACAGTTGATCATTCGTGCTTGTGACTGAAAGAAATCTGGTAATTAATTGTATTTGGGAACATGGAATTATTCTTAGGTAATTCATAATGCTGGTAAAATATTGTTCTTTTCTCTGAGCAACCATAAAGGGCAATGGGAGATAGGAGGATCTTATCTTCTGCAATAGGAAAGGCGCAATCATGCATAATCTAAAACTGACCAACATGAGCAGAGCGATTAGTGAAAATAAAAAATCAAAAAAGAAATAAAATCTTGGTGTTCATGGTACCATCTTCATTGTCATCAACCTCATTTCTGCATTCCATGTGGAGGGATAGGGGCAAGAAACATGCAAAAATCGCGAGGTTTCTAAGAAGGTTTCATATTTTGCACATTATAACACCATAAAACTTACCTTCCACTGTGAGGGGGCAAGCAAAACTCGAGGTCTTCGAGACCGAACATATTCAAGGGCACTTGCAGGTGTCATCTGCTTATGCTCTACCTGCAGAGTTCAAAACAAATTCAATCATACAAATTAAAAACAAATCTGGAGCTAGTCTCAAAGTCAAAGGTTACTGAACAAGAGTGTGTCAACAAAGCACCATTTAATAGACAGAGATTTACCAAGTAGCAAAGCACAATGGTGGTACTCCTTCCCCGTCCAGCTTTACAATGTACATAGGTAGTTCTACCACAAGATGCATTCTCTGAAGCCAAAACGGAAGAAAGAAATCGGGTAAGACCCAAAAGGCCACAGTGACTAACAGAGGTAATTGACAGAATTATCTACTCACTATGAATGAAGTCCACTGCTCTGCCGATATCTGAAATTGAAGGAGCAAATAAATAATCTCTCGTTGGAATTACTAGGTGATCAATTCCATTAGCCTGCAATCAACCATTAAGCAATAAAAGTAAACATTAATATCTCACAAAATAGAAATTTCAGAAAACGGAAAAAAAAAGTTTTGGAAATCGTTTTCGTTCAACAGTTCAAGAATCAAACAAAGAAAAGCTTACACGATACAAGGAAGTGGAAACCAGAGTTTCAAAAGGCTCATTGAGAGTGATGACCCCACAAACGCCCAACTGCTTCAACCGTCGAACATCCTTGGGAAAAGGAACCGCCCCCAACAAAAGAAACTGGAAAAAGAAAAACACCCATTATCAAAAAACCAGGGAAAAAGCGAAGAAAGTCACAATTTTTAATCGATCATCGATGTGAGAACCAGTGAATTGGAATTGATTATTATAAAAAAAAAAATGGATAACAAAGAAGGGAAATTAAGGATAAGATAAAAGAGAAACCTGGTCAACTTCGTCCCACCATCTGAATTCAGATTGGATTTTGTTTCGGAAGACATTGTATAAAAGGGTCGGGTAAAACAGGATCCGAGCACCCGCTCCGACTAGAACTCTCTTCGCATCGCCGACTCTAACTATCTGCTGCTGCTTCAAGCCATAAACGCCGTCGTCCCCCCGTTCATTCTCCACGTCATCCAACTCCTCGATCGTCATCTGACGAAAGAATTTTTTTTTCTTCTTCTAAATGAAAATTAGTTTGGAAAGCATGGAATTGAGAAGAGAAAAATGAAAAATCAAAGGAATTTATTGGGAATTTGAGAAAGATACGAGAGAGCGTGGATTCCACATTGATGCGAATATTTAATAAAAAAAAAAAGATTTGATTTGTGAACAATAAAAAATCAAATGGTAATTACAAAACTATTGATTAAGAAAAAAATACAATCGAAAATTCAAGATTAGATTTTTTTTTTTTGGGGGGGGGGGGGTGTGGGGAGCTTCAAATCTAAATCATGTATTAAAGTGAGATGTTATTTCATGTTTTCAATCAAGAATTATGTATTTCGTGAGAGTAGCATAAGCTTGACTTGAGCTGCCATTCTAATCCCATTTTTTTAAGGATCATTACTTCTTAATTAAGTAAAGACAAATCTTTTTCATTTGATCAACAAAATTCATGGTTGATTTTTTTTTTCAGAATAATACTATTTTGTTGACTTTTTTATTTATTTTGAAAGAATTAAATTTATTAAAAAAATAATTTTTTAATAATTCAATCAACAAAATCCTTGGTATTTAAAAAAATATATTTCTACTTTTTTAGGTTTTTATTTAAAAAAGCATTTTCGATTAAAAATAATGTAATATCGTTATTGAGTTAAATGTTTAAAATGATTTGGACTATTTAATAACTTACAAATGAAATGAATGTAACAAATAACAATATTTATGAACATTAAATAGTTTATTTTGTTTGAAAATTGGAATTGTTGGATACTTTAACATTTTTATTATTTTTTTATATAAAAATGATACTTTCATTTTCCGCAATAAATGCATAATTTATGAGTGTGGGTGATGGATGGATGGCATGAAAAGATTTAGGTTGGTACGAGTATGAACGTAACAATAGTCGGTAAGGCCTTTGGACCAAAAGAACTAGATATGGTTAAGATGGAAGTATTTTTTATATTTAATTATAAAAGATTTTTTAGTTTTGTTTAGTATATATTTTTTAATTGATTTAAGTAAATTTATATCAATTTTAATAAATTTATAAAAAAATATTTTTACATAATTTTTTAATGAATTTAAATTTAAATAATAAAAAATATATATTCTTTTTTTTCAACTGAATCAATCTTTTGTTATAAGTGAAAAAATTTTAACTGAAAGAGTTGCTTTCTCTTTTAAGTTATTTGCCAATTGCTGACTTTATGACGATTGGAAGAGCCAATGGTCAACTACCCAAAATCCTCCACGATGATCTACTAAAGTAGAACATTACTACTAATCTGCTGCCTTCTCAAGGATCCAAGAATATAATAGAGTAATGAGTAACTATTACTCTACTCCTTACATGGATACTTTTACAATGTAAGAAATCTATATTTAATTTGGTTTGACAAAAAAAAAAAGAAGAAAAGTTAACTTTTGATGTTGAATTATCCATTTAAATTTGTCTATGATTGAATATAAGATTTAATTTAATTTATTTTATTCATATAATTATAGTTCAAATATTATATTTAATAAATTTTAAATTTAAATTTAATACTCGTGATTTTTTTTATTGTTAGACTACAATCTACTTTGTATAAAATAATTTATAAGATTTAACTGTTTCATATATATATCTTACATCATATATAATTATTTCAAATTTTAATTTAAAGTTTTCAAATTTCTCATTATTAAAAGGAAATGGCTTTCAAGCATTTGATTCATTATTGATGCAATGATTTTTTTTTTTCTCAAAAGTAAAAATAAAATAAATTTCGTTTGAATTCACCCGTTTTCATTTTTTCCATATAAAAAATGAAAAAAAAAAAAAAAAAAACCTAAGGCCTAAGGTGTAAGGACGCCATTTCCGGTAAGAAAATGGCCCATTTGACTATTTAAGGTCTCTTTCCATTCGTGGCCCAAAATTCAGATGCATGAAAATCCAGTTAACCGGTCTTCTTCCCCTACCTCCTCCAGCCTCCTGTCCTGTAAGGTACTTGCAAATTACAATATTGATGGCATATGGTATCCATATATATATATAAAAAAAAAAAAAAAGGCTGAAGAACAAAGGAGATTAGCGTTGTACTTAACTGGAAGCACAGAAACATAAATTCTTTCCCTTTTTCATGTAATTAATCTTCAGCCATAGCCTACAGAAGTAGCAGTGCCCAACCATTTCAGAAGAAAGAAAAATAAAGAGCATGCAGCTTGAGATTGATATGTAGATTGTTGAGTTCTATTGCCACCTTAGTGGAAAAAGGGGTCAATTGAGATATATACCTGAAAGTTCTAAATCCCATTTTCCATCCAGCCAGATTCTTGGACATCACATTGAAAAAGCAATGTTGTTGCTTGTCACAATCAAATGAAAGTTGTAACTGGATACTGGTTGAAACCAGTTTGTGTTGAATTGCACACATTGATGCTTTAAACAGGTTGATTGCAATGAGACAAGGAAAACTGTGAATTGTATTGGTCACGGGTGTCGTAACTGATAAAGTGTAAGTGAATAAGGAAAAATCCAAAAGTCCCAATGTTTCTGGAATAAATGTTGTCCATTCCAATCATTTCAAGCTGGCAGCCATTTGCACTTTTGTCTAATTCATTTTTCTTATAATTCCGAATTTTCATCGACTTCTCCTCTATGGAAGTAGTAGCTTACCCTTGCCGTAAAGGGAAAACAAACCCAACTGAAACTTCTTGTGACCAAGCTTTTATATGAAAAATACTAAGCAGGACTGCCACTAATAGTGTGAAAATTCAAATGGGGCTATAAGAATCCACTTTTTCTCTCGCAAAAGACTGGCCATGGAAGCTAGCTGCCATCCAATGTGGAAACCAAAGTTGCATGCGTTTGCTTTATTCATTCACATTCACATGAAATTCTCCATTCCTTTTACTAATGATGATGAGTTTTGTATATATGCACCACACTCCCACCAATCATACAGGTAAGGGAACACACTGCTCGTTAAACCCACTTTTAGATGAATCGTCTGTTGTATTAGCTGGCTTTAGCTGAAACGTGAAAAGATTTGTTGTGACCTGGTCGTCAAGGATTAAGCGAGAGAAAGTGACCAGGGCCCAATTTTCAGTCTCTTGTCGGGTGTCCATCATAAAATGATTAGTAAAAATTTGTTTGTTTAGAGATTCAATTGCCAAGAGGATTGGCTGAAAAATATTTTGATTTTGCAAGTTGGTTATATCTGTAAACAGAGTTAGGCATGGTTCATTATACTAATTTCTCTACGTTGTTTTTAACATTCATTTGATTTGCATAAAAGAAAATTTTATTAAAACACAACATTTCGTTTAATAAAAAAAGCGTTAGATGAATTTATTTATAAACCTTACATCACAATCAGTGTTTGTTAACACTAGCTCGGATATGGGTACTATGATCTTGATACTTCTTTCTGTGAGGAAGGTTTCGAGGTTGGAGGTTGAACAGAGAATCTTTAAACCAAACCTATGCCATTGGCTGCTGTTGTTTGGCTCCAATTTCTTTTTCATTTCTTTAGTCCTACAAAATCTCTTACTTAAGCGTCACCTACATTATGCTTTGTAGGAAGGAATAAAAATGGGGAAAAGGGAAAATATTGAGGAAAGATAAAATAGATAACGAAATAAACAGATATAAATACACAATCATAAGAACTACCTTTACATAATCTTGTTGCTGTCCTAGGTAAGGAATATCAACATCCCTAATTTCTAATCACTTTATTCCCATGCATTGCTACCTAACAATGCTATATTCTATTAGATAACCACCCTTTATTTAACCTCTGTTAGCATATTTAGCAGTTAGGTTAAACAATAAAATGCAATCATTTCCTCCAAGAGTACCATTTGAGAGTAACTCATGCTAGTATGCTTTCGCCTCGCAATGAAGCACTTTTTGGAGGAATTATTTTTCTTTCTAATGCATTCAACTAGGGACCTAGATAAAGCTTTTCCTCAGCTTCATAGTATTTACTTGTTTAAGCACCAGGGCATTAGGCATAGGCATGGCCAATACGATTTCACAGCTTCAATAATCCCAAACTTTATGGTGTTGCTAAGCAAATCATCATAAACTCAGTCAGAGCCACCCTTTTTTCTGCAGCATCAATCTCTTGTCAGCATCTGCACAGAAAAAGTTACTCATACACAATAATAAATGCCCCATTGAAGAGCAATAAACCCCACCATGTCCTCTCATCAATGCAGCAGCCTCATTTGCACCACTTACAAGCAATCCAACACAACACAGTAATCATCTTGGTGTCTTCAACATAGAAAAATGGGGAAGACCTGGCTCCTGGCTTTTATCCTTTGGCAAATAATTCCAACAGAAGCGGCCATCACTGTGGGTGGTGGTGTTGGCATTAGTATCGGCAATTCTGGTGGCGGTGGTGGTGTTTGGATTGGTGGAGGAATCAACAACAGCCCAACTCCATCTGGCCCATCCGTGTCAAAGCTCAGCAGTGCTTACACTGCTCTCCAAGCATGGAAATCTGCAATCACAGATGACCCAATGGGGATTTTGAAGACTTGGGTTGGCTCAGATGTGTGCACTTATAAAGGGGTCTTTTGTGCAGATCCTCATGGTGTAATGGACTCAGCTTCCGAACCATTTGTTGCAGGCATAGATCTCAACCATGCAAATCTCCAGGGAACTCTAGTCGGGGAGCTCTCTGTCCTTTCTGATATTTCAATACTCCACCTTAACAGCAACAGGTTCTCAGGCACAGTTCCTGACACTTTCAGAGACCTTTCATCACTTCAAGAGTTAGACCTCAGCAACAACCATTTTTCAGGTCCTTTCCCTACAGTTACTTTGTACATGCCAAATCTCGTTTATTTGGACATTCGGTTCAACACCTTCTCAGGACTCGTCCCTGAATATCTATTCAACAAGAGACTTGATGCAATCTTCCTCAATAACAATCAGTTTGAGGGAGAACTACCGCAAAATCTGGGTAATTCTCCAGCTTCTGTGATAAACTTGGCTAATAACAAATTCAGTGGAAACATCCCAGCTAATTTTGGCTTCATGAGTTTTAAATTGAAAGAGATTTTGCTTCTTAATAACCAGTTAACAGGTTGCATTCCAGAAGGAGTTGGACTCTTCTCAGAGATGCAAGTTTTTGATGTGAGCCGCAACTCACTCATGGGTCATTTACCAGACACAATATCTTGCCTGAGTGACATTGAGGTTCTCAATTTGTCATACAACAAGCTATCGGGGGTACTACCTGACTTGGTTTGTTCTCTAAGGAGCCTTGTGAATTTCACTGTTGCCTACAATTTCTTCTCTGGGTTTAGCCAGGAATGTTCTAAGTTGTTCTTTAGGAATGTGGGTTTTGACTTCTCCCTCAATTGCATTCCTGGGAGAGACTTGCAGAGACCAAAACCAGAGTGCTCTGTGATCCCAGGGGGTGGGTTGAGTTGTCTGAGAATTCCATCTCCACAGCCTTTAGTTTGTGGGGCTTTGCTTGGGAACTTGGAGGTTAATCTGACCTCGTCACCTCCATGATTTCATTATAGAAGAAGTTTCTGGTTTTGTATAACATGTAGCTTGGTGGATGGTGGTGGTTGTCAATTGTCCTATTCGTTAATGGCAATTTACGATCTAGGGCTTCGAAATTCATTTCTTCATGGATTGGGATAATTCTTTTTTCTTTTTTTAAATAGTATCTGTCTTTGAATGGATAAGACATGCCCAGGGATTTGAGAAAGGGATTTAAGAGGAGAATAATTAAATAATATTCACATAGAAATACTACCATAATCGGATATCTGCTGCCCAAAGGAAAATTCGATTAAAAAGACAGAATTTCCTTGTCCTGGCTGTCTCATGTAGACGTAGCGCCATACCGTGATTTTCTGCGCAAAGCCAATCTGTAATTTGTCAGAAAAGAATTTCAATTCCTAGAATTCCAATTCAAACAAGGTTCTCAATGGTAACAAGTACGTAAGTTGGCCATGAAATTTATACAAGCAAAAAGTGTCACATGACAGGAAGTAAAAAATTACACCACATATTTGACAATTGCTTTATAGTGTTTAGCCAACGTAATACATAGGATTTGGCAGTTTAAAGGACCGTTTTGCCAATGCAAAACCCAGCAAGTCACTCCACTGATCTCCAGAACTCCCATGAATCCTGTAACCTTCATTTACCAGAACTGATCTCCTCTCAGATTTGTATACGATTGCTGGTGTCCCTCCGTCTGAAGGTCCTCTGTACCATAAGCCAGATTTCCATCAGCCATTCTTATGTTTAACAAGCATAATGCTATCTAAAGCCAGTTACAAAGATTTTCAGAAAAAGCCAAAACAGGAACAGTGGAAATGCCTGAAAGCTGAATATACCTCAATAGAAGCCTTTCCCAGCCGTTGAACCCTGCCCACATAAGATTCTTTCCAGTGGCATTCCTCTGATTTTCACTCCGCCCGGTAAGCACAAATATTTTGAATCCCATCCGCTTCAGCTCATTATACAATTTCAAACTCGCATGCATTGCTGGGGCCTCAGCTAAGTCTACCCATGCATCCCAAGAAGTCTCATTAAAAGTTTCTGATCTACGTCCATAACAGGATAGCCTTAGTAATAAATAGAATCAATAAACACAGACAAAGTAAACAGATTAAACAATTCCTCCAATTTAAAATACACAATAAACATGATTCAACATTATTCAAATGTTGCACAATCAAGGGCCAAATAAGCCATTAACAACTCCAAGCCCTTTCTCTTCTCATTCCCCCCAGAAGAGACGGTTTCATTGCCATGCATTGACCATTGCAAAAGCCATAGCCCATATGTCAACCACCAAGATCAAAAGCAAGCAGACAAAATTAGCAAGTAGTACTATTGTACCATCATGTTTTTCCTCTAATGGCAAAACACAACCAAGTCAGATTAAAGCATGTTCAAAACCACCCAACACAATAACTGCCTATACACTAGTGCATTTCTTCAATAAAAGTAGTTTGATAGAAGCCAGATTGTCATTTATTCGATGTTTAAGCATTACTAATGATGGTTTTGTTTTAATTTTTCTTAGTGAACATTTATGATGGTTGAGTTTACACACAGTAATAATTTTGACCCTAAAATAAGTAATCCACCTCGTTCAATTCCAAGCTGTAAAAGCCTAGGGGCCTAAACAATCATTAACGAAAGAAAATTTTAGTACAATATGCCTGAATCAAGCTTCGCTAATTCCTTCTACTTCAATCTACTGCTTACCTTCCTGATAAAAAGAAAAAGAAAAAGAAAAAGAATTTAGGATGGAGAGTGCCACACCGGATTCCAATTGCGAAAGCATATTAATACGAGCTCATGTGTTACATCAAGTGTTTTTTATTACTAATTAATTTGTTTGTTTAATATATTTTAATTTAATGAGCACATGATTCACATCAAATGTTATCTTCCCAAAAAAAAACAAACAGAGAGCACATCCGGTTTCAGTGGACTTGCATGCATCTTATAAGGACTCTACCACTGTTATCATTTCTACGTGTATCTCTCCTATTGGTGGCTGAAGCACAAGCCGCGCCAAACCTTCCACGACTAAAATCTTAACAAACGCAGGACAAAGCAGATCCATCGAATCTGATTATTGGTATAAAAAAAGAAGGGTTCACGTACATACCCGAATCCATGGGCCTGATAGTAGGGTAAATTCGTCAACAAAGTCTCATCGACGTCGAAAATCCAGGCGTCCTTCCCGTCGCCTGCGATCTCGACGGAGGAGGCGTAAGCGAGAGAGAAATTAGCGACGATCTCGAAGTCGGAAACGTAGCGTTGACTGGTGATGTAGTCTTGGACGAAGGAAAGGCAACGGGAGGGGATTTTGTTCCAGCTTCCGGCGTTGTTGGTCTCGACGGATAAATGCCAGCTGGCACAGAAAACTTCGTTGTCGACGTTGGATTTTCGGTCGTTTGTTGTTATTGCTTTCGGGAGCTGGATGAGAGGCTCAAAAGAGGCGGCGGAGGAGACGAGAATGGAGAGGAGGAGGAACGGGGCGGTGAGAAGCTGAGACGGCATTGGAAGATGGATTCTATATTTCGGGAGAGAGCTTTTTTTATGGGCCCTTTCTCTCCCGAGTGGATTGCTAATGGGAGGAAATTGCCTGCTTGTTTTATTATGAAAGTGTTGATTGATGTGAACGATGCCGTTTCGCACCACTCAAACTTCAGCCATCCGTTTTTGTTTTCTTTTTTTGTTCTTTAATTTTAACCATGTATTTTTTATTTAATACATGGTTCTCCATTAAAGCACTGCATGGGCTGTTTGGGCAGTGCGTTTCTCCCGTCTTCAGAAACAACAAAAAATGGCGTATATATATAGTATGTGGACAGGCACAATCAATTTTTTTTTATTATTTTGTCTTGCCTTAAAAAAAAAAGTACTTAAATATTTTGTTGAACAAAAATAGAAATCGCTGTAGCCTTGCACTGCACTAAAGCCTTCCATCTCACAATCAGCACTAGGAAAGCAGACACCACAGTACAGCGACGGGGGGCTGGATACATAGTGTTTCCCCGAGAAAGCCTATGTTTTTTAGATTTTAAATAATGGACCCACGTTAATGTTGAAAATAGAAGCTAGCTATTGAATTTTTTAGGTAGGCATATGATAAAAAGATTTAGATAACGTTTTTTTGGTAAATTTCGTAAATTTTTTTATCAAAAATAATGAATTAAAAATTAAAATTGATAGATTAAAATTTTTATTATATATATTAAATGTGTAAATTTTTATATATTTTTATATAAATATTTTTTATAAAAATATTGATAAAATTTTTATCATTAAATAAATATAGATCAAATTTAAATTATAAATAATATTTTTAATAATATTTTTACATATTATTAATTTTCATATTAAATTATATCAATTTATTAATTTAAATTTTTTATTAAAATTTTTATTAAATCATTTAAAAAATTTTCTTTACAAACTTCAGTTCAAAAATTACATATAAGTTTTGTCCAGCATTTGATACAATCATCTCTGATTATTCAGTCGGATATGCCCATCGAACCTATTAAATACAAAATCTTAAAAAGATCCGATCAAGTTAAAATCTAAATTCAGTTTTAATGTGGATTTCAGTGTTCTAAACGTTCCTTGTACGCACTGCAGTGAATTTGCACATTCCTCTGTGTGTTTCTCATATGTAAAACTATATTTTAAACTTACAACACAATCCATGAAAATTGCAGAATGGCGATCTGGAGCCTGGAAATCCTAGGACTTTTGTTACGTATTTGATTCACCAGAATTAGATTCTATTCACCTGTTTTCCATACCCCCACCTCTGTTCTGCCGTTTGGTTCAAAAATAGGGAAACAAAAAAAATATTCTGACCAATTGGTCAATCTGGTCAAAGCGTAATTATCATTCTCCTTCAGCACCTATTATTTGCAATTTCACGTATCCTAAAAAAAAGTAAAGAGTTTACATAAGTATTTTTTTTTATAATTTTTATAAGTAAAATTATTTAATTATTTTTTTACATAAGTTTTGAAAATAAATTTTAAAAAAAATTATAAATCTTTTCAGAAAGTCATTAAATTTTCTAAAAATGAATTTCTAAAAGATTATAAACCTTTTTAGAAATAAATTTTTGAAAAAATTAAATTTCTGAAAAAGTTTATAATTTTTCAAAAATGTATTTCCAACAAAATTTATAATTTACCAAAAATTTATTTATGAAAAATTATATAATTTTTCGAAAATAAATTTTTAGAAAGTTATAAAACTAAAAAAAAATTATGAAAAAAATAATTAAATAATTTTACTTAAAAATTAAAAAAAAAATTAAAGTGTGAAGAAAAAAATAAGGATGCATTTAGCGGTACCCAAAATTAAAATATCTTTAAAATATGATTTTATCCCTAATATTTTAATGACTTTTTAAAAACGCCCAAATACAAAATCTCTAGATTTGACCGGTAACAGCACTCTAATCACCGTGAATGGTCGAAAAATCATCAAATAGCAACCATAATAAACAAGCAACATAAAAGCAAAAAATAAAAAAAAAATGAAATGAAAGAGAGAGAGGAAGAACATAAGAAGTAGGTGATGGTTGAAGGATTATAGATGAGAATATGATAATTAATATATTTGTATTATATAAAATATTAATAATTTATGTATTCATATATATTATATTTTATATAAATATTATATGTTATAATTTGTATTGATATATAAATATAAAATATAATTTTTTTATTTTATTAATTTTATTTATGATTTTCATTAAAATTTAAATTATATTATTTTTGTATTTTTATTATTTTTATTTTATATTATTATATCATATTTAAGATTGTTAGGTCTTTAATTTGTATCTACCAAGTAAAAGATCTAAGTGAAACATCTCATTTTTAAATGGTTTTGAAGCTACAAAGGATGATATTTTTGTAGATTTAAGGCTAAATCTAAGTTTTTCTAGGTTATTTTGGGAAACACCCGGTGGAGAGTAGTGAAAATATCCCAAAATAAGGTAGTAGGAAATCTTATTTCCTTGATAGGAGTACTATTATTCTTATTTACTTAGATGGGTATTTTTTTTACAGATAAGCACGAAGCAAGCCAACTCAACACTCGATTTCATTTCTCTGCTGGTTTTCTCTTTCATTCCATATCTTTCTCTTAAAAAAAAGCATTTTCCTTTCCATTATTTCACCTCATTCTTCTACTTTTAGTCTCAGCAACTCAGTTTCCCTATATTTATTCATCACTTAAAGCTCTCTTTTTTCTTTTTCTTCCTCTAAAATCAACAATCTTGTAATCACATAAACATAATACTATGATCTTTCCTTTTTAATTTCTCATTATGTCATTGGATTTTTTTAATTTGTTTTTACAAACGTGGGCTCCATTTCTTTTACCCATTATCAAACCTGAAGCTATTAGCTTCTTTCAACTTTTTTTTTTTTTTCATTCTAAGAAACCCTGCATTGTCTCCTTTTACCATCATTCCTATTAACAGTACCTTCTTTGTCTCGTCCCAAGAAGCACTTTTTGTTGTGCTGCTGGACTCATCATCGATGACTTCTTATTTTGCCTTTTTTTTTTTGTCAAAGGATTTTTTAAATGGGTTTTCATGATTTTGGGTTTTTTTTTTTAGTCAAGAAAGGTAAATTATACTATGGTTGATTTTATGATCAAAGAAAAGAATTTACATATTGTCGAAACTACAAGAAGTACGGACGAAAACGAGGATCATCATACCCAGTATCAAAAAAACATAATAAGAAAAACTTTTACATGATTAATAATAATTGGAAAGTGAAGAGTTTGGATTGCTGGAAATTTAAATGACAAAGTAGATGCCTCCTCATACTCTGCGGCATCCAAATCATAAAGATGTGCCATTTGAAAAACTTGGATAGAAAGTATTGTTTTACTAAAACTAAAAACTAAAAGCATGATCATCAATGGAAACGTAATGCCGGTGATACGAATCCAAGTTAAACAAAAAAAAAAAAAAATACAAGCAGATAAGTAATCTAAAAGATAGTGAATATTGCAATATCTTTCATCAAGAAAAACCTATAGTTTTTTTTTATCGTTACTGTTTAGATAAAAAACGAATTAGGTTGCTGGAAAATAAAGAGAGAAGAAATGAAAAAGAAAATCAGGAGAGAGGTGAAGCCGTGAAGATAAGTGCTGCAGTGCTTATTTTGTGCTTATCCGCAAAGAAATACCCCATTTGAGGAGATAAGAAAAAAAGCACTCTTGTTAAGGAATTAAGATTTTTTAATTCTTTAGTTTGACAAAAAACTCTGAAAATAAGATTAAGATGTATGCATGTGCGTGAAATTTGAATGAAATCAGCGTCGATCAAAAACGGTCAAAGACAATTGGCGGCTATCGCAGGCATCAGTAAACGATAGTCAATGATGGTCGACAAAACTGGTGACATCGTAAAAAGAGAGGCTCCGATTCTTTAGCTTTAGAGAGAAAGAGAAATGAGGAGGCAGAGAAAAATGAAGAAAAATTAGATCTAGTAATTTGTTTTTTTGAGTCATGTTTTGTATTATATTAGACAAGTATAATGACATAAATTATTAAAATATAAATATAATATGAATTATAAAATTTATTTAAATTTTAAATATAAATATATTATATTTAATATACGTATTATATATGATATGATATAATTAATTCGTTTAAATATATTATAAATAAAAATGAATAATATGAATATATATAAATAGACATGATTAATACGGATATATACAAATAGACATAACTAACATGAATATATATAAAAATACGACTAAAATAATAAATAACTATAATATATTCATAATTTAGAACTTAATAAATTTGGCATATTAATATCATAAAAAAATACTTACATATTAAAAAATAAAAAAAATAAATATTTATTTAATATGTATTTAATATACATTTAAAATTTAATTTATATTACATTACTATTTTAATTTTTAGTATCAAATTCAAAATGATAAATTCTTAAAGATTAAAGAATAAAATAATAATATATAGGAAAAATATTAATATTTATATTGTATTTATATTATTAATATAAAAATAATTTTATAATAATTATTAAATAAGTATCATAATTAAATATTTAAAATAATTTTATATGATATTAAACAGTAAATTAAGTATCATAATTAAAAGATTAAAAATTAAAATAATCTTTATAAGTTTATATTAAATTAAATAAATACAAAAAATTATGTTAAACATATTAAACGTATACTTGTATGACAAAATTAAATTAAACATATTATTCGTATTGTGTCACACATATTTGATTAATCAACACATATTCGAAACGAATAATGTTGTGTTGAAATTTGTGTTGACATAAATAAATACGAAACACATTTTTTAAAATACTTATACAAGTTTTTTCATGTCATTTTCGTATTGTATTATCGTGTTATGTCTAAAATTATCATGTTTAAGAAAAATGAGAGGAAAAAGGAAAGAAATCATAATTTTTTTATTAATTTTTATTAGTTAATAAATTTTTATTTAATTTTTTACATTTTTTATTGCTAGTAATTAATTTTTACTAATTAATAATATTTTTGTTTTAATTAATTAATATTATTAATTAATGAGAGATAATTGAGTTAATTAATAATTACTTTTTATTAATTAATTATAATTAATATTATTTTATAATAAATTATAATTAATTTAATAAAAAATAAAATAAAAAATTAAACTTATGCCAACAATATTCTTTGAATTAACCAAACATATTAATATTAATTCTTATTATATTTTATTTCAATAAACCAAACATTATAATAATTATTCTATTCTATTCTATTTCTCCTTTTTTTATTTCCACAAAATATCAATTTTATTTTTCCTCTATTTCATTCCTCAAATCAGACGTACCATTATAAGGAAAAATGAGGAACCAATGACTCAAATTGCTATTTATCTTGTAGAATAAATGAACAGTATAATTAACCATACTGCCACAAAAGGAGAATGAAGGCTTAAATTGCAATGGTGAAGTACATTGAAACTTGAATCAGCCATCCAAGCAAATTCAATTGTTTCTAAAATAATGCTATTGACAAAATTAAAGAATGAAAAGGTAACTACGAAGAAATTAACAATGAAACAAATGAATTTTTGTCTATACAATTTCAGTCTGTAGGGTATAAACCCAACGACAAAAGAAATGTTCCTTGTATATTGTGTTGACAAACACAGACTAAAGATCAAAACGATCAAAAACTGTGTGAATTATGGATACGATGTTGTCAAACCGAAAAAGAGCCTCCCAAACCAGATCAGCAGCAACACCCCAAACGGAAAAGAATTTTGAGAAACATGAAGGGTGGAAAATATAACAGTGATTTACTGACGAAAAGCTAAAACTGACTGGTTATCACAGCAGCCGAAGTGAAATTAGCAGTGAAGTAGGGTTTTAGCAAAGGTTTAAGAAGAGGAATCCTGTTCATCATGGCAAAGCTCCTTCCTGAGTTTACGTGAGAAAAGTTGGCAGGCATCCATGCTAAGATCAATGGCAGCTGAAAGTGCAATAAACAGTGCAGCATCTGCCATGCAAGTCACATGCTGCATCCCAACTTGTACCACAGGCTTACTAGCCTTTCCTTCACCTTCAACAGTCGAACCCATAACAAATCCTTTAACGGGTGACCTTAAACTCAATGCAGAATCTCTTGATACTCTCCTATCTATACAAAATTGGCCACCCTTTTTGACACTCATGGTACCTTCAGCAATAGGGATACCATTGTTAGGGCCATTCTCAGTGACAAGCTCAAACTTGTAGCCCAAGCCATCAATAGGACCCCGTTCTCGCCATGCCTCTAGACGACCCCATGGTTTCCAGCTGCTGACTGAGAAGCCGTGAGGGCGGAGTATTAGCCATGCACCAGGATTTGATCTAGAAACACGGTCTGAGCCGGGGGAGGGTACAAATGGAGTGATCATTGAAGCAGCCGCAACAGGAGAGCCAGATAAATCATATATCATTACCATCCATCCCTTCCTCTCCTTTCCTTGCCTTTCCCTTTCTCCTGATAATGTTCTCATCCATCCTCTATTCTTGTTGGTGAAATCTGGTGGGAGGGATCTAGTTTTACAATTGACAAGGAGGTAAACATAGCAATCTATTAATAGATTTAAAAACGAATATACATTTAAATTAAAAAAAAAAAAGCTAATTAAACTAGCATGACTCCATCAAATTGGAATAAGAAAAAAAAAAACAAAAAAGAAAATAGCCATCAAATATTTGTGCACATGGGAGAGAATCAATGGTGGTTGGCTTTGACAGTTAGGGAGATATGGAAAGTAAATTGTCTGTTTGACCAAAACTAAGTATGAGACTAAGAGGTATCCGCTATTGCTTTTTTTCTCCCAAGTACCAGTAATAAGAGATTTGATTCTTGAGGAGATCATTTTCTAACAAAATTGAAAGTTCATGGTCAGTCATGGCTGCTGGACGCAGAGTTCTTCTGTGGCTTTTGAGCCTATAAATTTGTCTAGTGATAAAAAAGAAAAAGTAACAGCAATGCTCTGAATGATAGCTAAAGACGAAGGAAGAGATAAAACTTATGTTTAGACACTATAGGCCGACCAATCTATAGATCTTTTTCTTTTCACAAAATCCCACACATTAAAGTTTCAATTAATGCCAATATTCCCAGAATGGACAATGCCAACCTCTATCCAGATGAAAGAGACACGAAATTTCTCATCAAATATCGTCAAGTTGGCAACAGACGCAAAAACTTGTCTCTCTGATCTATAAATTTTCATGTTAACTCCCCCAAGAAAAAAAAATGGATAAGATGGTAAACTAGTGGTCTTGGGCAACTTGGGCAAAGGAAAAATCGTCAAACCCAGATGCCTAAATCAAGGAAAGGACCCATACTCGCAGAATTAATGGGACAAATCATAATTTCCCCCTAAAGGAAAATAATAGAGGACCAAATCCAAGACCTCCGTAGGCGCGCATTTTAGCACCGCCTCCAAGAAAACTCACTAAAATGCACCACATTGAAAGTGAAAAAGGTAACACAAGGAACTTACCGAGATCTTGAACGATCGGCGCTGAACTTGCAACTGAAAACGGGTTGTCTAATGTTGCCTTGAATTTGAAACACGACAGGGCTACATTCCGGTTCTCCACCGAATTGGAAAACGAACCGGGGATCGGGTTCAGCCCTGACCGTTAAGTGAAGCTTGGCGGTTGGCTTGTTCGGTTCGTTACCCAGTTTCATCCACCCATTTTGGAACACTGAAGGCCTGGTTTGTGACACTCCCAAGTCCACGGTAACCTGAAACCGACCCACCAGCTTCCCACAACTGACACCGCACGTGCGGCCCATGCGGCCAGTGTAGACTTCGATGCATAGCGTCACGGGCTTGCCGGAGAGACGCCGGAGCGTTAGAGCATCGAGGTGGAAACCGGCGGCAGAGGTGGAGGACTCGGGGGGCGAGTCACTGGAGCTATTGCTGAGGGGTAACAAAGCTGTTTGAGACGGGAAGTTTTTGAGTCTGAGCTTGCAAAAACACGGCGTCGTTGTTGGGTAAACGCCAGAACCGGCTGGTTTGGTGGCTTGTGGGAGTTTCAAAGCTAATGATTCGACGATCAAACGAACAAATGGGCATGGATCCATCGTATAATCTACCTTTTCCCGGCTGTTTTGAGAGGTTTTGGGGTGGTTTTCTCTAAAACAACGAGGGTAGCTCGAAATGAACGCCGTAGACAGTGAAGGGCTTCGGAAACATCTACGTTTTCGCTTGGACTCAAACTGGGGAAGTCTCTAACGTTTCACTCTCTCTGTCTACGTTTTTTTTTTTATTCTGTTATAGAGTAGTAGTTTGGTGGATGACCTGCTGTGTTGTTTTTTTTTATCGCAGGATATTATGGAAAAACCGAAAAGAAATTAAGTTGATTTTCTCGAGGAGTTTTGAGGAACTGGACTGTTGTTCTCGTTGTGATGAAGATGGTGACTAAATGTCGATTTGACCCAATAGTCTATTGCTGTTTATACTTTATGTAGTCGTTTTTTGGCTCCGAAATTTGCAGAGATTCTGATTAATTTAAGAACCTAATTTGGTAAATGCCAGTAGGAGAAAGAAAAAGAATAATTTGTAGGAGTAATAGAAAAGAAACTTGATTTGTAATTTTTTTGTAATTTTTTATGAATTTATAATTGATATATTATTTGTATATAGATTATATATATTGTTAATAAATTAAATGATATTATTTTATTAATAAAAAATATTAATTTTAAAATAAATATATAAAAATTAATTTTTAAAAAAATTTATTCATTAATAAAATGATATTATTTGATTTATTTTAATAATGAGATAATATTATTTAATTTATTGATAATAAATTAAATATAAATTTATTTTATAATAATTTATATTTTCTTTTATTTTTTAAACAGTATTGTATGCTGCCATATTTTCATTTTAAAATATATCCAATTTACATACAATGACATTGATGTGTGTATTTAAAAAAATATATTAACGTGTAATAAAATTCAAAATTTAATAGTAATTTCTTTATAGTGTGTCTAATCAATCATTTTTTAATTATTTTTTTATTGTCTAATTTAAGGTTTTAATATTATGTTTTAATTAAATTTTATTATTAAACTTTTAAAAATTTAATCATAAAATAATATCACAATGTAATAAAATAAATTTTGATCATATAGTCAAAGGAAGCCTTTATGACGTAAATATTTTTCAATGAAAATATTAATTATAAAGTTTTATGTTAAATTATCCAAATGCTTTTATAAAGAAATGGTGAGTTAAACTCTTATAAAGCATTCTAATTTAAGAATAATTGTTATGCCATCAACATGACTTTTAAGTAAATGGATAATAATAATGCGACTATTACTGTGATTTTATTTGGTTGATAAGTGATAAATTTAATTAGAAAATTAATCTCTTATGACAGCCTTTTAATTTAAATACAAAAATATTATATATGAATCTTTAATATAATTAAAAATGTTGGCGTTATTATGATTCATAGTAATAATACATGCAATTCTTTCGAATAAAATAATTAAATAAACAACTTGGTATAAAAAAGAATGTGTTATTTTTTTATTAAAAAGGATAAAAAAGAAATGAGATGAGAAATTGAAGAGAAAAGAGTTGCTTGTATCGGGAAAAAATGTAGGGCCCATAACAGCTGGGTTAAGGCTGTCACCACGTTGTCAAAACTGGTAGCCTAGCTGGAGTTTCATTGTGTGACAATTTTATCTTCCAATTCCGTTCCAAAGTTCCCTAAATTATAGAGTATGCGAATATAATTTTTAATAAATTGATCGTGAATATATTTTATTTTTGTTTATTTATATTTATTTATTAAAAAAATTAAATATGAATATAAGTTTATTTATTTTATTTATGTTCATAAATAAATAAATTGATTTAAAATTTATTCGTTTATTGTTTGTTTATTATTTATTTATAATAATATTAATAAAATTATTTTTTTTATTTTTTATTTTAATTTTATTTTAAAATTAATATAGATTTATTTGGATTTGTTTATGTTTATTTAGAGTTTGTTTATTTAAATTTATTTGATTATAATTTATTTATTATTTATAAATATATTCGTTATATATATTCGTAAATATATTTATTTAATATTTATAAATAAATTCATTTAATTTAATTAAAATAACATGAACGAATGCAAATAATTTATTATTTAAATAAACAAACATTAAAGAATATCAATTTTTTTAACAAATACTAATCAAATAAAAACATATTTAAAAATAATCAATAAATCATAAACATATATTTATTCGTTTATATTCAATTTTTTTACAATTTTACCTTAAATAAGGTATATATTTTATATAAAAATTATGTATTATAATTTATATTAATATAAAATATATATTTAATTTTTATTAAAATTTTAACTTGAATTAGCTTTTTTTATTATTAAATATCAGCAAATTTTATATTATTGATGTGGCATTCGGTGGCTGATCTTGATTTTTTAAAATTTTAACTTCAAAAAAACCAAGGGTATAAATAATCAGAATTTATATTTAATACGTCGTTAATAAATTCACTTCATTAATAAATTATTATTATTTAATATATTATAAATATATAAATTTTATATACTAAAAATATATCAAATATAAAGAAAGCGATGGCACGAATGCCACCTTCACTTTTACCCTTTTGTCCCCCACATTTCGTGTACACCAACTCTTTTTCTTTGCTAATCCCAACATGATTGTTACCATGTCAAAATTCTCATCACGACGCCTTTTATCTTTTGCTTCTTTTTCAAACCTTATTCTCCTAGTCTGAAAGCGACCCAACTACACCTTCCACAAGGTGGGGGGGGGGGGGGGGGGGGGGCTCCTGTATTTATGGGGTGGCTGGAGCCTGGGAGGCAAGCGTGTAGGCGTTGCATCCTCCTTTGTTTTCTGAAACTCTATCACTCCATTATCGTTTTATCATTGCTACGCTACCAAAATCTTTCATGCATGGTCAGTCCATTCACTCTCTCATTATCTCACTTCATCCTCAGCGTCAACCGAGCTGCTCAAGCCCTACAGACCATAAAATAACAAGTTGAATTCTGTGCATCTCCAGAGGCATAGGCTTCGTCCCCAGTTGATCAAAAGAGGCGTAGATCCTGGGTTGAGGGGACAACTAGGGGAGGCACGTCAACTGTTCCAACAAGGCCAGGTCATGTGGGTGTCGTGCATGCGTGTCAAAGTGACGTGGCACGATAGAATTGGTTATGCCTTGGAGTTTGTGGAATATTGCTGGCATGATAAAGGGATATTACCTTCGGGCATTCTTAATTTTCATCATAACTTACGGAAAGGAAAGAGACTTAATGATGAATTATTTATGGCCCAGTTGCCCAGCTATGCTGTTGCTTTCACTGTTTTTTTTACCACTTATATCTTGCCCTTTTTACACAAAAAATACCACTAATTGATGGAAATTCTATGTCAGTTCACTCTTCATGTTACCATCATTATGCACAAAGTATATTGTTCTTGATGATTTACTTTCAGTTTATCAAGGAATTTTGTCCATCTTATCAACTGTCAAATTATATAAAAAAATGACTACTAGGAAGTTGATAAACCCCATCTTCTTTAACTTTAAGTACAGCAATGTTACCAAAAAGAATAACACTAACCCTACATTCACTCGTACAGATTTTAACTCCTCTGTCACACTTCCTTTTCAGCTATCCATTCCATTCTAAAATGAGAGCAAACGATTTCAATACAGATTTCATTATGTATATGTATGCCTGGAGATATCAGACATTACATGTAACACAATGATTTTTAACGTTGCCAAGCTTCACATCAGGACAATACAATCACTTTGTATTTTTCCCCATTTTTTCTTCCTTTTTCTGTCAACCAATTAGCTGGTTGGACCCAAAGGGAGATTGAAGAGAGAAAGAAAATCTCAAAAACCGAAAGTTGTTTAATATACTGGGCCTCTGCTCTGGCTCTCTCGCATTTATGTTTTGGACATTCTATTCGATCCATGCAAATTGAAAGCCATGGAGGCAAAGCAATGGCGGCATTAATATGATACTAGCTATAAAATAATCATGGATTGGCAGACAGGCAAGATGCCACTTGGGTGTATCTCAAAATCAGATTTGACAAACAGTGGCTAGAGGGAGGGTCCCTCTCCACCACCATCTCTATGTGGACCTTCCAAATTCAGTTACACCAATAATCATGATCTTGGGTTGGCTCTGATTTCATTGCAAGGCAAACAAGAATCATTCTGCTTATTAAACAAAGATAAAAATTATCTCTTAAGAACTGCCTAACCACGCGGTCCATGCCTGTTAATCATCACTTATCTGCTCTGCGACTTGGAATGGATAAAAATGATTAATTAGTAGCATCCCATAGTATTAACAATTCCAAAACTCTTTTCTTTTTAGTTATTTTTTTTGGATTGAAGTTCGAACTTGAGACTCACAATTCAGAAATCAATTTTAATATTATTAAATTGATGGATAGTTTAAAAAGTATTTCAATTAAATAAATATTTTAGGATAACTGAATTCAGCTATGGTTACATTTTTAATACAAATATCAAGGTTTAAAGTTCGATATCTTTACTTGACATTGTTGAATTGTATTGTTCTTTGAGGAGGTTTAACTTTTGATCAAAGAAAACCGAAAAAAAAAAGGAGAGAGATGAGTGGTTTGGTTTTAGTACCATGAATGTAGCATGTAGGGCACACAGGAGAAGAAAATAGTGAAAAGAAAGCTGTTTATAGTAAGTGAAAAATCAACTGCCGGAATATCAAATCATAATTGCTTCAGTTACTTACTTAACGAGGTCAACCTTTAATTGTTTCACCATACAGATAGAATGTCATTAATTCTATTATCTTTTCTTGATGATAATCAAAGACCGCCTCGCCACTGGGCCCCGTTTCCTAGGCTTCTAATCTGAAAACCAAGTTTCCAAGCTCAGTGTGAGTAGCCAGACCCAGGACCCAAGTTACATAACTTCGGCCCAATTTGTGACACACAAAAGTACAAGCGAACTTAGATACGACCGGTAGAACTTTCTGGGTCAAATTAGGAAAAACCCCGAACAACTTCTAAGTTCTAATTCTTCGGCTGTTTCTCGAAGCTGCTTTCTTTTCATTTTACAAGTTTTGTTTTGGGATTCCCATGTCTTCACCTTCTGAGTAAGTCCCGTTTATCTTCCTTTGATATTTTTTGGTTCCTTTTTTTTTTCTGAATTAATCGTTTGAAGTTGTTTCTTCTGGCCTTTCCACTGGATTTTGTTAGTTGTCATCTTGGTTCTATGGTTTTTTTTCTTTTTTTTTGGGTGATTTTGTAGTTTTTATGTGGTTGAACTCATATGTTGTGGTTAGAGTATAGCAACCTAGGATTTGGAGTCATAGGATGAGTGTAAAGTACAACCTATCGAACACAGATCTTGCTTAAAGATGCAATAGAATCTCATATTACAATATGTAATAGTTTGTGGATGTGTTTGGTACACAAGATTATAATAGGATAGGATAAGCTGATATTATGAATAGGATTAGATTAAATAATATCGTCTTATCTTGTATTTGATATGTGCGAGAATTAAGGTAGGATAATTTATTTATTGGTCAAAATTATCTTTTCTCAAAATTTATACAAATTTTTAAGGGTATAATAAGATATGTAAGTTCAATCCATGGATTAAAAATAATCTTGTCCACTTGGGAGGAGTAAATCATCTTATACCAAAAGGATGATTAATCCTCCTTGCAATCCTATCACTTTCTTTAGTTACAAATAAAACATAATATAGGATGATTATCATTCTATTTTATCCATCATCCTATAAACCAAACATGACCTTTGTTTATTCCACAGCATGAAAGAGTAAGGGATTCCATTTGTGGAATTGTCCTTTTGGTCCGAACAGATGGGTACAAGATTGCTCTTTAGAAAATATTGGAAATTTTCGTCAGGTTATCTTGTTATTTGTCTGTTTTACTAAATGTTGATTCAAATCTGCTATGGCTGATCTTTTCAAAATGAAGTTTGCAGAGGGTTGAAGCCCTCCTATGTCATTCCAATTGTGTTTCAGAGCAGCTTGTCATGCAGCTAATGCTGACCATTAGCATAACGATCCATTTATAAAGAAAATGAAAACTATGCATATTGAAATAAGATAGTCTCTTATGGTGTAGGATCTCTTAGATGCACAATCTCATGATAAAGCATTATTACTTTGCTATGTTAAAGTTTGAGTGCTCCACCATTAAAGAGCTTTTTCAACCTGATGGCCACGGTCTTAATGTTTTCAATTGCCATGCTTTTTCAACTTGACAGTAGCAGCTGCATAAGTTAGTGAGCTGTAGTACTTTTGATTGTGGCAGAATAACTTTAGGCTACTTGTTTTTCTGTTTTGTGTGGCAATATTGTCTCTGATGAGTTGGGATAGTCTGCATATTTCAAATGTTCTGTTTTATTATTATTGTTAGTATTCCTTTTTAATTATCTATTTCTTTTTTCTTAGTTTCTTCTTTATTTGCTTGCTTTTCCTTTTTTGACTAGTTTGTTCACTTTGTTTCAGATTTTATAACTCTCTTCCACCTATAAGCAAGGCTTATGGGACTGCATGCTTATTGGCCACTACAGCATTTCAGTTAGGACTATATGATGTTTTTCACATTGCGTTGATATATAAATACGTATTCAAGTATTTTCAGGTATGAATTTTATATAAGCTTGACTGTGAAGAACAGATGCATAGTTTCTAAATCCCAATAGTTTTCAAAAAGTGTTTGATTACAAGTTTTCTCTGATGGAAGATGATTTTGCACAACCTGGATTATGGAATGGTGTTCCTATGTTTATTGCATGTATTCTGCAGTCTATTGGTGATTGTATTATTGTTATTATCCAAGGAACAAAAGGAAAAAAGAAGAAGAAAAATAAAAGGCTATTATGGTTCCCTGAAAATTGTTGTTTATAAATTAAAATGGATTTTATTGTTTATTTCAGGCTTCTATGTATGAAATTGCATTTGTGTAATGTCCAGGATAAAAAGTTGTAACAGGATAGATCTTTTTAAAGTTTGATTCTCCATTTGAATTGTGAAATCTCATTTTATTCATAAATATTTATGTAAGTACTTTTTAGTTAATCAGGAGAATTCTCTTATAACTTAACATATGACTGTAGGTGTGGAGGCTAATCACAAACTTCTTTTTCCTTGGAAAATTTTCTATCAATTTTGGGATACGCCTTTTAATGATGTGAGTATCACTTTCTGAAAGCTTAAATCATTTCTGAATTCTATTATAGTGTGAGAAGGGTATGGTCCTTTGGTAACTGCAACTGGCACTTAAAGCCTTTAAGCACTAATTTTTTTGTCCCAATCTTTTATTATTGTACAGAGCAAGATATGGAGTTCAACTAGAGAAGGGACCATTTGAGAGGCGGACAGCTGATTTCTTGTGGATGATGATATTTTGTGCGTTGTCATTATTGGTGAGACCATGATCCTTCTTATTCAGCTTTGTAATTTACTGGTTCAAATTGATTGTTTCCAGTGGAGATGAGTGGCAAATCATATTATGGTTGGGAAGGCATGAATTGCACTAATAACTAAGAGCAAAATTGAAATACCTTCTCTGTCCTTGTATCTTTGCTAATCACTTTTTAAAGCATGTGGTGCAGATAGTGTCTGGTTTAGCACTTTAGCTAATGATCACCTCTCCATGTAAATACTGATGTACAAAATATGCTCACTGTTGAATGTGTATCCTACCATCAGTTCTTTTTTCTTTTATTATTTTTTCCTTTCCATTATTTCCTGTTGTGGTTTTAGGTTTTGTCAGCAATCCCAATATTCCAAACCGCTTTCTTAGGGATATCTCTTGTTTTCATGCTTCTTTATGTCTGGAGTAGAGAGTTTCCAAATGCTCAAATCAACATATATGGCCTTGTGACACTTAAGGTAAGTTTAATTGTAACTTTGGCACATATTAATCGGGATCATATAATGTTTATGTAACTTTTCTGGGGCTGAGACTTTTATGTTCCTACACATAATATTTCCATTTATTTGCTTCAGGCATTCTATCTACCTTGGGCAATGCTGGCTTTGGATGTTATTTTTGGTTCACCTCTCATCCCAGATCTGCTAGGAATCATTGCTGGACATCTATATTACTTCTTGACAGTGTTGCATCCTCTTGCAACGGGAAAGGTCATACTGAAGACGCCTATGTGGGTGTATCCTTGCATTGTTTGATTACTTGAGGTGAAGAGTATGGTTAGCATTTTACTGTTTCTTTTTTGTGTTTCCCTAAATTGCAACATGATTTTTCAACTCCTAGTATGTCATTTTTCAGTTATTTTATTATTGATAGATATATCTCATAAGAATGCGTGCATCGAATCATTAGTCTTTGACCTTTTTGTATATCATTTTCATCCGTGATCTTAAAAAGCTCAATTTTTTTTTATCTGAATCTTTTGAATTTATTCTGAATCGTCCATCTGTCAATGTACCATTAGAATTTGGATTGAAATGAACTAAATTTGTAATGTGCAGATATACATGTGGTAAATTTGGTCCAAATTTTAAGGGTATGTTGATGGCTTGATGAATTTGAAACAAATTCAAAATGTCCTGGATGAAAATGGCACTTTTCAACCAGTGTTCAAAGACTAATGATGACATTTACTCCATAAGAACAACAATTTCTTTTGTTTTTACCTTTTTTAATGGTTTGTTGGCGGTATTTTCCTTGACTGCTACTGTTGCATAGACACAAACTAGTTGCAAGGTGGAGAATAGGAGCTCCAGCCCAGCCAAGCAGTCGAGCTGTTGCACAGCCTGATAATTCAACAGGTGTGGCTTTCAGGGGAAGATCATATCGACTGAATGGATGATTGCTATACTTTCTGATATCACCTGAAATACGCCATTGAGATTTACCTGTGATCATCTCAAGTCTCCACCATCAACAACCTTGCCATTTGTTTTGTTATCTCTCTTTAAGATGATGCCACTAACAAAGAAGCAAAGTGCTTAATTACAACCCATAACAATGGAATTTTCCAAATTGGTCCTGCGTATTCATGTCATTTTCTTGGGCCAATTGACTTGTGGAAAGAGGAAGTATCTTGAACACAATTAAGACCCCATTTATTTTATGAGAATTAAAGACTCCATTTGCATATTATTACTTCTGTTATTTTTTGTCAAACCAGACTGTAATATGAAAAAAATATATATAGATATTGAGATTTAAATTTTAAATTTATTATGTATTATCTCGATGAATATATAAATTAATTAAGTTAAATATTAAATTTATTTTTGTTATTATCTAATATATATATATATATGTATATATTATATGATAATATACATAAATAAATTTATCACATAGGTATTTATGTTGATAATTCTCTCAAATGAAACATAGTATAGTTTTTAAAGAGAATAAAATAGTTTCTTTTAATTACAATGATAGTTTTTTAAATGGGTAAGATAGTTTTTTTAAATTACAAATTAAATAATTTTAAATTTATTTAAATATTAAAAGTATTCAAATTATAATTGAAAATAAAATTAATTTAGGTATATACATATTCTAAAATTAAAAATATGAAATATAGATTTTATTTTTTTAATAAATAATTTTAGTTATTTATCAAATAATCTTATTTAAAAAAATTATTTAATTATCAAAATCTTTCAAAAATTACAAAGATTAAGTTTATTAAATCTTTCAATAATCTTTTTTATTTTGATTTAAAAAATTATTTTTAAAAAAATTTACTTAAGACATTAAAAATTCAAGCAATTTTATGTAAGATTTTTAAAATTCAAAAAAATTTTATCTTAAATCTTTAAATAATAAGATTATCAAAATGATTGTATTCATTTGAACTCTAATTATCAAATTTATATTTCAAATAAATGTAAAAAATTTAATATTATTTTTATCACTTATTATATTCATTTTAAATTTTAAAATTATCTATTTAATTCTAATTGTCACTAAAGAATTCTTCTACAAATTTAATATTACAAATGTAATGTGTTATACATTAATTTTTTTATTTTTGTAATAACTTTTTTTAAGGTATATTCTATTATTATTGTAATTTATTTTTTATAAAATTTTGAAGATATACTTTATTATTATTACAGTTTCATTCTTATGAAAAATATTTTTTTTCAATTTATTTTTTCTTTTTTCACATATTTTCTAACACTTGTTATATTTTGCATAATAATTTAATAAAGATTTAGTATGTTAATATTTCTTTTATTATTTAATTTATCATTTAATAATATATATTTTTATTTAAAAAAAGATATAATTTATTTTTATTTGATATAATTTTACAAAGTATATAAATATTATTGTAAATAAAAATATTCAAAGGACAGACATAATTTTTTTTTACTATTTTTAAAAAGTTTATTTTTTAATGACAAGTTAATATATATAAATTATATATATATATTATGACTTTTAAAGATTTGAATATAATTTTGAAAAAAAATTAATTTGTATATATATATATATTCATATAAAATAAATAATATTATTTCGTGCATCACACGGATTATAATATAATTTTAAATATATAAATAAATTAATAACTTGAAATAAAAAAAATTATAAATGTTAGTACTTAAATTTCAATAATATTTTTTAAATGTTTACGCATGAAACTTGTGTCCATTTATTCTTTGCATTTGTCCTTTTATCTCTTCAAATTTTGCGATAAAAAGGAACTAAATAGTTAAAAAGAAAACAATTAAAATGGTAACCATAAACGCAAAAATAGAAGAAAAGAATGTGGGCAATAAGACACGTGAAAAGAGAGAGAAAAAGGAAAAGGAAAAGAAAGAAAGAAAGGCGGTTAGGAGGGAGGGGGTCATGTGGCAATGGATGCTGAAATAAAGGCAGAAATGAACAGGTGCGATACAGACGGCTCAGAAACCATCAAATCAACTTTTTCAAAGCCTTCCCTGCCTTATTCCTCGCTCCCTTATTTATCGTACCTTCACCATTAACAAACTTGAATCTCCCCATCCCCCCATACCATTTCACGCAACACACCCACAACAAAAAAACCCAGCATTTCTTAGTAACCAAACCCAACTTCTGTACTCATCCAGGAAGAAAAAATGTCGTGGCAAACTTACGTAGATGAGCACTTGATGTGTGACATCGAAGGCCAAGGCCAGCACCTTACTGCCGCTGCTATCATTGGCCATGATGGCAGTGTCTGGGCTCAGAGCTCTAACTTCCCCCAGGTCATATATCATATAATGTTATCCTTTTTATCTGATCTGAATTTTTATCGTCATTTGGTTATAAGATGTCTGATTTAATTCCATTGTTTTGTTTGCAGTTCAAGGCTAATGAGATCAGTGACATCATGAAAGATTTTGATGAACCAGGCCACCTTGCCCCTACAGGCTTACACCTTGCTGGCACAAAGTACATGGTCATCCAGGGTGAGCCTGGTGCTGTCATTCGTGGAAAAAAGGTGATGCTTTATATTAATAAACACATATCGTTACAAAAGAAGTACTATTATGGCTTGAAAACTATGTATATTTGATGTGGCAGGGATCTGGAGGAATCACTATTAAGAAAACTGGACAAGCTCTTGTCTTTGGCATCTATGAAGAACCAGTGACTCCAGGACAATGCAACATGGTTGTTGAGAGGTTGGGTGATTATCTTGCTGATCAGGGCCTGTAAACCAAGCTTCAAAATCCATGCCTTTTTTCTTTTTTCAAGTTTTTGGTTCCAACTTCCAAGTTTTGCATCTTCTCCCATTGAAAAATATGGTTGTTAAGATGGTTTGATTGGCATTTGGTTGGTTGACTTGCATCCTTCACCATATATGCTTTTTTCTTTTTAATTATTCTGTGTAATCCCCATCAATGGTTGCCGTATCAATCTTTTGTTGGGCACTGTTTGATGCCATTATTTGTTTTTTCTTTTCCATGTTTTGAATTTTGCTCATAAAGAACGTTTGAATATGCCCTTTGTCTTTGTGAATGAGAGAATCAGATTTCAGATTCCTTGATTGCAACTTGTTTTCCTCATCAGTGCAATTTCTTTTCTGTGATCTTAATTTTTCTTCTTCTACGTTCTGGTTTCTGAGGATTATGTGAAAGCAGTTAACCTCCTCCACGGCATATCATCAATGAGAACGATATTTCTCTAGAAATGGAATATTATTTCCACAATGTAATAGGCTGTTAAATTTTTAATTTTCAATTAAAGTTCAAATTCCGATAATTCATGTGAAAAAAAAAAGAAACCCGAAAATAGCAATAGCATGGAGGACCTTATTCTTGTGGCACTAGTTGCTATGCTTATAAAACATTACAAGCTTCTTCCAGCCGGCTGCACGGCCTAGCTGATTTTCAGTAGCACATTCCTCCATCAGTAATGAAAACTGTTTCTCTCAAAGGACCAGCCAGCCTATGCCTAATGCCTCTCGTTGGCTCAAATGCCTACATCTAATAATTTTAAATATGATAAAATAATATAACATAAAAATTATACAAATAAAAAATATAAAAATAATATGATTTAAAAATTTAGTAAAAATCATAAATAAGTTTAACAAAATAAAAAAATTTTTTTTAATATTTTTGTATTGGCACAAACTCTAACATATAATTTTCGTATAAAACATATTATGAATATATAAAATTTTAATATTTTATATAATATAAATATATGAATTGCTAAATTTATTTACAAACAACAATGTATTTATTGTTGGTTTCAATTAGTGGTCAAAGTTCTTGATTTATAAAAAATCATTTTTTAAAAATTTTAAAAATAATAATTTGAAGATTAATCAAATTATGATCAAAATGATGGCTGATTTGCAAAATAAATTTTAGTACTACTATAACAAAATCGAAATCAACTTTGTATGCATGCTAGCTATTCACATGTAAATAGTATAATAATATGATAAAAAATTATAAAAAAGGGTTAGTCCCACCTGTCGTACATAAAATATAAATGGTTCATTTGCATAGCAATTTTTTTTTTTTAAATTTTTGGGAAAGATGGATAAAAGTAATTGGATTCGATCCAATTTTTTATTAATCAAAATCGTTGTCATGTTAGGGTAAACAAACAATTTGTTTAAAGTTCTTTTTTTTTTTTCAATTTCTATATCAATTTTTCTTTTAAAATGGGATTTGCAACATGGTTAATAAGAGTATGGAAAAAAAATAAGGTTGATTTTGATATCAGAAGTTTTATTTGAAACATTAGCAAATCATGAATTTTTATATATAGAAAATTATATATTTCAGAAAATCTTTTGGGAAGGGGTGGAGGATAATGGAATTTGTAAAAAAAAAAAGACCTCGGAAACATAGCAAGTTGAGGACAATTCATTCGGTGAGGAATATGAATATCCAATTAATCGAACAGATCAATCGACGCAAGTTTTTGGTAAAACACCGAGAAAATGAAAGAAAAGTAGACCCAAACAAGAAAGTTGAGAGTGGTTTGCTACAAAAGAAAACTCGCTATTCCCCTTGGTTATCAGCCATAATAATTATGTAGAAGAGATATTCGAGTGATTCAAGGCATAGCATTAAAATCGTTAGGTAGACTTTTGCCTATCGAGAATTTGTAGCTTTCTCTTTTCGTACCTTCATTTAATTCGTCAATATGATTGATTAAAATGTATCGAATCAAATAAGAACATATATTAAAAAAATTAGACCTTTTTTAGATATAAATCTTCTATTTTAATTTTTTTAATACGAAATACGTAAAATAACATATAAGAAATGAAAATTCACTTACGGATCTATTTTAGAAGAATAAGAGAAAAATAAAAATTTCAAATCAAATCCCTTGCTTTGTTTTCCTTTACTTAATCTTATATGAAAAGGAAGCAGAACCTTGTTTTGTTGTTTTAGTTAGATAGTATAAGAGATTTTTAATGCTTTGCTTTTATTATTATTATTATTATTATTATTATTATTATTATTATTTGTTACATTGATAGTGAAAATTTTTAATTTCTAAATTAAAATAATGACACATGTCTCATTTTTTTAATTAATTTTTTTAAATATATACTAAAAAATATGTGTTACTATCTTAATATCATTTGTAAATTAAAAACTTATATTTGATAATTTTATTATTATTATTATTTATGGGTATACATTTTGATAAAATATTTTTGGCCAAAAAAATTTTGATAAAATATTTAAAAAATGTTTGAAGTTTAATGGGAAACAATTAGAGCTCAAATGAGCTTTCATTTCTTTTCTTTTTTTTTTTTTTCATTATTTTCACTTTTTCCTTAATCATTTGCTTTTCATAATATGCTTAGCTGTTTTGTTTGCTATTCTATAGGAAATAATGATTCTTATAATAAAAAAGTTGCAAATAATGAGAACCTAAATTAATTAGACTAAAGCTTTTTTTTATTATTTTTTTTCATAGTAAAGAGGAAAGGCTCTTTTCATCACTTATTGAGAAGAAAAAAAGAAGTAATTCTTACATATACAGGTATAGGAATAAGAATAGGAATAGGAATAGGAATAGGAATACGAATAATAAAGCCAAAACAACAATACTGCTACTAATAAAAATAAGGAAAATCATGTGAAAATTTTGTCCATTATTTATAAAATAATATTTTAAAAAAAGTGATAGAAGCTGCTGACGACGGATGAAGCTTAAATTTAAGTTTTAATCATTTAGGTTTTGGAGTTTTTGTGAAAAAAAAAAGTTTTTTAAGAAGATTTGATATGAAGAAGAATCGGAGAGCGGCAAGCAATTAACTTTTGAAGAAAATTTAGCCATTGTGGACCGTCGATGGCGGCCAGCGTGACATCGAAATATGAGATTTTGAGACTGTCCATTGAAAAATTAAGGTACAGAGAGCTGTGTCTACCTTATAAAATATTATTTATTTTTATAAAAATTTATTAAATAATATATGATATGCGATAATCATTTAAAATTTTATATAAATTTATCTATAGAGATTAGATCATCATTTTTAATAATCACATAATAATTTTATGTGATAATGTTAATGATTCAATATCATTATCATAGAGAGTAATTTAATTTTTATTTAAAAGGATAAAAATTTTTATTAATAAAATTAAGTTATATGTAAAATTAATTATAATCAATATTATTTATTTAATATATGTGAGCTAAAATTTTATTTTTTTAAAAAATTAATTATACTTATTTTATATTATAAAATTTTCTATTTCAAATTAATATTCATTATAATAAGTTCAAAAATAATTTATATGATTTTTAAAAATTTAAAATTTATAAAAATATAATATTTTGGTTTTAATAGATTAATTTTATTTTTTAATTCAAATAGTTTATCTATTAATAAATATATTTTTAATTTAATAATTTAATTATATTTTTTAAAGTAAACAAAATATTGCTAATATTTTATAAAGTATTATATTTGAAATTATTAACTTATATAACTATTATAATGTGCATAACATACTGTATTTTTAAATAAAATAATATTTAATTTGTAATAATACTTATAATAATAATTTTTAACTTAAAAAATTATTACAAATTACGAATGATGAAATTTTTTTAATAATAATATCATATTAATTTTAAAATAATATCAAATATTACTTTAAAATTTTATCCCATAATATCTTTAAATATAAATATAATATAAATTTTTACATAAATTTCATATGGTATCTTTACAATTTTTCTATGAAATTGACGGAGTTATGTAAAAGATTAAAAAAAATATAAAAGAGAGAGAAGGTGATTTTAGAGGGTAGACGAAGAATTGAAAGAAAAGGACAAAAAAAAAAAAAAAACAATTCACTAACGTGACATTTACGTATCAAAATAAAATCACATCAACAATTCATGTCTAAAAAATTTTTGATGTCAACAAATATTTTTATTTAATGATAAAATTTTTTGAATTTTATTTTTATATATTTTAATTAATTTAAGCATATTTATTTATATCAATTTATAATTTTCTTTTTAAATTTTCTAGCGGATTCAAATGGGAACAACAAATCTCACTGTTATTTAATGATATTTATTTATTATTTATATCAAATTTAATGAATTTATAAAAGGCAGATCCCGGTGTCTCGACGCTATATCTCCGTGTCCCTCCCTAACCTCAAGCTTGCCCCTTCAGTCAAACACTTTCTCAGCACTTCCAAAAGAAAGAGAAAAAAAAAAAAAAAACCCTCAACAAAGAGAAATCCAAAGAAGTTAAGGAAGAAGAAGATGTCGTGGCAAACGTATGTAGATGACCACTTGCTGTGTGAAATCGAAGGAAACCATCTCTCTGCCGCGGCCATCATCGGCCATGACGGCAGCGTTTGGGCCCAGAGCTCCAATTTCCCTCCGGTTTTCTTCTCATTTAACTATTCCTCCTTTTTTCCGCTTTGATTTTTCATTAATCTTTGCCCCCCCTTTTTTTGTTGTTTAGGGTTCCGAGTAAAAAGTTGACGCTTTTTGTAGGGGGATCAGATTCTTATGATTGAATTCTCTGTGCATGATTTATTGGGTGATCTGATTTGCTTCAAAAGGATTGATATTTGTTCATACTTTGCTGAAATTATATTTGGTGTTCTTTTTTCTCTTCTTCAAAGTTCAATTTGGGATCTTTTTGCTATGATTTGTTTACAGATTTGTCTTTTCATGCATGTATGATTTCTGGTTTGTTTATATTTTTTTAGTTTTAGAAGCATTAAGCATCATTTAGATCAAATGAAATGAAGTTTTGCTGATGGATCTCTGCAGATGGCCACAACTTTAGCAATGATCATAATAAAAGTAATTAAAGAGTGAAGTGTTTTCAATGCTACCAAATCCTGTTTATTTCGATTTTAAAGCTAGTTTCTGATTTTAAACAGGAGAAGGTTATGCTTTTTGCTCTCTTTTCTGATCAACCTGTGCTAATTGCTTTTCGGTTTTATGTTTATTTCAGTTCAAGCCTGAAGAAATTACTGCCATCATGAATGACTTTGCTGAACCTGGAACACTTGCTCCAACTGGATTGTACCTTGGTGGCACAAAATACATGGTGATCCAAGGTGAAGCAGGAGCTGTTATTCGAGGGAAGAAGGTGATCTTCTCCATCTTTTATTGGTATTTTTACTTTGTTTATAACATTGAAAAATCTCATATGCACATGCAGTCTCTTACAGTACATTTAATGCAAATAGATTTTTCATTTTTACATTTTGTTCCAATTGTAATTTCCAGTTCAACCTTTTCATATGATAGAAATAAAAGAAAATCCATATTGCCCTGAATTTCTTTTATTGGTGAAAACCAAAAACTTCACTTTCAAACTTAGCAGCACTTAAGCACATTACAAAGTGATAGTAGTACTGATTAGCCACTCAAAATTAGGTACATTGATCTGTGCTCTCATACCTAATCAGTATGCACTTGCTTTCGCTTTTATTTTGTGCTTCCATTCACTGATATTCCTTAGGGAGCGTGTTTCTCCTGACAGACACCCTAAGGAAGGAAGGGAGGAGCAAGGAGGGATATATAGCCGTTACTGCATAACTTTTCAGCCACTTTTGTGTAAATTTGGTTTTCTGTCATGGTTGTATTCTGAGCCTTTTGTCATTTTAATTTCAGGGACCTGGAGGTGTTACTGTTAAAAAGACCAATATGGCGTTGATCATTGGAATCTATGATGAGCCAATGACTCCCGGCCAGTGCAACATGATTGTCGAAAGGCTTGGTGATTATCTCATTGAGCAGGGCCTTTGATGCTCTTTGGTGTGCCTAATTTGTTGCAATTCTTCTTGGCTTCTATACAAGCGTGCATCTGCCACCTCCTGTAGTAATGGTTGAGTGCAGTTAAGTAATAGTACTACTAGTATTTTATGTTATGGGGAACCTTTTCCAGAAACAAAAGGCTTGGTGTTTGTAATTGTGATTCTTATGATATCTTGCTTTGTTTCTGTACTTGTTTGATGGATACTTTCAAGATTGTCGAGTGAGGTACTTTGTCTACATTTACAATGGATTTTCTAGTGGATTTGGTAACTTTATTGGCCAAGTTCTAGTAAATCTTATCTTGCCTGGCAAAAGCATTAAGATCTGTATGTTCTAGAAATCTGACAAGAAGACCTCATTGCGATAGATGGAAACCTTTGCGTGATCATTTGACATCGTGGTTCAGGTGGTAAAAGAAGGGTTTTTCATGGTTTGTGTTTAAGGTTAGAATCTTATTCGGTTGATACTGTTCCCACGCCCCCCTTGCTCTGTTAAAACTAGTCTGCGTTGTGAAGATGGAAAAGGCTTTCTTATGGTGGTGCATGTGCTCCTTGCCAACTGCCAAGTTGGTAGTGGGCTTGATGTTTTTGTAGGCGATTAGAGAAGAAATCACTAGTTGAATCGAGCAATATCCAATCCTTTCGTACTTCCATTCTGCTGTTAGAATGAGATAGGATAAGCACCCTAGATGGCGCATACCGGATTGCGGTTAAGATTTAATAGTTTGCAAATCACAGAGCAGCTTCTACATTTCTAGTGAACGAGAATGTCTATGTTTGCGAGGACGGTAGCTAGATTATGTTCATGGGAAAAAAGAACAAAGATGCCCTTTGATCTGGATGTGAATCGTTCCTAGAATTCGGATTTTTTTCAACTGGCCGCCTCAAAATGGAGGCTATTGCATTTTAATTTGGATGGGTGGGGGAAATTGGAGATGAACAGGTAAGGAATGGTTGGGCTCCGAAGGAGAAGCTACAGTCTCAGAATCCCCGCGGTATTAGAATTAAGGATAAACATTCTGATGAAAAAGAAACCTTGGCCTTTAACTAGCGTGAAAATTGTACCCAACACAGGATACTGCAATCGCACCACATTTAATACAAGCAGCAGCAATGGTCAGCATATACATTCTCATTTTACAGCACCTTCAGCACTACCAATATACCAAAACAAAAACTGGAGGTAGCGGCAAATCTTCCCCATCACAAATTTCTTGAACACATCTCCCTTGTCTTGTGAGGGCCCCCTTCATGTCCATGCCAGACTGCTCAACCGTTTTCAGAATGATGCATCTAACACATTGCCCAGGTTCAAGATAAATGAGATTAAAGTCAGTAGAAAGAAACTTGCAATCCATGCGTGCACTTCATTTCGTGTGGAGGATGAGGTATTAGCAAAGGCAGTCGCATTACTTGCTGCAGTTTTGTTGATCCTGCACGATAATCACAAGAACTTTAGTACATTCAATGATGAATGTCTAAAAATATGGGATCAAATCAAAGGAAACAGGATTGTAATGAAATATATAACATGAGAAAAAGAGGGCAAAATGAAGGATGATAAGGAAAAAAGAAATTCGGTACATGAGGTTTTTCAGAATCTGTGCTTACCCTCCAGCGGTCAGATAGATGCAATTATCATAGCCTGCACAAATAATTAAAATAATTAGTTTCCTGTTAAGCAAGATCATTCCAGAATCTAATTCTGAATGACACCAACAACACTGTAGAAAACTAAATCAACAAACAGATCCTGGTAGTTTTCAGATTTAAAAAAATCATTCCAAACTATAAGGTTAAAGATAGATTAGTTATAAGGTAAATGAACAATTTATAGTATCAGCCAATTTCAGGAACATTGGAGCAAGTTTGTTGTTTGTTAAACCAAACATGGTTTGAAAAAGTTCACTTAAGCTAATATTAATACCTCTGTGCAGCTCAGTTGGTGTAATAGGAATGGATAAGCATGTGTAATGCAATCTTTTAATTAGATTCTGCATAAAATAATACACTCACTAGGATCCTTGTCAACTTTGACACCATTTCCTCCAAAACTGCATGCAACATCACTAGCCCCATTTTGCTGGTAGTAACTGTTGAATGCAAAAGAGGCATGAGAAACTAGATTATCTGGCTCAAAACATGGTTGGCTAGGCTGAATGGCAGAGCAATCCACATTCCCAGGACCACAAGCCCAATCTATGGCCTTCTGTAAATCCGCTTCAGACGCCTTGCTAGAGGCGATGCACCAGGTGGTTCCACTTGAATTGGTACCATTCCCGCTTCTTGTCATATCAACAGCACCTTTTCCAGTGAAGTCCAGATTATATACACTTGTCTGGTCTGGATAAAATAAGCCCCAGTTTCTCTCTGATTCCTGTCCAGGCTTCCTGTTCTCATTAAACAATGAGAAAATATAGACATCTAGCTCTTCACCAGGCTTGGCAGGAGTACCAGAGTCATTGATAACATGTCGAATAAGATTGGTGTTATAGGTCTGGGCATTGTCAGGAGTAGCAGCCTTCTCTTTGGATGAACCTTTGGAAGGCCAGCCAGTTTCAGTGACCATAACCCTAATTGTTCTGAAATTTAGAGCCATCAGGGCAAAATAAAGGGCATCTATCTGGGCATCAAACATGTTTGTGTAAAGTAGACCAGTGTTTGGATCTATGACTTCTGAAGATGACTCAAACAGAGCATAATCCAAAGAAACCTTGTTTGGAGAGTCTCTATAGGCATAATAAGGATATAAATCAATCATAAAAGGTGACCGGTTCTCAGCTAGGAATTCCAACATAGGTTTCAAGAAAAATGCATGGCTGCTGTTAAAAGCCCCAGCAGATGGTGGGAATGATCGGGACAGAACCCCTAGGGAATGGGTAGTTGAAACTTTAATCCTCTTGTGCAGACCAACCTTTTTCAATGCTGTGAGGACATTTTGCATGGCAGGTACAACCAAGGCAGAGGCATTATCTGGGCTCTCTGAGACTTCGAGACCTACAGTAATGTATGTGATCTTCGTGGCCAGGTAGTATGGAAGGATGCTGTTCTTTAGCCATGAATCTGCATTTGATTGGAACTGGGAGAATGCTAACAAGTCTGAATTTGGAACTCCAACCATAAGTTCAACTCCAGTGTTTGCAAAGGCCTTCAGCACTTGGATATTAGAATCGTAAATCCTGAGATACTTAATGTTGTGAAGTTTAACCAGTTGTGCTACTTTATCAGGTGTTGGAAGATCATCAGCATTCCTTCCATAGCAAACTCCAACTATGCTTCCCCTGCAGAAATCTGCAATAGCAGTTGGCATCAGATAAAGTCCTCAACTAACCATGGAACCCAGTTTAAAGACAGAGCAACTGAGCAATCTTACAAGAATAGAGAGAGGAAGAGGAGACACAACATGGTTAACATGTATTCCCAAGGCAAAACATAATATTCCATTTCTTTTCCACAAAAAAAAAAAGTTTTACAAAGCAATTTGGTTACAGTCATCACTGCTTCCTACATAATCCCAGTCAGATATGGCAAAAAAGTTCATTATCTATGCCAAGTAGCTCAACCTCCCCCCATTGAAGGAGAAGAAGCAAGGAAACAGAAAATAGGAAAACTAAGTGTAGCCTCAATAAAAATGTTATACTGTATGTCACAGAAAAGAATCTTCCGGCAGCCAAACACTAAGATAATCTCCATTACAAAGCTTCATTAGCAACTAGGTCTTTGGAGATACATAAAGAATCAATGGAAAAAGCCCAAAATTCTAGCCGTACAAGACTTTCAAATTCAACTGCAGTTCAAACCTCCATGTCAATGCTAATCCAATTTAGTCTGTCAATCAACTATAAGTTCAAGGAATCTTAAAATGGCAATTCGCAGCTACAGACAATCCTCTCAAATTTAAATATATCAAGAAGAATGTTGAAGCATGAAAGAGGTGTGATAACAAGGATAAGAATAAAACATGTAGAGCAAGAAGCATATGGGGAAGTAAGAATGGTATCCATACATTGGCGCACAAGTTCGCCTAATCTGGAGATATCACATTGTCCAAAAGTGGAAACATTCACCGAACTAGATTTTCAAGTTCAAAAGCATTTTTTAACTTCATTTCGGTAAACATTAAGGCATCTTTAAAACCATTGCAAGAAGCTAGAGCAATCCACCAGTAGTGTATTCATTTCTTCTTAGAAATGAAGAACTAATAATCAGACACGTGATTCAGCGTTCCATCATGGAATGTGGTCAATCTATGATATAAACTAGAGAAGATTATCAAGAGGTCCACCAACTAAAACATTGCAATCTGGCTGTCCTAGATATTGAAGCCGTACCTACTTGATAGCAGGATCTTAGATGCAAGTGGGTAACTGTTGGATACTAATGCATCAGGTGGTCTACAAAGATAACATTTCTTATCATATTAAGATAAAACTAGATAACCCAAAGAGAAAAAAATCAAAAACCAAGGATACCCAGATGAGGAAGAGAGTAAATAGGCAACAAACTATTAAGAAAGAGAGTGACTGATCAGAGAAAGGAATGATGCACAAGCAGAGTGCTAAAAAAAGCAGAGATTTTTACTCAAAAGAAATGTGGGTATTCAAAATCAGAGATTAAAGCCAGAAATTTACAAAGATCTAAGCAAAGATTAATAGGCAAGTAGCTAAAAAAAAAAAATTACAAGTTCCGCGAAAGAAAAGCACAAACTTAGTCACTGTAACGCAGAAACACAGTGAAGAGAAAGATAAGAGAGGATACCTAAAAGTAAAGGCAAAAAAGAAACTGCAAAGATAAGCTTGAATCTTGAAACCATTGTTCATAAAAAGAAAATCCAAAGAATCTTCTCTTGTACTTTACTATTACTGCGTTTTACTCAACTTGGGTCAGTAAAACTTCCAACGTTCTTCTTCTAGAGAATGGAACTAGGGAGTAACGTATTTTTGTCTCTCTCTCTCTCTCACTCTTCACTGTTCTCAAAATGCAGAGCAAAGAAAAAGCTTTCTCTCGGTGCTCGAGTGAGAGAGATAGAGGGAGCACTTAAGCTTGGCTGGCTGAGCTTTGATGCAGGGGTGTTTTTTGTGTCAGAGTCAGAGTGAGACAGCGTTTCGGACCGCGGACCGGATTTCACAATAATTTTTATGAATTCCAGTTAAAGAGACGCATTTTGATTCCGCTCCTTTTGAGCCATGGGCATGTTTGTCTCTTCCGTCTTCTTCTGTCCCGCACCGTTTTTTATTCTTTTCTTTTTTAAGTCTACGTCAGATCGTTCAAAATTAGGTTTTAATTTAATTAATTGATTAAATTGATTAAATTTAATTAATTAATAATTATTATATTAATTTTGATCAATTATAAAAAAAATTTAGAGAAATTTTAATTTGAGATTAATTTAATTCAAAAATTGAATTAACTAAAAATTTAATTAAAATATAATAAAATTTATATATAATTAAAAATATATAAAATTATTCATTTTATTTTAAGTTATTAAAATTTTTAATTTAATATTTTAGTATTTAATTTTTTCTTGGATGATTTTATTTAGTTTGTTTTAAATATAAAAAAATTAAGAATTTAAATTATAATTTAACTTAATGTATTTTATTATTTGATTAATAAAAATTTTTAATTAATGTTAAAAATTAAAAAATTTGATTTGATTAACAAAAATAAAATAATATAATTCAATTAATTTAGTTTTAACTAATTTTATTTGAAATTATTCAAACACACCAAATTAACACCTCTAGCTTGCATTGGCTCTTATTACAGTATTAAAAAGGATTAATATGTAAAATGGTTCATGTACTATTCATCTTTTATTAATTTAATATCTAAAGAAATAAAATTTTTATTTTGATACTTCAATTTTTATTTTGGATCACTTTAATACATTGTATTATTATCATTAATCAATTGATTGATGAAGTATGAATATTCAATAAAATTATATCACATGTTATAAATGTTTAATTATCATATCAACAAAAAATTTTTAAAAATAAAAAAAAATAAAATCGAAGTTTTTAATAAAAAATTCAAAAAAATTAAAATGATGGTATAAAAAATAAATAATGTGATGATATAAGAATATTACGTCACGTATCATAATTTTATTATATATTAATATTAGGTAAATAACTTAAATAATAATACAAATTTAGAGTATCAAAATATTTGAAGAAATAAAAATTTAAACTAAACTAAAAATTTTATTTTTTTTAATTATCAAACTAACAAAAATATATAATATAAAATCTATTTTTATATTTAACCCTGTTAAAAATGGTCCACAACCTTTGATAGGACCAAAAATCTCCCCTATTATTATTTTCTGAAAGGTCAATAAATAATAATAATAACATCATTGCTCACTTGCTTTTTGTTGGATCATATTGCTCTGCTGCATCCACGATAATGAAAACGTAAAAGTGAGAGTAACGGTCGTGAAAAAGTTTTACCCCCAAAGCTTTCATTCTTATTAGTAATTATTATTTTTTTTTACTTGAAACAATGTCATGTTTATCATCTTATTCTTTTACTTGAAAAAAATTAAATTCGGGATTTAATTTATATCTAACTTTCAAGAGATCAATGTATATTAATTTAATCTGTGTTCCTTACTTTTTATTTTAAAAAATTAATTTAATTGATTGATATATAAATAAAATAAATTTAATTGGGCTGAGAATGGGGCTAAAACAGTGAAAGCAGTCCAAGAATTTGTGTGGGCCGAATTAGCAGAGCTTAGTTGAAAGTTGTTACGCCAACGGGCCTACTAAATTTGTATAAATAAAAAATATAAAAAAGATTGGAGAATCTCGTATCATATTAATAATAATATATTGTGATTTGTGACCCCAAAAAAAAAAAAATTTGAATTAATTTTTTACGCGGTCTGTCCCGTTTGAATTTATAACGAATCCAACATCACCTTTTTCTCTCTCTTTTTTCATCTGAAGAGTCCGTTACAGTTACGATCCGAAAAAGAACCAAAAAAAAAAAAAAAAAGAAAAGAAAGAAAATGAAGAGCAAGAAACCATTAAAGCAACTGAAGCTCTCTGTTCCTGCTCAAGAAACCCCAATCTCTTCTTTCTTGTAAGCATATTTCGAGATTGCTTCGATTTTGTGTCGAGCTTTGCTTTTTAATTTACTAGAAATCGCTTCTTGAATCAAAGTTTATGGCTTGATCGGTTTATGCTTTACTTCTAATTTGCTTTATCTTCAGGACGGCGAGTGGGACATTTCATGATGGTGATTTGCTTCTAAATCATAAAGGATTGCGTCTCATTTCCGAGGAGAAAGAATCTCGAGTAAGTTTTTTCAACTAATCTTGGATCTTTTTGCTCTGTTGGAGGGTATTTATGTCAGCTCAAATTCTGCTCCTTTTAGTATTATTAGTTTTACTACCATTTTAGTTTTCTTTTACCTTGTTCATGTAATTCACTTCTGATCTGCCCATTTAGAAAACTTTAACTCAGTTGGTTTTGATTCTGTTAGTACTATGTTGCAAGTGTATATCTGTTTTTCAATTACTATATTTATTGCAGCATTTTTGTTACCCTTGAAAATCAAGAACAATATTGACGCTAAAAAGTTGCGATTACGTTAAAATTTAATGTGATATTCGGGAAACCATAGAAAAGGCTGCCGCTGTACTTGCAAATTGCAATAGTATAAAGAATCATCTAACTTTGGTTCTTCACATTCCTTCTTCAGTTCTTCTTCCTGCCTCCCTCTGCCGTCTCCTCGTCAAACTCCTTGTTATTTTCCCTTTTCTCTAAAGTCCGTATGTTTTGTGTATGTGGTTTTTGTATGTACGTGTAGTTAACTATTTATGGTACAGCAATGCTTGTTCGAGTTACCATGGTATTATTTATGCCTTGTGCATTTTAGAATCAATTTTCTGGGGATTCAGGATATTCTTTCTTTCTGGGTTACTTTGAGCAGCCTTCTGACGGCAAGGAGCTTGATTTTGAATTCTCATTGGAAGACCTTGAGACCATCAAAGTTATTGGGAAGGGCAGTGGTGGTGTAGTACAACTTGTTCGTCATAAATGGGTTGGAAGATTATTTGCCTTGAAGGTAATTGTCCAAGACTGACATACCTTTTTCATTTGCTAGTTAGTTTTTGAACTTGCTCTTAAGAGACTCTGCTGATTTCCTTATTGTCTTTAACTTATTTTAAACCAGGGAATGATGTTATGTTTACCAGTCTTAGGATTTATCTTTTTCTTCTCCCTTTCAAGTCATTTAAGATATGAGAATTACTAATAGATGTAAAATGGGGATCATGATATAATTTGTTGTGAGTGGGTGGCAAAAGAAGGCATGTTTAGTACCATTTACGACCTTCAATGCTGGTACTATTTTCACAATAAAAAATTTAAAATGTAGTTCTATTTTGTTGAAGATTTACAGGAGAATAGAAGGAAGGCCTGTCCTATACTTCTTTATTTGTGCTTCATACTATAGCACAGATTAACACCAAAAGGAAATATTTTAGCCTGTGCTTCTCTTTTCTTGTATGAGTAGATATGAAATGTCTTCATAATTGTTTAATTTCTAGAGCTGCAACACAAAATTCCATAAACAACATTCTTACCTTTTCCTGGTTTTGACTTTAATTTAAAATCTTCACTACTTAAATTATGAATAAATCTCCTTGTATATTGACTTTGATATTATTATGATAATAAGAAATTTTAAAATGCTTAGAACATGGCCATTTTAAATGATGAAAATCAGATTCCAGGAAATTTCATTGTGCTATACACTGCAGGTCATCCAAATGAACATACAAGAGGAAATTCGCAAACAAATTGTGCAGGAGCTAAAAATAAACCAAGCATCACAATGTTCACATGTTGTGGTTTGCTATCATTCTTTCTATCACAATGGAGCCATATCTCTTGTGCTAGAATACATGGACCGTGGATCTCTGGCTGATGTGATCAGACAAGTTAAAACAATTCTTGAGCCATATCTGGCAGTTGTGTGTAAGCAGGTATTCTTCATTCCTGTGAATAGAAATTTTATAAATGACTAAACAAAATTCCTAGCAAAAGCAAAAGAAGTCCGTTCTTCTTTCTACTCATGTATCTTTATGTTTCAGGTCCTACAGGGTCTTGTGTATTTGCACCATGAAAGGCATGTAATACACAGGGACATAAAACCATCCAATCTACTGGTAAACCATAAAGGGGAAGTGAAGATCACTGATTTTGGTGTCAGTGCAATGCTAGCCACCTCCATGGGCCAGAGAGACACATTTGTAGGGACTTACAACTACATGTCGGTATGTGAAGTCTCCACACTGTTCAAATCAATTTGTAACACTTTTGTTTGTCATTGAATTCATCATTTCAGATACTTGCGATTAGCTATTCCAATGTGTTTGTCCTCACTAAGATTTTATATAAAATTTTAATCTTAATTCAATTTGTTCCCATTTGTAGCCAGAGAGAATTAGTGGGAGTACTTACGACTATAGTAGTGATATTTGGAGTTTAGGCATGGTAGTGCTTGAGTGTGCTATTGGACGTTTCCCATATATGCAATCTGAAGATCAGCAAAGTTGGCCTAGCTTTTATGAGCTTTTGGAGGCAATTGTGGAAAAGCCTCCTCCAACTGCTCCACCAGATCAATTCTCTCCAGAATTCTGTTCATTTGTATCAGCCTGGTAAATACTTACACGTCTATTTTGCATAATATCATCTCATCCTATAGATCTGTCAAGCTTGGGCTCTAAGTGCTTGTTTTCTGGAATTCTTTTGCCATTGTCTAGGCTTTCTAGTGGAAGCCAGCAACCCTCTCCAATATGCTATCCACTTTTGGAGCATGTAGCGAGAAAAATTTGTGCACAAGTTCAGTAAATGATGTAATCTCACCTTTGCAATATCACTAGATTCCAAAATTTGATCCTCAGAGGCTCATTTTATGCACATTGACAGTAATTTTGTGTTACCTAAACATAGTGGATATGCTACAATTTTCTTTGAGGACAACCCATTTGCACTGCATTTGAGATTCAATGAACAACTGGAAACTCGTCCAAGGAAATGTAGCCCATACTTGACTTTGTATTCATCCTTTTTTAATATCTTCCTGAAGTTATAGGACAACAGAATCTCTAGCTAGTTACATATTTGTTGTGTTTTGCGAGACATTCATGTGGAGGCTTTTATGATTCTTGAGGATTAAAAACCTTTTACATTAATTTCATTTGTTTACACAATATTCCTTGATATGTTTAGATATTTGAATTATTAATTTTACATAGAGCGATTGTCCTGGGTTTTCCAGATAAACAGTTAAAATTGAATTTATATTGCTAGGAATCTTGTTGAACCATTACAGTTTCTACATCATTGAGAACAACATTTCAAATTGGTGTGACATAAATTGGAATCTTCCATTTTTTTAGATATTGGTTTATCATTTTATCATTGTCATTTTCCATTTACTTTGTTGTGATCAGAAACAGTATTCTAATTAACTTTTCCTATTCCATTTTTAGCATACAGAAGAACCCTCGAGAGAGAGAATCATCATTGGATCTCTTGGTAAGTTTCACATGGTTTACCACCAAGTTCTTGGTAACAATTCCCATTTTTTTTCTCCAAAACCTTGATCGGAACTTCTTTTGATCTTGTAGGGACACCCCTTCATCAAAAAGTTTGAGGACAAAGACATCGACCTTGGGATTTTGGTAGGTACTTTAGAACCTCCTGTGAATTACCCAAGATAAATTTACTTTGTAATAACATGTTTTGAATGTGTAATTGTTTTGGTCGTGGATCAATCTTCACCTTGTTCAAACCTAAAAAAAACAGTTTCTTGTAGCACTTTTATCCTATGATCTTACGTATATCAAGGTTTCATATTTCAACTATAAGACAAGTTTACTTGCAAAATCTTCCCATTTCTCCTACACATTGAAATGTTCAGAATTAAGCAGAATCTATAGCAAATGAAATCAACTATAGTGAAAATTATTAGTAAAATATTGATAATAATGACAAAAGAAATAATCTGTTGAGTAAAATTATAAGGATGAAATATTCGTTAATTTTAAATATGATATCAAAATAATATAAAAAATATAATTTAAAATTTTAATAAAAATTATATTTAATATATTGATATGAATTTAACGTGACACAAATTTGATATAATATACAAATTGTTAAATCTTTACGAGATAAGCTCATAAGATATGTGGGTGCTAAACTGAACTCGGGAAGAAGAACTAACAGCGAAAAGGGTTGATTAGGGACCAAAGCTAAGGGCACTAAAAGGATAAGAATGTGATAATAAGGACAGTGAGGCAGGCCTACCTACGAAAGCAAGTGGTGGCATTCCCATTGCCCATGTAATAGCCTACTTGCCATCATGATTTGTTCCCAAGTCAACCTTCTTATCCTTGTTCCCTACCATATCAACCTTTTGGCCCCCGCACCTCTAAAAGAAAAAAAGAAAAAGAAAAAGGGGAAATCATTTTCACTTAGCAACTATAGTACTATTTTTATGCATTGGCAATGATCAGTCTGAACACCTTAAAAGACCTTTCGGCCTGGATGTTGCCATAATCTGATTGAAACGAGGAATGGCCTCTCCGGGTTTTTGCAACCATGTTTTCTTAAAAGATTTGAGAATACTCATAGTGGTGTTTGCTTTTTGACCACATAAAATTAGCTGTTCAAAAATTAGAAGACCGTTGTAGGAATAGGATAGATTGAAATTTTGATTTGAAATCATTTTAACATTAAGATCCTATTCACCAGCTGGCAATTACGAGACAATAAAGCTTCTTGAATCAAACAGCTGCAACCATTTATTCTTTTCACATCAAAGCAAATTCTGAGGAAAGTAAATTTTTTAACTCGTGAAGAATTTACGAGGAAACTGACAAGATAAATGACGTTTCCAAATATAGCCATAACAACTCGAAGGCAAAATGAAATCCCACAAGAAAATTTTGTATCAACCCAAGGCATCAACATGATAATAAAATTTTGTTAAAGTGGAGTAAATGGGGGCAAAATGTGAATTGTAAGCAGGCATCATTCCAAAGGGGAGGCAGAAAACAAGAATTAGTGGTAAGAAAACACACCCAAATCCACTAAAAAATGTTTCCCTATACTTATCTGAAGTTTCTTCTGCCAATACATATTCCTCTCCTTTGCTTCAGCTTTTACAATGTGATTGCCTTGAGACACGAAAACATGTAAAAATATATGTGATGGCTTTTTTGAGGCAAAGTTGCCGAAGATAGAGACCTCATTTTCAGCCAAAAGAAAATGGTGACTCGGATATGGATGCCTTCAAATTTAGGTCTTATCCGATGTCTCAGAATAAAGGAATACGAGGAGAAAATAATAATAATATATAAATAAATAAACAATAATTAAACTGGTCAAGGTTATCCAATGCTTACATTTTTACCGCCAAATATTATCAATAAAGATTGCTTGTTTTATTATAAAAGTAAATCAAGATCAAACAAGTGGCAATAGCATGTTTATATATATATATATATATACATGTATATGCTCCCTCCTAGAAGAACATATATTGTAAAGGGTTTTCAGAACTCAAATCTTGTTCTTTCTCTTGTTCTTGTTTCTGCAACTAATCCAAATGGGCGAAGAAGCAAGCCGTATATTTCAAGATATGAATCTGAAGAAAACGGATAGAAATGAAGCTTGGTGCAGTAACATGATGGTCATGGAAGGAAGTAATAATAATGAAATATGTGACTCCATATCCATTGAATCCTCGTTTGAAAACTCAGAAAACTCCATTTCTTCAATATCTTCATCAGACTTGGTTGAGGATGCATCTTCTGCAACATTATCATCTTTATCACCCAATGGGCCTCTTTATGATCAATCCGAGATCATGACTCAACTACCCATCAAGTAAGCAACATGTTTTCTTTCTTTTCCAATAAAACATAAGTGAATGATAGAGTTTATATAAATATTCTAAAATGTTGCCCAACGTTGGGTGATTGACGAAAAGAGTATAAACCGGCAGGAGAGGGCTTTCAAAACATTATCAAGGGAAATCTCAATCTTTCACATCTCTAGCAAGCGTGAGAAGCATAGAGGACCTGCCAAAGAAAGTGATTCCATTGTATAACAGAGCGAAAATGAAATCATGCAAGAGCTATGGATGGGGACTAGATGGTCACAGTAACAAGTCATATAGGCCTAAAGCAACGATATCAAAGAAGGGTTCCAACCGGGGTGGGTTGTTTTCTGTTTTCCATAGGTAAGAGTAGTACTTGTACTACTACTCTAGTGATTGGTGACTGATTAATGTAAACCTAACTAGCTAGAAGTAGCTTCCATCTACTTGCAGAAGAACGTTTCAAATGTGCGTAATTACCTGAAATTATTGTAGCTTTTATCATTCTGCATTGTAGCAAGATGGTTTTTGAATATATAACCGGCTTTAGATGTCATGAAGAAACCACTGATCAGCTTACCATTTTTGAGGATTGTTTAAAAAATCAATCGTCTTCACACAGAGAGAAAGAAAGGGAAATATGGCTTTATGAAACATGAATATATATAATGGAAGATTATATATTTTAGGCTTTGAATGAATAAAATTCAATCCCTTTGGATAATGTAATGTCACAATTGATTTTTAAATTATATTAAAATGATTAATGTAATATCTAAATTTTTTGATATAACATTTAAATTATAAATTTATTAAATAATATGATATTTAAAAAATTATTTATTAATTACGTGTACCGTTTAAAGTTAATGACATAATTAGAATGAATAACATATTAATTAATAAATTTATAATTAATAAATTATTAAATATTTTTTAAAATTTAAATATTATATTAATCATTTTACTATAATTCAAAGATTATCCATGACATTAACCGCTAATACAAAACAAGACTTGTCAAATGGAATTCATCTTCATACTACAAATTAAGAACAATCTTGGTTGGACTAGAAAACACAATTTCACAAAAAAATTGGCAGGGAAATGTGAAATTAATCAGAATGATTATACATGAAGACTATATAAATTCACAGAGTTGGCCACTTGGCCTGACAGGCGAACAAGATAAAAAGTTGTGTTTCAAGTTGACATTTGACGTGGGCAAGAGATCATAATCATCCAACCTTCCCGCAAGAGTTCGTAATATTACTGTAAACACTCAATTTAGATCACATTTAGAGTAATTGAGTTTGGTCCAAATAGGATCAATCAAACCAAAAAATTTAGGTTTAATTAGTTTTTTTTTTATGTAATTTATTGATTTCTTTATCTATTTTTCTTTTACATTTTTCTTCTTTCTCATTTTTTTTTAAGATTAATTTTCAGTTAAGAGATAATAATCAAAATAATTAAAAAAATAATAAAAATATGAATGAATTCTGCCATGAATAAGAGGAATCATAGTTGAATTAAACCAGTGTAAAATAAATTCAATGATTAATCTGATAATCTAGAAACTTAATCAAAAAGAAAATCTGGATTAATTAAGGATTCTGAGATTGATCATATAAATACCTATTGATCAGAAGTATAAAACACATAGAAAAAGAAATAGAGAGAAAAAAAAAGCAAAGACGGTGTTTAGAGGAGTAGAGGCGGTGTTAGAATTTTTGGAAAATTTTTTTTTGAAATTTTTGGTATTTTTTTTCTAGGAAATTTTTGGAAATTTTCTAGATTTCGACCAATTTTTCGGTCAGATTTGAATTTTTTTGATGACTTTTTGGTGAAATTCAAAGTTTTCGGTAACCATTTTTTAGAAACCAATGAACTTCTGACCAAATTTTGGCGACCCTATCCAGATTTCGGAGAAAATCTCAGAATTCGATGAAGGATTCAATTGGTGTTCTTGAATCCTAGAGAGAGGGGAGAGAAAAGAAGGAGAAGAGAAAGAAGGGGGAAGAGCAGTCTGGTGAAAGAAAGATCGAATTCAGCCTTTTATAGGGCCCTGAAACGACGTCGTTTTGGGCGTTAATAAGTCCCCATGATCCACGTGTTTTGCTAACCCAACGCGGTCGCAACCTATGTCTGACCTGCGTGTCAGCCGTCCCCTGGTGTCGAGCCGCGCACTCCCGAGCCATTTTTTTGAGTCGTTTTTCTTCCTTAATCCGAGCCGAATCCTAGTTGTTGAGCCGAGTTGTTCCAAAGGTTTTTTTTTTCATTAGTTTTATTATTTATTTATTTATATTTTTTTATTGATTAAATTGAAATAATTTATTCACTCAATTAAATTTTTTAAATTTTCAATAATCTTTTCAAAAATAAAAATTTTTAATATATACATTTTTAAAGGAAAGTTGAAAGTTTCAATTTCCTTTGAAAATAAAAATTTCAAAAAAATTATTTTTTGAGGGAAAGTTGAAAGTATCAATTTCCTTTGAAGATAAAGATTTCTAAAAAATATTTTTGAGGAAAAAATTGAAAGTATCAATTTTTTCTTGAAAAATAAAATTGTTAAAAAAATTCTAAGAAAAAGTTGAAAGTATCAATTTTTCTTGAAATTAAAATTTTTAAAAAAATATTTTTGAGGAAAAGTTGAAAGTACCAATTTTTCTTAAAAATAAAGATTATCAAGAAAAACATTTTAAGGAAAAGTTGAAAATATCAAATTTTCTTATACAAAAGCAATGAGTTTTTTTATAAAATGAAAAGAAAAAGATTTATATCAAAAGTTGAATCATTATTCATCTTATTTTATTTTATTTTTTTCTTGAAAATTTTTAATGTTAAATAATCTGATGATAGAGTCTCTGCAAGTGAAACAGTAGTTTTCTTGCATACTCTTAAGGTGAGGGATTTTTTTAATTTTTTGCTAAAAGTATTGGAGTTAATTAAGAATAATTTCTAATAATAATTACTTGGTAAAATTTTTAAGGCTTATCGGATAACACGAAATTAAGTTGGTACTATTTTTCGATGGGCGTTGTGAGGGTGTTATAACCTTTCTTACTCATAACCAAACTCCGAACCTTGTTCTAGTTAATAGACCTAAATCTATTTTTTTAGAGACCTTTAGTCAAGCTTAGGTGTTCCTTGAAATGATAGATTCCTTAGGTGATCAATCACACATAAACAAAAAAGATTGGTGACGACTCCTCAAGTCAATGTCTAGTAATGGTCCTTAAATATAGATGTTATGACAGTTTAGTGACTCCACTGGAAACATTCGAGAGTCAAGCCAACAAATAAATTTGTGTTATCCAAAAGCCTAATAAAATTAAACTTTTTTGTATAGTTTTTTTATTCATTCATTTTATTTATTTACTTCGTTAACTCTGTCATTCATATGTATGTGCATAATATGAGCTCTTTACCTTAGCTCCGTCCCTCTAGAAGGGAGTAAAGTATCTATTGCTTTTGTGAGGTTTTAATACCTCCGCAGTGGCTAAGAAAATATCCCCACTCAAATTGAACCTTTTTTGCATGTAGCCTGTAATGGGTGAGGATTAGGGTGCCTTATTAGTCTGTAATGGACAATGATGTAAGGAGCAATTTGAGAACCTTTAGATTTTAACCTCGAACCACATATAGTAAACCTTAGAAGTGCCTAACTTATAGATAGAGCCATATCTTTCCTTTTAGAATTGACCAAAAGCATATGATTCATTCTTTTTATTGTGTGTGATGTTTTAATTAATTAATTAATTAATTATTTATTTCTCTTTATTTGATGTACTAACCTCTTCTCTTACTCATGTTTGCATGATTCATGCTCATATCATAGAGTTGCATAAAAAACATTTGCTTGAAAGATGGTCTTCAACAAAAAGTTGTTATGGATTTCACAGAACGACTAGTTTGCTTTTCGTTTGTATTAGCTTCTTGTGAGTCACCTAACGAAGTAAAAGACCAGTAAAAAAGGATTCAACTAAAGAAATGGATTGTTTACCAATTAGCTATGCTTTTGCTTTGTCTCAAGAGACATCTATCCTTCTTAAACAAAATAATCTAAAAAATTTGGTTGATATATGAAAAAAAAAGAGTCTATCAAGATAAAAAAAGTTTTGCCAGAGACATGAGCATATAGCATACCTTCTTATAGTAAATGTCGATAATCAACTAATTAGAGCTGCAGTGTAATTTTGGGATCTTACATACAAGTGCTTCATCTTCAATAAAATTGATATGATACCAACCATTAAAGAGTATTCGACTTTGTTAGCTTTGCACCTCAATATTCCTGACAAGATATATGTCAAAAAACATAAATAAGGGTTTTGTAAGAATTTGGCCTATCTTATAGGGATAGACAAAGAGATTGTGGATTTTCATGCAAAGAAGAAACAAAAACAAGTTTGCCTACCTTGAAAGTTCTTTCATGATTTTCTAGTGCAACATGTCGACGAAGAACAGGGGTTAGACATATTTGCCATAGCCATATACGAAATGGTGATATTTTTAAAGGTTTTGGGTTATATTGAAATAACAGTAATTGATTTTTTTTAAAAGTGTGATCAATAGCTGTAACCCTTCAACAGTAATATCAACAAAGACTGTCAGATATTTGAGTTACTATCATCGAAATAAAGGGCATCTTATAGGATGTATATAGTTATTATACTTATGGATGAAAAGTCACTTCGAGTGAAAAAAAGTACTTTTTTAAAGCTTTATGTAAGCAATCGAGCTCCAATCAAAGAATTATACAAAAATGGGTGGTTAGAACAAAAGTCTAAAAAAGAGTGATAGCTTTCTTATAAAAATTGACAAGTGTCAAAGTAAGATGGTTAGTCTCGTGGATGAATTGTGAACCTATGCTATATCAGTGTGGAGATAACACTGTGGTCCCACTTTTAGGTTTATGGAGAGCAACAAGTTATGCGTCACTTTTAGTGAAAAGATAGTTTGAGGCAGAATAGGTCATTCCCATGACGCATAAATTTCATTAATCGAATTTTTTTTTATAGTGAGCCTAAAACATTTCAGAGGATGAATGAGATGATTAAAGTATAGAAAAACCCCCGTAGAATGCCCTGGACCGTTCACTGATAAAGTCACTCACTTGGTTTGGAGAGCAAGACGAAGATAAAAAATGGTATTCATTTATGAAAGCTTTCAACCGCCATTAAGAAGAAAGCTTGAAGAGACCATTAGAATTGGAGCTTGTGATAAAGGAATTTGAGATCGAAAAGGATAAGTTAAAGCAAGAAATCCAAAAGCTTCAAGAGGAAAAAGATCAATGGAAGGATATAGCGAAAAAGTACGAAGTCAAAGTTTAAAAGATTGCTAAGTAACATGACACAGTTGTCAAAAGACTTAGCGGAGCTATACCATGAACATAAAATGTTATGTGTGAAGGTACAAGCCAAAGAGATAACAATCACTGAGCTGACAGATGAAAATAAGTGATTAAAGTAAGAATATGTTGAATTAGAAGAATAAAGTACCTAAGTACAGATAAAAAATAACATGTTAAATAGTTACTTAAGCAGGTTGAGACAAAGGTTGAATGAATAATAATACTATATTGCTGTATTGGTTAAAGAGCATAGAGAGTTATCATACTAAGT